AGCCAGACTGAATTGCAGATTTCCTATAGGAAACCTTATTCAGCCAGGCTGAATTGCAGATTTCCTATAGGAAACCTTATTCAGCCAGGCTTATTCAGCCAGGCTGAATTGCAGATTTCCTATAGGAAACCTTATTCAGCCAGGTTGAATTGAAGATTTCCTATAGAAAATCCTTTTCAGCCAGGCTGAATTGAAGATTTCCTATAGAAACCTTAATTCAGCCAGGCTGAATTGAAGATTTCCTATAGAAACCTTAATTCAGCCAGGCTGAATTGAAGATTTCCTATAGAAACCTTAATTCAGCCAGGCTGAATTGAAGATTTCCTATAGAAACCTTAATTCAGCCAGCCTGAATTGAAGATTTCCTATGGAAAACCTTAATCAGCCAGGCTGAATTGAAGATTTCCTATGGAAACCCTTATTCAGCCAGGCTGAATTGAAGATTTCCTATGGAAAACCTTATTCAGCCAGGCTGAATTGAAGATTTCCTATGGAAAACCTTATTCAGCCAGGCGGAATTGAAGATTTCCTATAGAAACCTTAATTCAGCCAGGCTGAATTCAAGATTTCATATGGATAATATTTTTCAGCCAGACAGGATTGAAGATTTCCTATGGAAAACCTTAATCAGCCAGGCTGAATTGAAGATTTCCTATGGAAAACCTTATTCAGCCAGGCGGAATTGAAGATTTCCTATAGAAACCTTATTCAGCCAGGCTGAATTGCAGATTTCCTATAGGAAACCTTATTCAGCCAGGCTGAATTGCAGATTTCCTATAGGAAACCTTATTCAGCCAGGCTGAATTACAGATTTCCTATAGAAAATCCTTTTCAGCCAGGCTGAATTGAAGATTTCCTATAGAAACCTTAATTCAGCCAGGCTGAATTGAAGATTTCCTATAGAAACCTTAATTCAGCCGGGCTGAATTGAAGATTTCCTATGGGAAACATTATTCAGCCAGGCTGAATTGAAGATTTCCCATAGAAAACCTTATTAAGCCAGGCTGAATTGAAGTTTGCCTATGGAAAACCTTATCCAGCCAGGCTGATTTGATTTTTTTTCATGGATTTTTTTTTTATTTAAATAATTATAATTTTGTATTTCTATATTGTTTTTAATGTTTTGTTTATTTTGAAATTGAAAAAATATTCAAAAATTCGTTTTGCCTTTAAATCCAATAAATCTCTTCCATGTGGAAAGTAAATTTGGTCAATACCCTCTTCTTGATTTTAATTTGCTAGGAGCCGGTCAATAAACAACAACCATGTGTGAATTTTTAATTTATCAATAAAAAAAGAATCGGATAATGACGTTCTTTCTTTCATTTAAATTTTTTTGAATTCATAACAACAACAACATGTTTATAAGCCGGTTTTAAAATTGTTATAATTTCAAAATTACAACAATGTTTACTTTTTTCGATTTTTTTTTTATTTTCATTTTTGTTTTTTTTTTTCGTTCTTTGAATAATTCGCTGTCAACTCTCTTGCAAAGGTTCAAGCCAAATCTAATTATACAAAATTTCAAATGGTCTCTAGTTATATATTTTTTGCTAACAATATTTCAAATTACAATAATTATTGCTAATTAGTTGTGTGTTGAATTTTTTGTCGCGGTTATTCTTAATTAACCGTTGTTGTTATATTACAAAACAATTGAAGCGTGTTGTTAAATAAATATTATTATTTTTATAGTTTTGTTTACAAATGTGTAAAAGAACTAAAAATGCGGTTCGAACTAAAAATTTTTATTAAGATATACCCTATGTCTAGTTTCAAGCCATAACTCATGTATTTTCAGCTTAGCCTATAGAAAACCTTACTAAAAATAATGGCTAGTTTCAATGGTATATTCACCAAATTGGAAAATTTTGAATACTTTATATTTTGAGCCATAACTCCGGTACTTTCTTAGCTATATAGACATAACTTTCCTGCATTTAAAGATACGATTCAGATCTTTCAATGTTTAGTTAATGTCGTTATAATATATCCAAATATGTTAAAATTTTGGCGTCTGGGACATAATTACGTGAAATATTTTACATTTTTTGAAATTACAGGTCCATTAGATTTTTATACCCTTCACCACACTGTGGTACAAGGTATTATGTCTTCGTGCATATGTTTGTAACAGGCAAAAATAATCGAGATAGACCCATGGTTCCTTTTGAGAATATGCATAGAATCACTTTCTGAGTCGATTTATGCATGTCCGTCCGTCCTTCTGTCCGTCCATGTATTTTTGTTAACAAAGTACAGGTCGCATTTATGATCCGATTTGGATGAAATTTGGCACATGTCACTTAATTGGCCCAAGGACGAACCCTATTGAAATTGGAGAAAATCGGTTCAGATTTAGATATAGCTCCCATATATAGTTTCGTCCGATTTAAGGTAAATGGTGTACCAAAGTCCCTATATATCTTTCGATTTGCACGAAATTTGGTATAGCCTACTGAATTAGGTCTAGAATGATGTGTGCTAAGTTTCGTGAAAATCGGTTCAGATTACGATATAGCTCCCATATATAGTTTCGTCCGATTTAAGTTAAATGGTGCACCAAAGTCCCTATATATCTTTCGATTTGCACGAAATTTGGTATAGCCTACTGAATTAGGTCTAGAATTATGTGTGCTAAGTTTCGTGAAAATCGGTTCAGATTACGATATAGCTCCCATATACAGTTTCGCCCGATTTTAGGTAAATGGTGCACCAAAGTCCCTATATATCTTTCGATTTGCACGAAATTTGGTATAGCCTACTGAATTAGGTCTAGAATGATGTGTGCTAAGTTTCGTGAAAATCGGTTCAGATTACGATATAGCCCCCATATATAGTTTCGCCCGATTTTAGGTAAATGGTGCACCAAAGTCCTTGAAAGTCATTTGATTTGCACGAGTTTTGGCATAGCGTATTGAATTAAGTCTGGAATTATGTGTGCTAAGTTTCGTGAAAATCGGTTCAGATTTAGATATAGCTCCCATATATAGTTTCGCCCGATTTTAGGTAAATGGTGCACCAAAGTCCCTGAAAATCATTTGATTTGCACGAATTTTGGCTTAGCGCATTGAATTAAGTCTAGAATTATGTGTGCTAAGTTTCGTGAAAATCGGTTCAGATTTAGATATAGCTCCCATATATAGTTTCGCACGATTTTAGGTAAATGGTGCACCAAAGTCCCTGAAAATCATTTGATTTGCACGAATTGTGGCATAGCGTATTGAAGTAAGTCTAGAATGATGTGTACACCTCATATATCTATTTTCGTCCGATTTTAAGTAAATTGTGCTGTGAAGATCCACATAGATTAATCTCTGTGAAGTTTGCTTCAAGTCGGTTCAGATATGTATATCTTCCATATATAATTTCGACTTATTTATGTTAATTGTACACCAAATAATCAATAGGTGTCTGATTGAGATAAAATTTTAAACAGTGCAGCAGCATAGCGTGTTACAAGTTTGCTTTAAGGGAACCCTACCCATTCTCGATTATAATTTTTCAAGATTTTTGTTGATATAAATCAATCTACAGCTTGATTAAAGTTTGTCTTTACATATATATTTCAAGTGAAAATCTCAAGAAAAATAATTTACAAACAAGATATAGCTTTGTTGATTTATTGTGTCAGCATCAAGTGACGGCTGAAGGGATTCTCAAACTTTAAACGCGTTTTTCTCTAAAATTTTTTTTGTGAATGGCGGGCACGATAACTCAAAAACGAATAATCCAATCGGTTCCAAATTTTGCAACGTTTCTCTGGGCTTTATAGCTCTCATATGAAGCTAGGATAAAGAGAATCGGTAAAAATTTGGAATTATTTTTTAATTGGTTTTTGGTAAAAAATCGGCGCCATTTTCCAAAAATATTTTTTAAAGGTCCGCCATTTTGTTAATTTTAGAGCGAAGTCAATAATCCTATTCATACGAGAGCCAGATTTTCATGAAATTTTCTAACACCGTTGGAATTTTCGAATTTCATAAAAAATGTTCCAGTAAGGAGTTATCATGCCCGCCATTAATTACAAAAAACAACAACAAAACAACAACAAAAAATTTTTGTAAATTATTTTTCTTCTATTTTAAATCTTCAATTATATATGTGTAAAGTTACAAACCTTAACAAGCATTGGTATTGATTTACCAGCCCGTTGAAAATCTTGAAAAATTAAAATCGAGAATGGGGGGGGGGTTCCCTTAAATAAAAGATGAACAATGTTTATCATATTCTCGAAAAGCGTGGTTTAACCTTCAACATCAAGATAAATTTCGGAGTAATAGAAGTATAAAATAAAAAATTTTGACCCCTGTAAAAAAATGATTGCGGTTGGAATTGTAGAAATTGGGCATTAGGATATTTTTTCTCGTTTGTCGGGACACTGAGTATTTTTTGAATTTTCCCGATATTTTCATCTGATAACACTGTTCAGCTAACAATTTCCAATAAGCCATTAAATTATATTTGCCTTAGCCAATACAGACATGAAACGAAAATATTTATTTTTCTTTCAATACATTTTATTATACAAGCGAACATTTGTTTGTATTCAACAATTTTCTTAAGAAACAGCTGCTATTTCTTAAGTGGCGTTAAAAATGAAATGAAAAAAAAACACCATATATTTACATAATTTGTTATAACACTTGCTGCTTTTGCTACTATACACAGACAACAAAATATTTATTTTCCTCCTTTCTTTCTGCTTCTTCTCCATCTATTTACAGTCCATTAAAAATTGCATGCAATTTTGTTGGTTTTGGAGGCATATCTGCAAAATATAATAGCCCAATATTATGAGTGCAGTGGCAGCAGTAACAACTACTACAACAACAAAAATAATCATTGGTTCATAAAGGAAATTCCATTGAAGACAGGAAACGGAAATATTGTATACAAATTACAACAAGGCCATTGGGTATTGAGGAATTCCGGTCCCCATTGCTTCGAGTTTATTGACACAGAAAAGAAAGGAAATCTGAAACGGACAGCCGCTCACAATGAATGCCACAACAGCAACAACACCAACAACCATGGCCCATAATCGCGATGATATGGTCCAGTCCAAAGATGAAGTGGACTTTGTTAAAGCACCAGAAACCAACAACAACAGCAATTTTATTAATTTCAAAAATGAATTGACAACAGTGCCAAAAAGCCAACAACAAATCACAACAACAACAACACCCCCAGCTAAAGTGCCAAAGGAGCGTTTATCGTTATTTAATTTCTCCAAAAAATCATCATCGTCATCATCATCTTCCACAAAATCATCTTCATCAGCATCACCAACAACAACACCCTCATCTGTAACCAATGAAAATCTGGAAAAATCCAATGCCACCACAGATAATGGCTTCCCTTGCCACCCAACAACCAATGTACCCATCGGTACACCACCACGTCACAAAAAATTCAGCAAAACTTCATCGTTATCCCGTTTGCTGGGTAATACCTATAATGCCAAAAAATTCGAAAAGGAAGAGAAGAAAATCGCCGATGGAAAATTTAATACATTTGGTGGACGGCGACGTTCCAGTGGACCCTACTTGGAACGATTCAAACGTTCCAAAGAAGAGGGTGATGTGGTCAGCACTAATAGCAATAACAACAAAAACAAAGATTCATCATCGTCATCCTCCTCATCGAAGAAAAAAGAAGACAAATCCAAAGTTGATACCTTGGATCGCCATCTAATGGCATTGGAAAATTTCCAAGAGCATCGTAATGGTGGTGATTTGAGTTCCAAGGCAATGCGTACCCTCTCAAGGGGTTTGGGTAAATTGTGGTGGCGTCGTACCCATAGCATTGATATCAGTTCACCAGATCCCGAATTTAAAGTTTCCTATTTGGGCAATGTTTTGACCGGATGGGCTAAAGGTAAGTGGAAAGAAAATTAAAAATAAACAGAAAATGTAGAAGTAATGGTTGAATAGAAGTTCTCAGGTTCTGAGAACAGGTCCTAGGAAGCTAAAAATTATTTAATATATAGCTGACCTTTTTTTCTCCTGTCACTTTTCTTGGGAGTATAGAGATCATCGACAAATAAAGCGCTAAAACCTTGTTTTAGCATCGTTAATCATTGTTTTATTCTCATATAGCCTGTCCTAGGCGATGGGGCTGCCATCTATCGGTGTCTGGAAACAACACCCAACCTCGCAGAAGCACGATTACAGAAGATGCCAACCTTCCAGCCTGTCCTAGGTGATGGGGCTGCCATCTATCGGTGTCTAGAAACAACACCCTTTTGTGTTGTGGTTAGGGTCCATGCTTATATAGTTTTGCCATTTCTATTTATCTTGGGAGTATGGGTCATATCCCAAATAAGGCGATTAGTCCTTGATTTAGTTTCGGTAATCATTTTTTTATTCTAATAAAGCGGCTGACATTTGTCATTGTTTAGAACAACGCCATCTGGACCACTTTTGTGCAGTGGTTGGGACCCTTGCTTATATTGTTTTGCAATCCTCTAGGTGGCGTTATTTACTATTGGTGTTATCTTCCTGTAAAAGGTTTGTTTGGACTTGGGATGCATGTCATCTGGAGGTGGAAGTCGGTCTCTTTTTACAAAAAACTCTAAAGCTACTTAGAAACATTTTTTTCTTCCTCCGATGGAACTCGAAGATCGCTGGCACCCTATACACTGCACCACACTGAAAATAAGAAAAAATGGTTGAATTTCAAAATTAAGTAGGCTATAGTAGAAAGTCCCACTATATTTACACTTTTCCATGAGCTTTTAGAAAAAGTACATCGAATATTTTTTCCCATATTGGACCCAATATTTCCATATAATTTTGCCAAGATACATTACAGAGTTTATGCCTTCAAATGGTTGGGACCCTTGTTTATAAAGTCTTGCCATTTCCCTCTAGGTGGCTCTATTTACTAGCATTTCTATTTGTCACAGGACTTCGGATGTATGTCATCTAGAGATGGAAATATGCCTCTTTTCAAAAACTCTAAAGCTACTTAGAAATATTTCAAATAATTTTTCCCATATTGGACCCCTAAAATTTTGCCAAAATATATTACAGAGTTTCTGCTTTTAAATCCCATTTATTTCATGATCCCACCTTGATTATTCAAAAAGTTATGACCTCTAGAAATTCGTAGATAAATAATTTCGCACCACTGCATATTTTTACGTAGTTTATATTTTTGCCAATATCTCGAGTATTAGCTTAGTTACCTAAACAAAAAATACAGATAAGACTCCATATTTCCAATAACAATTTATTTTTTTATCATACCGAGATTATCCGCAAAGTTATGGCCTCTCGAACACGAATACCAAAAAATGGTAAATAATTCAAAAATTTTGAGTAGTTTATATTTTTGTTGATATCTCAGATACTACCTCAGCTACTTCAAGAAAATTGTACGTCACAGTGTAGATTAGGCTTGGCACGTGTAATACCACTTTATTTCATCGCTATATATTGATTCTACAAAAAGTTATGATCTCAAGAAAATAATTAGGAAAAAATGCCAACCAATTGAATTTTTTGGGTACTTTATATTTTTGGCTATTACTCGGCCACCAAAGCAGCTAGCTCAACAAAATTTTACTTAGATACAGATTATGTTTTATACTTTCAAAATCCATGCCAATTTATTTAAATATGCCGGTAATCTCAGATGTTATGTTCTCTGGAAGATGTCTACATGAAAAATGCTTATAATGGGCAATTTGAGGAAGTTTTATATTTTTGGCTATAACTTTGGTATTTTCTGAGCTAAATCAGAAGTTTTTTATATCAATTTGAAGATTAGGAAGTATTGTTTCCAAATATCATACATTTTCAATAAAATAGATCGATTACTTAAACAAATAGGGACTCCGGAAATCGTTTGCACAAAAAAATCGGAATCTCAATAAAATGGGTAAATTTGTATTTTAGACTATATTTCTGGAATTTGGTTCGATATATCAAGTTAATTTACACCAATTTAAAGATTAGAGAATATGTTTTCGTTATATAACATATTTTAATTGAAAATACTCATTACTAAAAACGTTATGACCTCTCGAAATCGTTTACGCAAAAATTTCATAGAATTGTAAAATTGGTTAATTTGATATTTTTGTTGATTTCTCCGATATTTGTTACACAAAATTGAAATAAATCTATTCACTTTGAAGCTCGGGGTGTACACTTTTAAAATTATTTGTATTTCATGGAAATATTTAGACAATTTCAAAAGTTGTGGCACCTAGAAGTGTTTTATGCATGAAATTCCTAATATTTAATAATTTTAGGTATTCGTACATTTTTTGGTGATATCTTGGATATATATTGTGAGCTACATTTTAATAAGTCATATCGAATTGAAGATTAGATGTATTTCTTTCAAAATATAACCATTTATATCGATTTAAAAACGTTACTAAAGATTTTGCGGTCACGAGAAATCGTTTACGCAAAAATTCATAGAATTTGAAAATTAGGTATTTTGGTATTTTTGGCAATATCTCCGGTATTTGATGTACAAAATTAAAATAAATCTATTCAATTTGGAGCTTAAGGATTAGTTTTTAAAATTTAATTGTATATCATGGAGATATTCAGACTCTTCCAAAAGTTATGGCACTTAGAAGTGGTTTACGCAAAAAATTCCTAATATTGAACAATTTAGGTAATTATACATTTTTGGCGTTAACTTCGATATTTTATTGGCTACATCCTAATAATTCACATTGATTTGAAGACTAGAAGTATTTCTTTCAAAATACAAACAATTATAAAAATTTAGACCCATTACTAAAAAATGTAGGCTCTCAGAAAGTTACTTATGTAAAAAATTCATAAAATTGAAAAATTGGGTAATTTGGTATTTTTGGTCTTATCTCCGGAATTTAATTCCCTAAATTTAAATAAATATATTTTAATTTATAGTTTGAAGTATATTCTTCCAATGTCCCATATTCTTTATAGAGATATACTGACTATTTCAAAAGTTATGGCATCTAGAAATAGTTTACGCAAAAAATTCCTAATATTGTAGAATTTAGGTAATTCTACATTTTCGGCAATATCTTGGGTATTTGTTATGTTATATTATAAAACTTCATAGTAATTTGAAGATTAGAGTCTATCCTTTCTCGCTGCAATGTATTTTCATTATTTAGACGGATAATTGAAGGTGTCAGGGTCTCCAGAAATTGTTGACGCAAAAAATGACCAAAATTCTTAATATTGTCAAATTTAGGTAATTATACATTTTTGGCGATATCTTTGGTACTTGTTATGTTATATTATAAAACTGAATATTAATTTGAAGATTAGAGTCTATTCTTGCTCACTGCAACGTATTTTCATAATTTAGACCCATAACTGTATGATTGAGGGTCTCGAGGAATTCTTTATGCAAAAAAATTCCTAAAATTGAAAAATGGAGTCACTTGTTGTTTTTGGCAATATCTTTCAAGTTCTTTTACACATAATTAAAATAAATCTATTAAATTTATAGTTCGGAATATCCTTTTTCAAAAACTTATATATTTTATAGAGATATTCCGACTATTTCAGAAGTTATGGCACCTAGAAGACAGTTACGCACAAAATTCCTAATATAAAACAATTTTAGGTAATTGTACATTATTTGCAATATATTGAGTATTTGGCTAGGTAGAGCAGTATAATTTACATCAATTTAATATTCTATATAGAATATTATTAGTTTTGGGAAGATTTAAGGGTTATCGGAAAAGTTACAGGCCCTAGAATATGGTCACTAAAAAATTGCTAAAATATGGAAATTAGGAAATGTTATATTTTTGCCCATAACTCAGGTATTCATTGAGCTACATTTACAAAATCTACATGAAATCAAAAGATCAGAGTTTGATCTTTAAAAATATAGTACAAATTATTGGATTATAATAATTTTAATTTATTTCTTTCCTCTTTTCAGGTGAAGGCTGCGTGGAAAAACAACTGAACACACTCTGGCGCAATTATACGCAAAATAATAAACCCGATGTTATAATGCGCCTGAAAGTATGTGCCTCCGGCCTAAAAGCCACCACAAGACAACACGGACTAACGGAATACTGGGCCAATCGCATAACCCATTGCTGTGCACCAAAGAACTATCCAAGGGTTTTCTGTTGGATCTATCGCCATGAGGGTAGGAAGCTAAAACATGAACTACGTTGCCATGCCGTGTTGTGCAGCAAGGAGAAACAAGTACAAGAAATCTGTGATACTTTAAAGGTAAGGGAAACAAATTTTGATTTTTTATTTCTTCTACTAAATATTTTCTTCTTCCCTCCCTGGCAGGCTAATCTCGAGTGTGCTCTGCGTGAATTTAAACGTGAAAAAATTCTCAAACAGAATGCCCGTCTCAGTTTGGCAAATGCTGTATATGATAATCCCAGTTTGCCCCGTCGCAAGATTCTGCTAAGTGTGGGCAGTAATAATTATCGGCCGCCATTGGAGCGCTCGAAGTCGGCACCCAAATTAATGGCGATCGAGGAGGCCATTGGTGAGGAGGGTGAAGAAGCGGAGGAAACCAATGAACCCGAAATGAAACCATGTTGTCAAAAAGATTCTCTCTATCCAGCCATGACATTGGGACGTAGACGTTGTCGTCGTGGTCATTCCATTAGGCGAACAGGCAAAGCTAGACCCGTCAGCTATGCCACAGGTGGTTGTAATATATCCACCAGCAGCAGCTGTTGCAGCGGAGATAACCAACCAAATGAGAACAACAAAACTGAAATCAAAACCATTGAAGAGGAATGCCGTTTAAACGCCGCCGAGGGTTCCGATGATTCGGATGATTTTGAAAAGATTTTAAAACACAATAACTATGATAGTAAGGCCTCACTGGCCAATGAATTGATGCCTTATTTCGAAAGTCAATTGCATAAAAAGAATAGCAGTAGTTGTGGTAGTTTAAGTGATCTGAGATGTCAACTAAATTCCGAGGAGGATAATGAACCGTTGAGCTTAACACCAACCATTAACATTGATCCAAATGCTGATCCCATAAATGATTTTAAACCCACAAATAATCAAACCACGGAATATGACTCCTCCTCACCTGTGGTGTCCCTAAGACGTTCGGGTGTTTGCAGTGATGGTGAAGACGATTTCTTGGGTGAGGAGGAAGATGACATGTATTTCCGTCAGGCAGCCATTTTAAATATGTTACATCGCCATTCAATGCGTAAAATGGCCAATCTATCGCTAAGCAGTGATGAGGGTAGCAGCAGCTTGGAAACCAATGTGGGAGCCAGGGAGTCACTGCGTTACAAGCACCAACAACAATCTTCGATATCTTCTGACACCTCCACCACCTCGTCAACTTTGCAACAGAATGGTAGTGGTGTTGGTGGTAATGATATGGGTAAGAGGCTATTAAACAACGACAGTGCTGATGAAGGTTCTATCTCAAGTGGTTGTGAGACAGCAAGTACCGTGACCAATAATCAAGATGATCTATCACTACAATTCCGTCAATCTCAGTTACAACAATTGTCGCTACAACATCCCTATACGGCAGATGATTTGGTCGAAGCCACCTCCATTGAATCGGATATAATTGCCGAAAACAATCAGCTATACAAACAATTACAGGGACGCAATAACAGTGATGCTGCTACCACATTCAGTAGTTCATCGTCCATAACCCTTAAAATGGATTCATCACCAAATAATTCGATTAAAGATTTGGTAACCGGTCTGGATTCAAATGTAAATTCTCTTAAGCAATCAAATTCTTTGACTTCGTCATCATCCTCCTCAAATCGTCCGCGTAGAATAGTACGTCGTCAACGTGATACTAAACCTGATTCCGATTCAGAATGTAGTGATGAATCGGGTTATGTTGAATATCAGGAACGGGATAAGAGCAGCAGCAGCAGCAGCAAAGTGAAATTGGAACAAGCACCACAACAACAACAACAACCAAAGCCACAATTACCAACAAAGCCTCAAATTCCACCAAAACCAATGCCCCGAAGATTTATTAGTGTTACCCATTGCAGTAATAGTACATCTGTATAAATATATTTATATACATACAACCATATATATATTGTTTGTATACAAAAATATCTACAACAAAAGATCTGTTATTTGAAAGGGATTTTTTTGTTGTTAAATAGGTAGAGAGTTATGTTTGTCGAAGTCAAATGCAGGGGGAGAGAGAAAAAGGTGAAGAAGTTGTAAAGAAGGGAATCTGTTCCAAAAAGGATATATCCTTAAAAGGACATTATTGTTAAAAGGAGTTAATTAGGAATTCTCTTTATAGTCAATACAGATAGGAAAAAAATGTCCCAGCTTTAGAAAAAATAGATTTGGCCTGCTCAGAGAGAGAGAGAGAGGGCGCGATAGAAATATAATCCAAAGTAAATTTTTAAATCAGTAAAAAAATAATTCAATTGACAATGTAAGTTTATTAATTCTTTGCCCGAAATGATCGCTACATCCGTCTGAAAATTAGACTTTTCAAATTATTAGAATATCAAATTTTCTTTTATTTTTTTGAGGTTAAATCTGATATTTTTCAATACCCTCTTCTTTGTACATAAATTTGATGCACATTATTAGATTATATAAATTATGGGATTAATTGCTCATATACACATTAATTAATTGGCTAAATTAAAAAATTACATTTTAATATTTTTGAGGTTAGATTTGATTTTTTTTTTAATTTTCTTTTCCTTGCGCATAAATTCTACCCCTATTGCTAGATTAAAGAAAATCATGTTGGAGTTGAAATAAAAAATGTTTTTGTAAAAATGTGCAGAATTTCATGCTTACAAAATCTTTTTTTTTACAAAATTTTTGAGGTTATGTCCGATTTCCTTAGGATTTCTGGCACACCCATGAATACTTTTCAATGTAAATGGATTAATATAAACTTTTTCAATAATTTAAGATGAGATTATTCCAAAAAATGTATTTATTTGAAAAATTTGTAAAACCCCGTTTGAGGTTAGAATCGATTTTTTTTTCAATTTCCTATTCTCTGTGCATAAATACTACGCAAATTGCTAGATTATATAAATGATGGGTCTAATTTTATTTAAACAATAAGAACTTTTTTCAAATTACAAGAATTTTAAATTTTGATAATTTTTGAGGTTAGATTTGATTTTTTTTACCAAATTTTTGAGGTTATGTCCGATTTCCTTAGGATTTCTGGCACACCCATGAATACTTTTCAAAAAAAATATAAACTTTTTTAATAATTTATGACGAGACTATCCCAAAAAATGTGTTTATTTGAAAATTTTGTAAAACCCCGTTTGAGGTTAGAATCGATTTTTTTCAATTTCATTTTCTCTGTGCATGAATTCGAAGCAAATTGTTAGATTATATAAATTTTGGGTCTAATTTTATTTTAATAAGAAATTTTTTTTCAAATTACAAAAATTTTAAATTTTGATAATTTTTGAGGTTAGATTTGATTTTTTTACCAAATTTTTGAGGTTATATCCTATTTTCTTAGGATTTCTGCCACACCTATGGATATTTTTCAATGTAAATGGGTTAATATAAACTTTGTCAATAATTTATGATGAGATAATCTCAAAAAATATTTTTATTTGAACATTTTGTAAAACCCCGTTTGAGGTTAGAATCATTTTTTTTTTCAATTTCCTTTTCTCTGCGCATAAATTCCACGCACATTGTTAGATTATATAAATGATGGGTCTAATTTTATTTAAACAATAAGAAATTTGTTCAAATTACAAGAATTTTAAATGCTGATCATTTTTGAGGTTAGATTTGATTTTTTCTTTAATTTTCTTTACACATAAATTCTACCCCCTAAATTTGAAAATTAATGAAAATTATGGCACAAATTGTGTAAATTTTTGCACAAAATCAATGATTTTATTTAAATTTCCAAGTATACTTTTTTTTAACAATTTTGAGGTTATGTCCGATTTCCTTAGGATTTCTGCAACTTCCAATGACATTTTTCAATATAAATGCATTAATAGAAAGTCTTTTAATAATTTATGATCAGATTATCCCAGAAATGTGTTTATTTAAAAATTTTGTTTTGAGGTTAGGTTTGCTGAAATGTTCCCAAATGACATGAATAGCAAAACCATGAAAAAATAACATTTGTTCAAGAGGGGGAAAAATTAAAAAAGGTTTAACTTCACATTATCAGATTTTGTGACAATATTTTGAGGTTATGTTGTATTTTTTCAGCCCTTTTTTGGCTTATTTATAGATTTTTTTGCCTGCAAGATTCTAGTATAGACACCCTTATCACTTTGCGGAAGGATTAATAAATATTTTAATATTGGTTCTTCCAGTTTTTTGCTACATAAAACTAGCATTTCTTTATTCTCTCCCCGGCATTTGTAACTTGTCGACGGACACACTCGATTTTAGTATTTTCATAAAAATAACATCCTGAATTTTTTGAAAAGACCCAGCTGCTAATATTACAAAAAAACCCCAACACACACTGTTACAAATTACAAATAGCTTTTCAATGATTTTTTTTTGTTTCAATAATCAATAATAATAATAATAATTTTTATATATATACACAAATATTTAAAACGAACTTACCAATGTGCTTTAATTATGACATACATACATTTATATCTACATTTATATATTTTATTAAACACTACAATGTTGTTTGCAACAATTTATTTTTATTGTTACAATTGTATAGAGAGAAAAAAATATAAATGAGTGTTTGTTTTTTTTATATTTTATTTAGAAAAATTATACACTTGCTTGCTATGTCCAATACACAATACATTTTATAGATATATATATTTTTATTATAATAATATTACAAAAAATGTTTTAGAAAATTTCATTATATACATTTTTATTATTATACATATATAAATATTAAGTAAAAAAAGTATAATTTAACAAAATAATTGAATATTGTTGGTTTCTGTTTGTTTTTTTATTATTAGTAGTAGTATTTTTATTATCATTTAGAATTTTTTTTTATATTAATGATTTATAAATTTCTTATTTCATTACATTTTCTTCTTTCTCTTTTTTAATGCATTACTTCATTTATATTATTATTTTCATTTTTAATTTAAGTTCCATTTTTTATCTGAATTCATTTTTTTCTCTCAACAAATTACATAAACGTTTTCTTTCAAATTCATTTTCTTTACTTGCTTTAGTATTTTTTTTTTTACAATAAAAACAACATGAATTTAATAATGTATACAAAAAAGTGACTATCCGTTATATATAAATTAAACAAAATACGTACTATATATTTACTGTTTTAGTTGTAAGTTCTATTTTGAAATAATAAAACAAAATATATATGAATAATTGAATTAAATCAATAAAGAATGAATATTCAGATTAAAAGAAAAATAAAAAATGTTTTTTTACTAGAATGAGAACTATAATTGGTATCTATTCGTACTCAAAAAATGTATATGGTATCATCTATTCGTACTCAAAAAAGTGGACAAATTCTTCAAATTTATAAAGGGGAAATCGAAAACAATTTCGATAATTCTAGCTGGTTTTGGAGTTGAGGTAATGTAGTAATGACTATTTTGCCTAGAGCCATCAGAGATGTTAATTTGGATTTATTAGGAATTATTTGTCTAGGACTGTTAAAACAAGGATTTATTAGGAATATTTAATCTGTAGATATCAGAACAATATAGCTGATTTTTTAAAATAATATTCTGTATGGAACTCTCAAAGCTATGAATACGGAGTTACTAAAAATAAGACAATATAAATGTGGATTTATTAAGATAATTTTCACTTGGCCTGTCAGTGCTACAAACACGAAGTTATAAAGAATATTTTGTTGGAGACCCTCTGAGCTAGAAGGCGAAGTTATTTTTTTCTCTGACTGGCAGAGTGAAAATCGTGGTTTTATATAAAATATTCGTTAGGTTTATAAGAGCTGTGAACATGGATTTATTAAGAATATATTGGCTGGGACTATCAGAGCTATAAACTTGCGATTATGAGGAGGATATTTTGTCTAGGACTGTAAGAGCTATAAAGGTTGGTTTAGAAAGACTCATTTGCCTAGAACAATGCTGTAAACGTGGACTTATAAAAACTATTTTGTAACAGACTGTCAGAGCTATTAACGTGGAGTTATAGAATATATTTTGTTTGTCACTATCGGAGCTAAAAATGTTAATTTAAAATTTTGCGGCGGTGGTATCAGAAGGAGTGGACAGATGGGTCCCATCTTCGGACTTGATCTAGTCACGATTAAAATATTTTGATGTACAAAGTTTGGATCAAATCGTACATTCCATTCGCTTGATATTGGTTTAATAAATTATTAAGATTTTTACCCATTGTAGAGGAAGTAGCAGAAGGAGTGGACCGATGGTTCCCATTTTCGGACATGATCTAAGTTTGAAAAATTATTACTATTTGCAAAGTTTGAATCAAAGTAGGCATTCTATTCCTTTGATATTGAATACAAAAATTAATAATTTTGACCCTTTTTAGAGGAGGTACCAGAAGGAGTGAACCGATGATTGCTATCTTCGGACATGGTCCAGGTTTGGTAAGAGTATTACGATGTGCAAAGTTTGGGTCTAATCGGACATTCCTTTCGTTTGATATTGAATTAAAAAAAATCAAAATTTTGATGGTGCCGATGATGATGCCGATGGGTCCCATCTTAGGACTTTATCTAAGATTGGTAAGAATACTACGATGTGTGAAGTTTGGGTCAAATCGAGCATTACATTCGCTTAGTATTGAATAAACAATTTTTCGAAATGTTGACACTTTGTGTGGGAGGTACCAGAAGGAGTAGACCAATGTGTGCCATCTTCGGACTTCATCTAGGATTGGTAAAAGAATTAATCAGACATTGTATTCGCTTGGTATTGAATAAACCAATTTTCAAAATTTTTACACTTTGTGGGGGAGGTACCATTCAATTCGTTTGATGTTGAATTTAAAACATTTTCAAAATATTGGCCCCTTATAGGAGAGATAGTAGAAGGACTGGACCGATGGGCCCGATTTTTGGGCATGATCTAAGTTTGGTAAAAGTATTACGATGTGTAAAGTATGGATCAAATTGGACATCGCATTCACATGGTATTGGATTAAGAATTTTTCAAAATTTTGACACTTTGAGGGAGAGGTACCGGAATGAGTGGATCGATGGGCCCCATCTTCGGACATGATCTAGGTTTGGTAATAGTATTACCATGTGTAAAGTTTAGGTCAAAACGGACATTCCTTTCGCTTAATATTGTTTAAAAAAATTTGAAAATTTTGACCATTTTGTGGGGGAGATACCAGAAGAAGTGGAATCCCCATATTCGAGCACGATTTTAGTTTGGAAGAAATATTACGAAATTAGTTACTCCCTTCCAAAGTTATTGTGCACACCAGCCAGACAAAGGGACTGAAGGAAATCGACTCCAAATAGTTTGAAACGGATTTGGTCCAAAGAAACATGGAGTCTAAAACCAATATTTCGATGATACACATTTTTGCCATATCAAAGGGTGCTTATATACCCTCATTAGCCATAAGGCTGAGGATATTTAAAACATCTCTTATATGTCAAGCCATCGACTTTTCAAGTGAGCTATTGCTTGTGTGGGGTATAGCGCAGTCTGCCCAAATCGACTATACTGCTTTGTTTACATTTAATCAAAAAATTAGTCGTTATTTAAAATATCTTTGAACTTTCACATAATGCTATTTTTCTCTTACATAAGATAAGTTTATATATGTATTGTCAAAATGGAATAAAACTTTGGAATTTCCACGAACCATTTGTGCAAAATTTATGAAAATCGGTTCAGTAGTCACTGAGTTATTTGCATTTGAAATCGAAGATGTTGCGAAATATGCCTGCTGTTCGGTGCTGGGCACCTGTTACACGAAAATGAAAAACCACACAAAAATTGATTTTTTAAAAAGGGCATTTTTTCGTTCACATGGCTGCTGGTATGTAAATAAAATTATAGCATACTTTTAGGACAAACCCAGTCTAATGATAGATAGGTTTATATATAATACACATTTTTGGGGAAGCAGTTTTTTCTAACCAGAAATACTAATAGCAAATCCAAGACAATTCAACATTTTCTTAAAAAAAAAATCAGGTTTAAAAATGCGGCTAAGACCCTTAAACTGCCAAAATTGAGGCGCGACTATGTCACAACTTTTATCGACAATATAGCTAGCCTACAAGGTAGGAAAATGCGGCTACAACATAAAAAATACAGAAAATTAAGCGGGAAATTAATATGGAGGCTATGTCCAAACATGGAACGATATTGTATATTTTCGGCAAATATGCTTTTCACTCTCCAAGAATTCGGAATGCTAAGTTAGAGCAATTTCGCTGGGGAAATGTGCAAAAATTCCTTCAAAATATTAGAAAAATTGGACGAGACCTTAATGAGGGGACAAATCCAAAATTTTCAGTATAATTTTGACCATTTTGTGGGGGAGGTTCAGGAGTAGATCGATATTCCCCATTTTCGAATTTCAACTATGTTTTGAAAGTTACTTACTTTATATATAGTTATAGTGAGTGCCAGCCAAAAAGACACACAGACAGATAGACGGACGCCAAATTGTCTGGGGCAGATTTGGTCTAAAACCAATACATCGATAAGGCACATTTTTGCGTAACAATGAGTATTTACTCGCATTAGCCATAGGACTGAAGGTATAAAAACATAGCTTTCTGACTTTGAGAAGCCCTTAGATCTCAATCTCCTCTATAAAAAAATGTCTTGAGTTCAGTCCGTATATAAATTCTGACTATCACACTCTCGAAAAAGCCAGACTTCTTAGCTTTCATATGAAACCAATTTTATTACAATACCACCAGTAGTTCAAATGTTATGGGACAAATACCAGAACATTAACCTTTTCTCCGTTTCAATCTACTTGTCAATAGATGGCGTTGCGGGCGTCAAATGTTCAGGTAGCTACGGAATATCAAGGCATGCATAAAACTGTAATAACTTTAAACGAATTGTACTTTTTGAAAGATTTAAACGGTTATAAGCAGCTTAGAACTTACTTTAAAATTCCGATCATAATTAGGTAAATGTCTAAGCCGTATATACCCTTATTTAGTCAAAAGACTAAAAGTAAACAAAACATACCTGTGTCTCAGGTCGTGTAACATGATTCTCCGGCTTTCAAATCACCTATAAAATTATGTCAGCCTTTCAGAATGTCTGTCAGAGATACCCTGACCTTCAGATATTTCATAAAATACAACCTTCAGATTATTATATAAGACATCATGACCTCATATTTCCCATCGAAAAAAAATTGTAGTTCCCAAAAGTCGTTATACCTCCAGTCTTATGGGTAATGAGTTTTTATACACTTTGATACGGCAAAAATGTGCTTCATCGAAATATTGGTTTTAGACCCCGTGTTTCTTTGGACCAAATCCGTTTCAGACAAATTGGAGTACCAAAAAAGTAACACCCATTTGATATAACCTCAATTATCACGACATTGTGAAACCCTGCTGCGAACTCAAACTATCGGGCCGCACGCATGTCTTCAAATTTAAACAACAACAAAAATTTAACAAAATAAAATCCAGTTCATTTTACTTTGACAATAAATGCAGTTAAGTGACAAAAATCACAACAACAACCAAAACAAAAAAACCTCTTTTACTGCACCGAAACAAAAAAAAATAAAAATGCATTCGCACCAAATATTCATGAACCATATCGGTTAAGAAACCTGCAGTAGTAGTCAGTTACAACAACAAAGACAAAAATCAAATAACCATTAATACAGTTTTTTGTTTATATTGACCCACATTTTGTTTTCTGTTGCCATATTGGAATTTTTCGGTTCGTGTTTTTATTCATTGCATTAATAAATTTTGGGTTTTTTTTTGGAATTTTGTAAAAAAAATTATTGTCATAAAATAAAAAATTATTTGGTCGCTGGGGTTTCGTTTCTCCGTTCTCTCTCACTTCATCTCCTACTGCTTTGCAATTTTGTCAACCATCATCCAACCACTCGTTCATCGTCCGTTGCCTATTGACAGACCTCCGAATGAAAAGAAATATCACCACGTCGTTGCAACAGATAACAGACAGTGCCACGGAAGTCACGCAATGAATTGTCCTGCAATTGCTGATCGAAAACCTGTTCGTGGAAAAAAAGAGGGGAGAGATGGAGAAATTTATTTACACACATCCGACATCATGTATATTGGGATTATGTAATACTTACACCATCATAGACTATCGTTGGTACGAACTGTGGCTTGTACAGATTTGTAACCCGCTCCGATTCCAGTTGCAGTGAGGTACCCAGCCCGTTGTGCATGCAGTCATCAATGTCACTGGATAAGCCAAAAGATTCGGCACACTATAAGGTGAAAGTAAAAATTATTTATTTTTATTTGTCTTTTTCCATACATAACAATCAACAGGGAGAAATTGCACTAAAAGTACGCCTTTCATAGGGAAAGTAGAAGGATGTGTTTTTATTGAGAGAAATGTGGATTCATAGTCCCCATATTTGGTAGTTTGAAGGTTTTAGCCGCATTTAGAACCGAAGTGGTTGTAATTTTTTGTTTCGGGCTCTTGGAGGGTCCCAAAACCATTTTAGGTACTTTGAAGGTTTTAGCTCCCCCCCCCCCCCCCCCCCCCCCCCATTTTCCAACCGAAGTTTCTATAATTTGGTGTTCCGGGTTTTCAGAGGGTGAAGAACATTTTTACAGAAAATTTTGAATAAAAGTCTATGTTTTGAAATAACCACCATATTTTAATCGGCCATATTTTTATGAACTCATCCTTATAGTTAATACGCCAAAAATGAGCCTCATAGAAATATTGGTTTCAGATCCCATCTTTGGACCAAACCCGTTTCAGACAATAGACACACTTCTTGGCTTTCTTATGACACCAATTTTATTTGGTGTTATGGGACAATAAATTTTTCTCTTTCGCCATTTCAATCTACTCGTCAGTAGATGGCGTCGCCAAATTGTCAGGTCGATAAAATGTAAATAAGTTTTGACTGAATTGTGATTTTTGGATTTAAAAGGTTATTAGCAGCTTAGAACTCACTGATTGACTGTGTGGTAGATTACATTTAATATTCCCATCATAATTACCTGCATTTTGGTAAAAAATAATATCCATAATGCCTCATAGAAATATTGGGGTTAGACCCCATGTTTCTTTAGACCAAGTCCGTTTCAGACAATAGCCACACTTCTTGGCTTTCTTATGACACCACTTTTATTACAATATCACCAGTAGTTCGAAAATTATGGAATAAATACAATAACATTAAATGTTTCGCTTTCGCCATTTCTTTCTACTCGTCAATAGATGGCGTTGGCAAATTGTCAGGTCGCTAGGCAAAATCAAGGCTTTTATAAAATGTAAATAACTTTTGAACGAATTGTGATTTTTGGAAGATTTAAAAGGTTATAAGCAGCTTAGAACTTACGGATTGAGGTAGAATAGATTAAATAAAAAAATAATTAAAATCCTATCATAATTAGGTACATTTCCTGGCTCATGCTAAAACATAATGTCAATAATGCCTCATCGAAGTATTGGTGTCAGACCTCATGTTACTTTGGACCAAATTCGTTTCAGACAATTTGGAGTCTTTTTCAAATGTCCCTCAGTCTGTCTGATCGTCGGGTGGGAAGGGAATAACCGATTTAATTTTATAATAACGTGTTAACAGACTCTCCGATTTGAACGAAACATTGCAAAACCAATTATCTTTACCAAGCCTAGATCAAGTCCGAAAATGGGATCCATATGACCACTGCTTCTGGTACCAATTGATCTGGTTATCAATTGATAAGCCAATATTATGCTAATGGAAAGTCCGATTTGATCCAAACTATGAACATAAATCAAGCTCGAAGTTGAGCAATATCGGTCCCCTCCTTCTGGTACCTCCCACACAAAATTGTCAAAAATTTGTTAACAATTAATTTCATAGCATCAGGCAAACGAGTCCTACAATTTGAACCGAACTTTACAAACCCTATTATCTTTACCAAGTCTAGATTAAGACCGAAGATGATACTCATTGGTCGAATCATTCTGGTACCCTCCACACAAATGGTCAAATTTTCAATTGATAAAGCCAATAGGCTAATGGAAAGTCCGATTTGATCCAAACTATGCACATCGTAACATTTCTTTCAAAATTAAATTAAGTTCGAAGATGGGGAAATTCAGTGCACTCTTCCACAAAATTGTCAGAGCATCCGATTCAAACCAAACTTTTCACAACCTAATATATTAAACATGCCTGTGTAATGTTGGAAAATGTGACTTATCTGTCCACTACTTCTAGTACCTCTCCCACAAAGGGTCAACATTTTGAAAACTAGTAACTCTCATATGGAGCGAACGGAATATCCACTTTGGTCCATTTCTTCTGGTACCTTCCCCACAAAGGGTCAACATTTTGAAATTTTTTTTTAATCCAATATCAAAGTAAAGGAATGCCTGATTTGATACAAACTTTGAAAATCGTAACATTTTTCCAAACTTACATCAAATTCTAAGATGGCATCTATAGGGCAACCTCATCTGGAATCTCCTCAAGGAGGAACAACTTTTTAAACCTGTGATTTATTCTGTAGGCCTCTGATTCCTTAGAATTTTCTACCACTGCAGCAAATTGCTCCGCTAATCTGGACCTAAATTGCCTAATGATATGTGAATGGGTTGAATTTTCGCAGACAAATTGTGTATGTAGGTCTAATTTTTGACTTAGCCCCCTCATAGAGGTGTCGCCCCAGTTTAGTCTACATTTCCCCACCGAAATAGCTGTAACTTCGCATTCCGAATTTTTGGAGGGTGAAAAACATATTCGACGAAAATATTCGATATGGATCCATGTTTGGACAATGCCGCCGTATTTATGTCCCTCCCAATTGTTTGTATTTTGTGTGTTACAGCTGAAATATTTATTTTTCAGAAAACTTTTCCATATAAGCCTAGGTTGTGATATAAAAGCCCTGCCTCATTTTTGGCAATTTGTGTGTCTTAACCGATATTCGGCATTTCAGGTTTTCGGAGGGTGAGAAATATTTTTTTTTTTTTTCAGAAAAATCTGAATGATTATTTTGCTATTACAAATTCCTGGTTAGAAAAAAAACTGCCTCCCACAAAATGTTCAGGGTAGGTGAATGTTTATATAATTAACCATATGTCTAATAAGGGTATGTACACTTTTCTATGGCCTCTTTCAAACTTAAATCCAGTACGAAGATATGGAATATCGGCCCACTCTTTCTGGTACGACGGCCACAAAATAGTCAACATTTTGCTCAAAATTAATTTTGTAATATCATGAGAACGACTCTACGATCGTAATATTTTTACCAATCATAGATCAAGTCTGATGAAGGGACCTATCGGTCCCCTCCTTTGGGTACCATTTTCACAAAGTGTCAACATTTTAATTTTTTTTTAAATCCAATATTAAAAAGTAACAGGCCTGCAAATGCCTTTTTGCTATAAAGATGCCTTTCAGCTAGTCTACAGAGACTCTAGTTTGCCTGTAAAGGCTCCCTTCAGCTCTCCTATTAAGGTTACCTTAGAGCTTCCTTAAGTTCGCTAAAAAGGCAGCTAAATATTAGCACCCTTCATCTCGTTTCCCCTAACACGCCTAAACATTTCCATTCAGCCCGCGTATCAAGGTTCCTTTCAGCCGACCTATAATTATAATCGTCTATAGAGACTTCATTTCGCTGGTCATTTGGTTCTCCCTTCAAGTTATATATAAAAGTTAACTAACGCCCCTTCACCACCCCCATAAAAGGCTCCTTTCGGCTCGACTATAAATCCCCAAAGAAACTCTCTTCAACTCGTCTGTAAAATACTTAGAATCGTCAAAAAAGCTCCATTCAGCTTGTCTATTAACTGGAATGGAAGACCTCCTGCTGGATTTTATAAAAATTCAATAAACAATTTTAAGAATATGGCACCTAGTTATACAGAAGCTATATGCTAAATATTCCTTTTAATCCTCCCACCAAAATATGGCACCAGTTATACAGAAGCTATATACCTAAATAATCCTTTTAATCTATCCCCACTTACCTCTCTAATATCGATAACATCACGTTTTCTCATCTGGCAGACGACAAAGTTGACCTGTGCTTCCTGATCGGTTGTCTGCTGTAGAACACACAGTTGTTCACGATTACCTTCACATTCTTTGGGTCCATGTTGACAGAAGAATTGATAGAGGCCATTGTTGTTAATAGACTGAAATTTATATAGAAATAGCGGGATATAACGGAAATTCAACACCTAAAGTTTTAGAAAGTAGATCGTGCTTACCTTTGATTTACCAAATGGCACCAATGTGACATCAATATAATCCTTTAGCGCATCATAATTTGGTCCCAGCTGGGAATTAATAAAACGTACACTGTCCGGACACAGGGACTCATAGAGAACCATTACTTTTAACTGAAAAGAGAGGGGAGAAATGTGAAACAAATTAAAATTGAAATGAATTCCGACGGAATCTAATTGAAAGAAAAAAATCTTTTCGCTTCAGTCTAAAAAAACTTCTGCAACCTCAACTCTATAAAGACTCTCTTCCACAGCTGATTTGTCATAATGTACTATATGTTTCTCGATAAGGACTCCCAGTTAACGACTCTCTTCAACTCTATAAAAATATCTATAAAAAAGTTATTCATCTCGACCATAAAGACTCCGTTCATATAGCCTAATAAGACTGCCGTCAGATCGTAAAAAAAAAACTTCCTTCAGATTATGTATGAAAGTCTTCCTTCCGATCGTCTAAAAACAATTTCCTCAGCTCGTCTATAACGACGCCCTTCAGCTGGTCGATAAAGACTTCATACATCTGGTATTTAAGAATTCCTTCAGTTGGTCTAAAAAAATTATATTCAGCTCGTCTATAAAATTCCATTCCGATCATCTAAAAAAATCATTTCTGTTATATGAACGACTCCCTTCCGATTTACTAAAAAGCCCCCCTCCAGCTCGCCTATAAAGTCTCACCTAAGCTCTTATATAAAGGCTCCCTTCAGCTTGTCTATACAGACTTCCTTCAGCTCGCCTATAAAGGCCTCTTCAGCTCGCATATAAAAGCTCCCTTCAGTACGCCTTAAAACCCTTCCTATAGGTGGTATGTAAGACTTCCTTTTGCTGGTCTATAAAGATAGCTCGTCTATAAATCCATTAACTCGCCTATAAATGCTCCCTTTAGAAAGCCTATAAAGGTTTCTTTAAGTTCTCTTATAAAGGCAGCACGCTTATAAAGCCGCCATTAAGTTCTCCTATAAAAAATCCCTTAACTCGCCTATAAAGGCTCCCCTCAGAACGCCTATAAAGGCTGCCTTCAGAACTCCTATAAAGGATCCCTTAAGCTCTTCTATAAAGGCAGCTCGCCTATAAAGGCTCCCCTAAGTTCTCCTATAAAGTAATCCCTTAAGCCTATAACGGCTCACTTCCGCTTACCTATGAAGGCTCTCGTCAGATCTCCTATAAAGGGTCCCTTCATTTTGTCTATAAAGATTTCCTTCAAATCGGTAAAAAAAGACTTCCTTCAGCTGGCCTATAAAAGCCCCCTTCTGCTCGCATATAAAAGCTCCCTTCAGTACGCCTTAAAACCCTTCCTATAGGTGGTTTGTAAGACTTCCTTTAGCTGGTCCATAAAGACCCTATAAGCTCGCCTATAAATTCCTTAACTCGCCTATAAAGGCTGCCTTCAGAAAGCCTATAAAGGCTTCATTAAGTTCTCTTATGAAGACAGCACGCTTAAAAAGCCGCCCTTAAACTCTCCTATAAAAAAATCTCCTAACTCGCCCATAAAGGCTCCCCTCAGAACGCCTATAAAGGCTCCCTTCAGAACTCCTATAAAGGATACCTAAGCTCTTCTATAAAGGCAGCTCGCCTATAAAGGCTCCCCTAAGTTCTCCTATAAAGTAATCCCTTAACTCGCCTATAAAGACTCCTTTAAGCTCGCCTATAAAGGCTCACTTCAGCTTGCCTATGAAGGCTCTCGTCAGATCCCTTCATTTTGTCTATAAATATTTCCTTCAAATCGTTGATAAAGACTTCCTTTAGCAGGTCTATACAAATTCCCTTCAAATCGTCAATATCGACTTCCTTCGGTTCGCCTATAAAGCCTCCCCTATAAAGTACCCCTTACGCTCTCCTGCAAAGGCTCCTTTCCGCTCGTCTTTGAAGGCTTCTTTCTGCTCGCCTATTAACAAAGTTTTTTCAACTGTTCTATATTTCTTCAGTTTCTGAAAGTCTCCCCCTCCTATGCAACGTCTCTGACCCGAATTTTAAATCTTTCCTTTGTCTTTATTTTTATTATTATTGACCATCACCACCACCAACAACACGTGATTAGCATCTAATCTTCCACTTCGCCCTCCACTTCGTAACAATTAATCACTTCGAAAAGAAGTAAACATTTCGATTAATCACTAATTTAATATTCTTGTTCTTCTTCGATGATCCCGACACTATTTTTTTTTTTAATTTTAACTATGTTCACTATTCCAATCACCTTTTCTTTGACAGCATTATTTGATTGGGTTAATGCACGGCCGGCATTCAAAGCGACCGCCAATGCAACAAGGGCCCAAAACGAAGCCGCCGACAATTTCATCAAAACCATTATCGTGACCAAACACAACAGAACAAACAAACCGAACTTGTAATTTAAGGTGTAATGTAGGGGATATTTAAATCAGGGATTTGTATTATCTCTTTTAATTGTTGTTTTTGTTGTCACTACTCCGTTCCGTACTTAATTAATACCGAAGAATTTTTATTGGTGGTGCTCGTATTACTGTTTTCCGCATTCAACTGATTTGATTTCAGAAAACGTACAGCGTTTAGACTCCATCCACTCTGCTGCTGCTGACGCTGCTGCTGCTTCTCACATTCAAGCCAACAACAATTTCAGCCGAAAAACAACTATTCGCCGTCGCATCGCTTGACTGAAGCCCGAAAGCCGCTGTCGTCACTTTTAACACCCCAAAATACAAAAAAAAAAGGTTTTTATGTTGTTTTTGTTGTAATCGATCGTTTATGTCCACACTCGGTGGACGGTGGACGTTGTGACGGGGATTTTTTATGCTCTGTCACCCATGTCTGGCTTGGTTTGTTTTGACAACTCTTTGCCTGAGACCTGTTTAATAGCCAAATTTAATTTCTCTGTCATTGGTTGTCATCGAGGGGGAGGTGAGTCTCTCTCTCTCGTTTTGCCAGCATGCATACAAATGAGCATAACTACGCTGCTCTTGGCTGTTGTGAGAAAGCCCGGTTTGTTGGTGTTTATTTCTTTGTCAGAATTTAATAATAAATGAAGGCCATTGTGATCTGACCAAAAATAAACATTGCAGTGTAAGAAGTCAGGTTTATAGCATAGATTATGGTAATTGGTTAATCATCGCGTTGTTATTAAGTCTAATAACTGTCGTTATTAATTAAGTATGTAAATCAGTCAATTTGTTTCAAAAAATTGTAGATTATTTTTTAAACACAAAATGAACAATCCCTCCATATCGTCTATAGAGGCTCCCATTTGGTCGTTTATAGAGACTTCCATATACTTATTTATAAAGAGGTTAACTTCAGCTCGTCTATAAAGGCTCCCTGCTTCAGCTCGCCTATACAGGCTCCCTGCTTCAGCTCGCCTATAAAGGCTCCCTGCTTCAGCTCGCCTATAAAGGCTCTCTTTAGCTCGCCTATAAAGGCTCCTCCCTTCAGCTCGCCTATAAAGGCTCCCTGTTTCAGCTCGCCTATAAAGGTTCCCTGTTTCAGCTCGCCTATAAAGGCTCCATGCTTCAGCTCTCCTATAAAGGCTCCATGCTTCAGCTCGCCTATAAAGGTTCCATGCTTCAGCTCGTCTATAAAGGCTCCCTGCTTCAGCTCGCCTATAGAGGCTCCCTGCTTCAGCTCGCCTATAAAGGCTCCCTTTAGCTCGCCTATAAAGGCTCCCTGCTTCAGCTCGCCTATAAAGGCTCCCTTTAGCTCGCCTATAAAGGCTCCCTTTAGCTCGCCTATAAAGGCTCCCTTTAGCTCGCCTATAAAGGCTCCCTTTAGCTCGCCTATAAAGGCTCCCTTTAGCTCGCCTATAAAGGCTCCCTTTAGCTCGCCTATAAAGGTTCCCTTTAGCTCGCCTATAAAGGCTCCCTTTAGCTCGCCTATAAAGGCTCCCTTTAGCTCGCCTATAAAGGCTCCCTTTAGCTCGCCTATAAAGGCTCCCTTTAGCTCGACTATAAAGGCTCCCTTTAGCTCGCCTATAAAGGCTCCCTTCAGCCCGTCTATAAAGACTCCCTGCTTCAGCTCGCCTATAAAAGATCTGCTCCTCTTCTTCATAGCCTCCCTTCATCCCCTCTAAAACCAATTCTTCGGAATCCCTATAATATTTACCTGGAACGTGTTCTGTAATATTAATTACTATTACCAAGCAATAAATATTCTCAAGATTTAAAGTCTAAAAAAATCAGTTTCATGCTTCCGCATTTGATAGTTCCCATGAATGGAGTCCTATTGTTCTAAAATTATTATCTTCAAATACATCTTCGTTCTGTCATAAATAAATTACACAATGAAAATAATAAAAACAAAAACAAATAATCCCGATTTTACTTCGAAGTGGAGAACGATATTCAGTGCCTATGGGAGATAATTTACATGAGAATACCAAAATTTAATTAAAAAAAATAAATTCGTTACGTTACATCGGGCCGATTTTTTTAACTTTACAACAGGCAGATTGCCTTTCAAAACCCAAAAACAAGTATGAAAAGTGCCTAATTATAGGCAAATCGTCTACATCGGTACCTCATATACTAGGTATTTTGAGAATTTCTGTTAGGTTTCCAAACACATTGGCAGGAGGTTGGTATTTTAGGTTCTCATTGGGTAGAATCTCTTCTTACAAAAAATGTTCCACTTGGGTCCAATTTTCAGGATGGTTGTTATTGTAGCAGCAAACGTTGACCGTAATGTCTCGGGACGTTTCGGGTCATAGACCCCTCTGTCGTGGAAACTTTTCAGTGTAGACCCCATCCCATTACTCAGTATTAGGGGCATTTTTCCCTAAAAGAATGGGTTCTAATTTGATTTTTTTGGTTATTACCCAAAATCAATATCTGTCCTCGTTTTGTGTTTCCAACAGCATTGGCATAAGGTTAGTATTTTGGTATTGGTACACTCTTCAGGGTAGACCCCATATAGCGGTATTATTATGGACATTTGTTTCCAAGCGAATAGTGTGGCAGATCCTCCTACCAGAATTTATTAATATATGTCCTCGTTTATTATATAGCCTCCATATAACGGTACCCCGAATTCTTGAAGATTTCGGTGTGTTAAAGGTCCTAACCCAATTTTCCAACCAATTATGGGGTTTTTATCATTACGTAGCTCTCGCATATCCACCTGATCTAAAGAGTTTTAAATTTAAATTATTTTTAATTTGTTTCCCCTCTCCAAAATAATCAAGGAATCCACCATTATAAATCCATAGACCTGATGCTTGGTATAATTCAATCCTTTTTCTTTATTATTTTTATTAAAGAATCTGTTCTTCCTTTTCTTTTCTTAAACCCCCATTATTGAGCAGGTCACACAAACGACCGGTTGCTTACAGGCATTCGCCAAGGCAAAAACATCGCCACGTAACTGAAAAACAAAACAGATCGTCCCAAAGAAATCCTTTATTGAATTATCCTGTAATTGTTGATCAAAGACCTACAAAGAAACGGTTATTAAAATTGTTGGTAAATTTATTTACGGACTTACCCCATCATAGATTATAGTTGGTAAAAACATTGGTTTATACACGAATGTTACACGTTCGGCTTGCAGCTGCAAATGATTGCCCTCATCACCGTTCATGCAGGCATCAATGTTCGGGGATAGACCCAACGATTTGGTGCACTAAAAGAATAATGAAATAAATATATTCATCGGAAAGGGTGGGAATACTAATTTCCTAGATAACAGAAGACAAATCTTCCGTAATATATCAGAACTTCTATGTATTGATCGAAAAAAGATATATTTGGTCCTCTGTATGAATAGTTTTAGGATTTCTATACCCTATTTTTCTGTATAAAACATGCTGGTCTTCTTTTAGACAATTGTAGATTTTCTATAACAGAACCTATTTTCTATTTAATATCCATAGGAAAACCATCTATAAGAAGTCCACATCAGAAGGACTTTTAAAAAATAACCTTTTTTGTTTTCTATGAGATAACATTCTGGCCTTCTATAAGAAGACCTTGGGGTTTTCCATAAGAACATGTGTGGACTTTTAAAAAATAGCTTCTATAAGAAGACCTTCTGGTATGCTTATAAGAATAGTCGTATATAAGAAAATCTTCAGTTTCTTATAAGAAAATATTCTGAAGTCCTTCTATATTCTATTAGAGCAGATTCTTGCCTTCTATACGAATAATTTATGACCTATTTTACAAGTGTTTATGACGACATTCTGATCATATGTAGGAGGACCATCTGCTCTTCTATAAGAATACCTCCATACCTTTTATAATAAGACCTGCTGGTCCTCCACAAGAAGATCCTCTGATCTTCTGTAAGAAGGTATTTTGGTATCCAAAATGCTGAACATCTGGTATTCTACAAAAATACCTTCTGGTACTTTATAGGAAGTACCCCGATATTCTACAAAAGGAAAGGGAATACCGTGGTGGTGCACTAGATTTGGAATCCTTTCAATTAAAAAGTTCCTCGCAATATCGTTCGGATAGTTCCTAGATAACTTCCGAATAAATTTAAGGTTCGTCCGATGAATCGGTTGCAGTACTTACCGCTTTCCGATACATCTTCTTGGCAGCGATCTCCTTGGCTTTGACTTGTCTTGCAGTTTCTGGTACTGATGATTCGTCCATCTTAACGACGGACGGCCAACTGCCTGAGAAGTCTCGCGACGTCACTACAGGACATGGAGATGGAGTTCGGACCCTCTACCTCGCCAGGGTGAACACCCCTACTCATCATCTGGAAGGACTCATCTTGCTTCGGAGGAGACACTAGGATAGCTACTGTATTCGTCACCGCAGTGCTAATCACTGTAGTTTCCATGATGTCTTCCCCGTCTGACAAGGGCGAGTCGTCCCAGAGTTAATTCGAGATACTCTCCTGACTAAGGCAGAAGGAGCCGGTTTCCTCTAATAAATTAAGGAGAATATCAGTCTGTTTCTCCAGGCTTTCATTCACGTTGTCGAGAATAACAGGACTTGAGGCAAAAGAGTGGTCCAGGGGTGTAGCTTGGGTCGGCAATATGTGTGAGGGTTCATTGAAGTCTGACCTTGTAGAGGGTGTCACATCAACCACAGTCGGAAAATCGCATACCATATTGTTTTTAGAAGTGGGGGGTTATTAAAACTCGGCTCCACAGAAAAAGATTTTATTGAGGGATTGAGGTCGACCATGGTATATCCTCTTATCCCCGCAACCTGTCTATCAACAAGGTCTTCTATACTGCAAGAAGAACATTGTCTGCTATCACTTTATGAGGTAGTGAAGAAGATATTTAGTTTAGGGATCATAGGTTTCTTTAACATATTGGTCTTCAGTACAGAGCCTTTGCGGTGTACTATAAAAATACGTCCTTTTCTACTACAAAATTACCTGGTTATTTCTATAATTATATTATCACCTCCTACACGAAGACCTTTTGGTCTTCTATAGACGAAAATCTCCACTTATTAGTCTTTTGTCGCCTATAAGGGAATCGTTTGTAATTTTTCTGATGTCGGTTGATTACTTTCTATTTACATCTGTTTTGAAGGACCTTCCACCCTAGTTGTATATACTTACCTCTTCGATATCGGTTATATTCTTCTGACCCATTTGACATAATACAAACTTTGTTTGGACTACTTGATCATAGCTCTGGTTCATTACACATAGCTGCTGGCGATTGCCCTTGCACTCTTCGGGACCATGTTGGCATGTAAATTGAAGATTGTTGTTTATAGACTAGAAAAGTGTAAAAAAATAAAAATGATATAGGATGACAAATTTGAATTAATTCCAATAATTAGAACTGAATCTCAAAGTATCGAAATACTATTCTTGTATTTCACAATCTTTAATAAGTAACGTTAAATTCGAATTAACATCCCTTCTTTATTCGAAGATTATGAAGAAAGGGGGTGTATTCGGTATACTTACCACAGATCGACTAAATGGTATCATTGTTACATCAATGTAATCCTTTAGGTCATCATAATGCGGTGCCATTTGTTGGGCAAAGAATTTAATGCTATCGCTACATAATGCTTCGTAAATAATCGAAACTTTTAACTGTTAAATACATAAAAAACACATTTTAAAAATACATAGAGGCTATAAATGTCCTGAGGATTCCTACGGGAATCTAATACCTTTTGCTTTAAAATATCCTGACTTAATACACCAGATATTCCAATAATTATACACATTACTACTGATAGTTTTTTGTTGGCCATTTTTCAAATTTTAATATAAAACCTAAGATTATACTTGTTCTGGTTATAGCCAATTCAATTTCACAAACTAAACTAAAAGCCATATTCTAAACGGCGATCTAAATTGAGTTCTCAATGGATTGGAAATTAATATTCCTACAAGTGAACGTAACTAATTTGATAATAAATAAATAAAAATGTCATTAAGTTCGGCCAGGTCGAACTTGTTATACTCTCCACCATGAGATGGAATTTTGAACAATTTTCCAAAACCAATAAAAAATTCGAAACCGCTTTACTTCAAAATTTATATTTAAACAATAAAGTTCCGTTTTCCTTACAATTCTATTGGCCCCTAGAGGGAAAATTCTTAAACAAAATCACAAATATAGTCATTTTTGGTCCCATAAGGTATAATCCAATAAATTATATAAAAAAATTTATTAATCTAATCATTAAATCATTTAAAATCTGATTTAAAAACGTCCCAAATAATAATTTATTTCATAGTTACTTATAGTCCTAACGTACGAATTCTCTACGTTACGTTTGCACTAATCTCACGTCCCAGTGACGACATAAACAGCTGATTAAATATTTGTTTTGTTATCAGTCGGTTGTTTTATATTTTTATCGCTTAATTTATTGGTCATTTACGTTTCTTACATTTGTCCTCTGTTCAACGGCGTAGTTCTTCTTAGATAAAGCTTTGTATTTTAGTTACTGGGCGTAAAAACAAAACGTAGAAAAGAAACCAAAACAATTGAAGAAATTTTCGGAATTTTATACGGAAAACACCCGCAAATAATTCAACAAAATGAAGAAAAAGGTATGGAATATGAATACCAACAACAACTACATCAAAACTAATATGAATTTTGTTATATTTCATTAGGTATTACTTATGGGCAAAAGTGGTTCTGGAAAGACCAGTATGCGTTCCATTATATTTGCCAATTACATTGCCAGAGATACAACACGACTGGGAGCAACAAGTAAGTTTTAGGAAACCATAAATTTGAAGTCTGAATAATCTTCTCCTCTATTTCCATTTATTTGTTTAGTTGATGTGGAACACTCTCATGTTCGCTTTTTGGGAAATCTTGTCCTCAATCTATGGGATTGTGGCGGCCAGGAGGGTTTCATGCAACAATACTTTGCCTCGCAGCGTGATAATATCTTTCGCAATGTTGAAGTTCTCATCTATGTCTTCGATGTGGAGAGTCGTGAACTGGAACGTGATGTCCACTATTATCAATCGTGTTTGGAAGCGTTGTTACAGGTAAGGCATTTTTTTATGGATATGATTTAAGATCTAAATTATATTTTTCTATTATAGAATTCTCCCGATGCAAAAATATTTTGTCTTATCCACAAAATGGATCTGGTTGCAGAGGAACAAAGAGAAACACTGTTCAAAGATCGTGAAGATGATTTGATAAGGCTTTCGAGGCCCGGAAATGTTACTTGCTTTAGAACGAGTATTTGGGATGAAACGTTATATAGGTAAGGAGGAAAATAATTATTAGGAACTAAAAAAACTGACTGAAAGGAAATGGACGGAGTCTTTATTTACGAGCCGGTGGGAGCCTTTATTGACGGACTGAAAAGGAGCCTTTATAGACGAGTTGAAGGCAGTCTTTATAGACGTGTTGAAGGTAGCATTTACAGACGAGTTGAAGCGAGTCTATATAGACGTGCTGAAGGGAGTCTTTATAGACGAGCTGAAGGGAGTCTTTATAGACGAGCTGAAGGGAGTCTTTATAGACGAGCTGAAGGGAGTCTTTATAGACGTGCTGAAGGGATTCTTTATAGACGAGCTGAAGGGGAGTCTTTAAAGACGAGCTGAAGGGAGTCTTTATAGACGAGCTGGAGTCTTTAGACGAGCTGAAGGAGTCTTTATACGAGCTGAAGTAGTCTTTATAGACGAGTTGAAGAGAGTCTTCATAGACGAGCTGAAGGGAATCTTTATGGACGAGCTGAAGGGAATATTTATAGAAGAGCTGAGGGGAGTCTTTATAGACGAGCTGAAGGGAGTCTTTATGGACAAGCTAAAGGGTGTCTTTATAAGAGAGCTGAAGAGAGTCTTTATAGACGAGCTGTCTTTACAGACAATTTAAATGTAGTCTTTTAGACGACATGAAGGAAATGTATATGAACGAGTTAAAGGTAGTATTTTTAGGCTGGATGTGGATGAAGATATTACGCATAAATTGGAGCTATACTTATATACGAGCTAGAGAGAATTTTTCATAGGAAATCTGAAGGGTGTATTTTGTGGCATGTAGAGGAATATCATTAGACGAGTCTTTATGATATCTAAAATTTAATTTTGTTTTTCTCCTTCCAGAGCCTGGTCCAGCATTGTAACTATGCTCATACCAAATGTTGCTGCATTGGAGAATTCCCTATCCGCCTTTGCCAATGTCATTGAAGCCGACGAAGTACTGCTCTTCGAAAAGGCCACTTTCTTAGTAATCTCCCATTGTCAAAGTAAAAAGAATCGTGATTCACATCGTTTTGAAAAAGTTTCCAATATCATTAAACAGTTTAAGCTAAGTTGTTCAAAACTGGGTGGTAAATTCCATTCGATAGAGGTGCGTAACAGTGCATTTGCTGCCTTCATTGATACCTTTACCAGTAACACCTATGTTATGGTTGTTATGTCGGATCCCACCATACCATCGGAAGCAACATTGGTGAATATTCGCAACGCTCGAAAATATTTCGAGGAACTGGAGAATCCAAATACAAATGCTGTCAATCATCATCAATATCATTGAGAGAGGAGGAGAGAGAGAACATGAGTGTTTTTTTTTCATTTAGTCTCTCGGACTTTCTTTTCTTCCTGGTGGGATAAAATATATTTTACTTTTAAGTGTAAAGTGCTTGTAAATGTTTTACTATATTGCTGGTACTTTTTTTAATTTTCTTCCTCCTATATTATTTCAAATGTTATTATTGATTTTTTCGAACAATTTTATTTTTTTAATTTGTTGTTAATTTTGTATGAATTGTTTTCCTTTTCTCTAAATAGAATTGCTACTATTTTTTGTAATAAACTTTATACAATTTAAGACGAACAATCACATCCTGAAATTTCAATTTCTTTTAAGACGCATTTCGAAATTCGGATAAGATTTTGTTTCTTACGGTTAAAAAAAATAACTAAAGCTCAATTTAAAATTTATTAAAATTAATCTGTTTTGAATTTAAATTCTAAAAATGTTTTTTGTAAAATTTAAAATTTCAAAAATATTTAGATTTAACTAAAAAACAAAATAAAAAACAATAAAATTTATTTTTAAATAAATTAATTATTAAATCATTAAATAAAAGGTAGCTCATAGAGGAGGTGGAAGGGAGTATATGTAGGAGATGGGAGCCTTTATAGATGAGCTGAAGGAAGTCTTTATAGACGAGCTGAAGGGAGTCTTTCATAGACGAGCTGAAGGGAGTCTTTCATAGACGAGCTGAAGGGAGTCTTTCATAGACGAGCTGAAGGGAGTCTTTCATAGACGAGCTGAAGGAAGTCTTTCATAGACGAGCTGAAGGGAGTCTTTCATAGACGAGCTGAAGGGAGTCTTTCATAGACAAGCTGAAGGGAGTCTTTCATAGACGAGTTGAAGGGAGTCTTTCATAGACGAGCTGAAGGGAGTCTTTCATAGACGAGCTGAAGGGAGTCTTTCATAGACGAGCTGAAGGGAGTCTTTCATAGACGAGCTGAAGGGAGTCTTTCATAGACGAGCTGAAGGGAGTCTTTCATAGACGAGCTGAAGGGAGTCTTTCATAGACGAGCTGAAGGGAGTCTTTCATAGACGAGCTGAAGGGATTCTTTCATAGACGAGCTGAAGTGAGTCTTTCATAGACGAGCTGAAGGGAGTCTTTCATAGACGAGCTGAAGGGAGTCTTTCATAGACGAGCTGAAGGGAGTCTTTCATAGACGAGCTGAAGGGAGTCTTTCATAGACGAGCTGAAGGGAGTCTTTCATAGACGAGCTGAAGGGAGTCTTTCATAGACGAGCTGAAGGGAGTCTTTATAGACGAGTTCGAGGGAGTCTTTCATAGACGAGCTGATGGGTGTCTTTCATAGACGAGCTGAAGGGAGTCTTTCATAGACCAGCTGAAGGGAGTCTTTATAGACGAGCTCGAAGGGAGTCTTTATAGACGAGCTCGAAGGGAGTCTTTATAGACGACCCCGAAGGGAGTCTTTATAGACGACCCCGAAGGGAGTCTTTATAGACAAGCCCGAAGGGAGTCTTTATAGACGAGCAGGATTTTTTTTTATGAATTGGAGTAAATCTTTACAGAAAAGTTTAAGGAGTTGAGTTGAAATGAGTCTATATAGGCGGGCTGAAGACAGTTTTTATATATTGAGGAAGTATTAATGAACGCATTTTTAGACGAGCTAAAAGGCCAATCGAAGTAAGTCTTTGCAGTATTCTTCCTTTTTTGTTATTTGGCATTTATTAGTTATCTTATGGACACACAATTTACAATTGTTTATACATACTTGAATATTATACATTAAATGTTACTAACAAAATACAGGCATATTATAAAAATAGATATATTAGAGATAAATATATATGGTTGTATGTATGCAGGTATATTCTTATTACTAAAAAACAGTTATAAGAATCAAATCCCTATTAAGTGGTCTTTCATTGTTCTAAATTAACAGGTGGTTAACACAGGTCTGGGAAAAACGTTCAATAAAATCAACAGTGAAACCCGATTATAGTCTACCACTAGAAGAGTGGACAACAGACCTGTGTCAATTATCACAGTTAAATGCATGACTGATCTCAATTTGTTTTTTTAAGCTCAATTAATTTTTTGTTCCAAAATTTTCTATTCTCCGAATTACGAATAAAACTGTCGCACTTCATCCGTCAACTTTTCCACACTCTCCTCATCGACGGGTATAAAACGTTTGGCACCACGACTAAAGAAATAAATGTCACCCGTATAGATGTCAAACCACAATGCGTGTATGTGTAAATCATGGGATTCAAGGCGTGGTTTCAGGAAGCCATACGAGGCAATATTGGACATTTGTTCGAGTGTGTTTATTTGTGAAAGTTTATCTTCAATGGCAAATTTATTTTCCGGATCAATGTAGGCGACAAAACGGCGCAAGGGTGTTTCCGAGGAGAAAATTAAAGGGTCCGTCATGCCGGCCTTTTTCCATTCGAGAAATCTGTTGAGGCTGGTGTTGGCATGTGTACACAGCCAAGCCCTTAATGGGGATAGGCGACGATTGCGCTGCAAAGTAACAAATAAATTAGAATATTTTATTGCGTTTGGAATTTCATTATGTTCCCCTCACTCCCCTCAGCCTACATACCTTGGAAGCAAATTCAGGATCTCTTAGTTCATACAACAAATTCATGGCCTTACAATCACTATGACCGCAAACAATTATGTGACGTATATCATTGACCACACAACCTAATTCCAGGGCGGCCGGCTCACAGCTATAATGTTCATCTTGAAAGTGTTGGGCATGTGGTATTAAATTTCCAGCATTACGTACTGCAAAAAAACAAACACAATATGGAAAATGATTGATAGTTGGTGAAGATATGACATCTAATAAATTATAAGACAAGTACACACCCACCCACAAACATATCACCAACATGAGTATCCGTATATCTGGTGGGAATCATGCGACTGTCCATGCAGGTAAAGAAAACAGCTTTGGGCTGAAAAAAATAATAAAAAAACATAGATAAGATTGTTATTATTTTTTTTAAAGCAACAAAATAAATAACGAGTGCTACTTTGATAAGAATCTTTTTTTAGTAATCAAATTAGTTTCCATCAAGGCCGAACTTTTCCAGGTTGTCGTAGTGGGGAGAACAAACGCATCAAGATTACGACGGTACAAAAAAAAAAAATCATAAACCAAAGGAAGCTAAATAAAAAAAATTGTTAGTTGATTTCGGAAATCAAAAATGGGCAGATTTTTAAGTATATATTTTTCCTATATGTGATCGGAAGGGATACGTTATAGAGTAACTGAAGGGTTTTTTTATAGTCATACTGGGACGGAATTTTTATAGAAGAGATGAACGAGTTATTTGTGGGAATTTTTTAGTGATAAGCGGTAGGGTGTTTTTAATACGAATTGGAAGAAGCCTTATAGACGACCTAACCGAAGTCGTTATAGAAGTTCTGGGAAAAGTCTATATAGACGTGCTGAAAGGAGATTCCATAAACGAGCTGGAAAGAGACTTCATAGACTAGTGGACTTTTTTATATGACTGACGAGCTGGATGTGTCTTTATAGACAAGTGGGAGGGTACAGAGACAAACTGAAACTAGTATTTATAGACGAGCAGAAGGTAGGGTTTAGAGACGCACTAATGGGAGTTTTTATAGACGAGATGGGGGAGTCTTTATATACGACATGAAGAGAGACCTTATAGACGACATAAAGGAGATCTTTATATTCTGGCCGAAAGTGTGTTTTATATATGAAATGAAGGGAGCATTTTTAGACGGGCTGTAAGGAGTCTTAATAAACGTTCTGAAAGGCGTTTCTGTAGACGAATTGAGGGGAGTCCTTATAGACGAGTAGAAGGTAGTCTTTATAGACGAACTGAACGTAGTCTTTATATACGAGCTGGGGTAGTGTTTATATTCGAGCTGACGAGAGACTTTATAGACGAATTAAAGAAGATCATTGTAGTCGGACTGAAGGGAGCATTTATAGAAGAGCTGAAGGTAGTATTTATAGACGAGCTGAAGGTGGTATTTCTAGACGGGCTGAAGGATGTATCTATAGACGAGTTGAATGGGGTCTTTTTAGACTAGTCTTTAAAGACGAACTGAACGGAGGCTTTATATACGAGCTGGGGTAGTGTTTATATTCGAGCTGACAGGAGTCTTTATAGACGAATGAGCTGGAAGGAGTTTTTATAGGCGGTTTAGAAGGAGTCTATATAGTCTATATAGGAGTCTATATAGACAAACCGAAGAGGAAAGATATTTTAATTGGCGAGCCGCGGATAGGTGTAGTATTTACACATGATTTGAATGGAGTCTATATAAAAGAGCGGAAGATGTCATTGTAGAGTTTTCATAGACGAGCTTAAAGAAATTTGTAGGAAATAGCGGAACGAAGTCTACATAGGCGAGTTGGTGGCAAAATAAAACGGGTTTAATAGACTTTGTATTGAGGAGCTGAAGAGAGGCTCTACGGAAGAACTGAAGACAATCTATTTACACAAGATAAAGCTGGGAGTATATACAGGGAAACAGTGGACATCTCTAAGGTGTAGATGTGGGAGTGTTTTTGAGGCATTCTTTATAGACGAATTTGAGGGTGTTTTAAAGACGAATTTCATGAAGCCTCATAGACGATCTGAGCTTTATATAGATATATGCGAGTTTTTACGGGGAAACTCAATTGAACTACTGTAGGAGTATTTTTTAACCACCTAAGAGAGTCTTTTTAGACTATATGTTCGGAGAAGAGAAGTAGCAGATAATCTTTATAGGCCTTTTAGAACTAACCTGTGGAAAAAATATATATAGTCTGGAGTCAAATTCCATTTTTACTTTCTTTATAGACTGGAAGGAGTTTTCATAGATGAATTAGACGGAGTCTACACTAACCGGAAAGGCAGCCAGAAGCAGCTTTTATATACAATTTTTTTGAAAAAGTCAAATTCCATTTTTCACTTTTTGTCTGTGTGTGTCTTCTGTTTTTAGGAATCAAAATAATTATCAACACCTTATTAGTTGAATGAACTTTGTTTTGTTTACATTTTTTTGTTATAAAGTGTGTCGGAGCGATGAAGTGTGGTGTTCTTAGCTCAGATCTGCGACTATTTTCATTTCAAGCATTCGTTTTTTACTCGCTGTACTTTGAACGCCAGACAAGAAATGGTAATGAAACGTTGTTGTTTATAGATTAAAACATACTGTCTGTATTGGACATTTGTAATAATCACGAAACAGTTGCGCCTCATTAGTTGTGTCATTTCGATCAACTGTCAACAAATGTATTTAAACAATCAGTAATACTACCACAAAGATGTGTATTTTTTTAGGATAGACCAAACCGATAATTTTATACCCTCCACTGAAGTGATACTGGCATTTATTTGCAAAGAAGTTTCCAACGCTACTTGGAACAAACTATAGTGTAATAAATGTTGTTGGAGTTTTGTTAAAAGAGGACCTACTTTAAAATTTTTTGGTGAGGAAGTTTTATACCCAATGACAACCAACTGTGTGGAAATCGCGTCCTGAAAATGGGTGATACTGATATATGGCCCAAAATTGATCTCTTGCTAGGGAGTTTTTCCACTTAATTTTTTTCATACAATGGATAAACTGCTTCCTCGGTTTTAAGCCCCAAGTGTCTCTTAACCAGATCCCTTTCAAACCGTTTCATCCTACTGGCTACGGCTCACAAACAACTAAAAGATGTAATCAACGTAATTTTGTGTTCAATCTCAGAACAAGTCGGAAAATAAATACTATTAATTCACTTCTTCATAGAGTCAATATAGAAGGCACAGTCTAAATGCGCCTATACCCTCCACAATGTATGTATATTAAATTTGGGATTTATCAGTCCATGTTTGGAAATATCCCCCATATAAAAGTACCGCCACTCTTTCGGTATTGTGAAGGTTTTAGTCGCATTGTCAAATAGCCTTGCAAAAAAAGGCGGATATAGGATTTTGTATCGGAATTTTTAGTGTTTTAGTCTTATTTTCCAACCAAAGGGACTGTATTTTTGCATTCAGGGTTCTTGGAGGGTGAAAAACTTATTTAAAGAAATGTTTCGATATAGATCCACGTTTTGAAATTTGTTACTTATTTGTTACTAATTTTAATTTCATATAATTTACTAGGTAACCCGGAAATATTCATTTCCGACCCTATAGAGTACATATATTCTGGATCAGGGTGAAATTCTATGACCATCTAGCCATGTCCGTCCGTCTGTTGTAATCATGCTATCTACTGAAGGAATTGAGATAGGGTGCTGAAATTTTGCATAGGGTTGTCTTTTGTCAGCAGGCAGGCAGGCAGGTCAAGTTCGAAGATGGGATATATCGGTCCAAGTTTAGGCATAGCTCCCATATAAGGGTACCCCCAAATTTTTGGTATTTTGGGGTTCTTGGGCACGTTTTTCAACCGAATTCGCTCACATTTGCTACATTGGGTTCTTATTGGGTAACAAATTTCTTCACAAAAATTTTAAAATATATGTCCACTTTTCCCGGTAGCGCCCACATAACGGTATTGCCTAATTTTCAGTATTTTGGGGATTTTGGTCATATTTTCCCACCGAGTTGGCTGTAATTTAGTATTTTCAGTTCTTAATAGGTAACAAAACTCTCCATAAAAATTGTTTAATATGGGTCAATTTTTTCGGATAGCCCCCATATAACGGTACCCCCAATTTTCGGTATTTTGGGGCTCTTGAGCGTGCTTTTCAACCGAATTCGCTGTAATTTGGTATTTAGTATTCGTATATGGTAACAAATCTCCCTACCAAAAATTATTAATATTCGCCCCCTTTTTGGGGTAGTCCCCATATAACCCCCTTTTATACCCTTCACCACACTGTGGTACAGGGTATTATGTCTTTGTACTTATGTTTGTAACAGGCAAAATGAAACGAGATAGATACATGGTTCCTTTTGAGAATGTGCATAGAATCACTTTCTGAGTCGATTTATGCATGTCCGACAGTCCGTCCGTCCAAAGTACAGGTCGCTTTTATGATCCGATTTGGATGAAATTTGGCACAGCTCACTTATTTGGCCAAAGGACAAGCCCTATTGAAATTGAAGAAAATCGGTTCATATTTAGATATAGCTCTCGTATATAGGTTCGTCCGATTTAAAGCAAATGGGACACCAAAGTCCCTATATATCTTTCGATTTGCATGAAATTTGGCATAGAGTTCTCAATTAGGTCCAGAATGATGTGTGCCAAGTTTCGTGAAATCCGGTTCAGATTTAGATATAGCTCCCATATATATTTTCGAAATTTTCCATAGTGTACTCAATTGTGTCTAGAATGACGTGTGCCAAATTTCGAGAAAATTGGGTCAGATTTATATATAGCACCCATATAAGGTAAATGGGGCTCAAAGTCCCAAATTTCGTTTTATTTACACTTGATGTTGTTGTTCTGCATGTTCATTTAGATTTTCGTGTCTTTGAGATGGATACCTGTCCCTATCATAGTTCGTTTGTTAAGTTTCGATAAAATCGCATTAGATTTAGATTTAATTTCGTTCAATTTTCTGTCGATGTACCTTCGAAAAGGCGACGTCTGTTCGGATACATATGTACAATATACCCAAAGTGGTGAAGGGTATCGTATAGTCGGCCCAGTCCGATTTTACTACTTTCCTTACTGGTTTATATTATAATAGTTATCAGGGTATCCAAAGTTCGGCCCGGCCGAACTTAACGCCTTTTTTCACATATATATATATATATATATATATTACCTTATTGACTCAGAACAGGTTGTATATCTCCCTCTCTTAATCTCGCAAAAAATGCATATTAAACTTTCCAATTTATTGATGTGCATTTTGAAAATATGTACTAATAAATATTAAACATGTGCATTCAACCGGTTCAATGACTCAAAATCAGGCGTTTCACTATGCTATTCCAACGCCACATTTATAAGTACAATACAGTGGGACTTATCTAAACTGAATACTTCATTTAATAAAATTTTTCATCAGATAATTTTACCAAAGGTAGCCTTTTTGATCCTTATGATAGCGACTTTCATTTAGTTCGTAAAAATGTATGCTTTTGGAATTTAACAAATCTCCAAAAGTAAATTTAAGCTTTCAAATTATTTAAGATTTTCAAATTATAAAACATCGGGAATAATCTCTCTATAATGAATTTGCCCCCCTGTACATTATAGCGAAGTTCGACTGTAGTTCTATATGCATATGTATTTATAAAAGTAATCGCCTGCATATCAATCAACTATTTCATAATAATAGATGGCCTTCAGACGCCGAACATAAATTCTGGCGGGACATTATTTAAATATGTATTTTTTATGTTTTTTTTCCCAACTCACCTCTGGGTTATCGCGAACTTTTTGAAATTCTCGTACCATTTGCTCACGTGTTGTATTGCGATAACGCATGATACCTCTTAAAATACGTTCCATGGTGCGGGCTGTTGCTTTTCTTGGTCCTCTTAGTTGTTGTTTGTTATTTTTCACAATTATTGTTTACTTTTTTATCTTTCCAATTCACTGTCACTTTTCACAGTAAAAGTTGTTCACCTACAAAAGTTTGCGGTGTCGGGGTCGTTCACTTGGTGTTTTTTTTTTTTTTTTTTTTTGGAAAAACATACAACACCAATAACTATTAAATGATGAAATATCCAATACTTTCCTTTAAGCTTTAAAAATAAAAACAAACAAAATATTAAAATATTTTTTCTAGTTAAAAAAAAAACAACAAACCAATAACCTTGAACAAACATTTATACCTTTGGGTGTATTTATCTATTTTCTCTAGTTGTTGTTGTTGCTGTTATTCTCTTATTATTGTTTGTTAATAAATGGCAATCATCACACTTTAAGTGCCCCGTCTATATTTATTTGTTTTTTAATTTGCAATAAAATAGCACACACTTTTCCCACCTTTTTTCTCCAAATAGTTAAACGACCGGCCTCCCACTTTGCTGTTTTTATTATTGCGTTATTCTTTCGTTTGTTTGTTGTTGGTTTTTATTATTTATTTGTAAAACGATAAAAATGTAGAATAATAATAAAATAACGCGCGTGCTTCCGTATCTGACTAGAATCCGTGTTTTTTTAGACAAGCACTGTTGTGTCCACTCTCCGCCCATTCAAATGCTACTAAAATCAGTCGGGGGGCTCTGTTGATTGTTGTGATGGTAGCACAGCTCAACCAACAAGTCAAAAAATAACGAAAACACGAAGATGACATGCCATAACCAGAGCGAGAGTTGTTTACAAAAAACTATGGCGGCAATAACAACAACATCCATGTGCTCCACTGATTTGGGGATGTGTAGAGAGAGAGTCAAATTATAAAGTGAGTTTAACGGCTGCTCTTTGCTAGTGCTCTCTGTCTCACACTCTTTGCATGTCATATATTTCGATAACCAGAGCACTATCGATAAGCTTTGAACTAACCGTTTGACATTTCCTATTTTAAATGAACCAAAAAGGCAAAATAAATGATGCATTTTTATTATTATAATAAAAAATATAAAATTATAATATAAATAAAAATATTGTAAATAACAACAAAATATGTAAATTTGTTTATATTAATTATAATAATTAATAATTATAATAATTAATAATTATTAATTATAATAATTATAATAATAATTATAAGAAAATACAAATAATTATTTTTCATTTCCCTTTTATATCTCGCCACTTGGCATTTACTCTATTTAAAAAATAAAGATACGGAAAATAAATTATAAAAGCCCTTTCAAACACAATTGCAAATGAAATATAATAGAAAATTATAACTAATTATAATAAAAAAGTATAAATATATAGTTATCTATAATATAATAATAGACAAATCTATTAAAAAACTTTTTATACCCTCCAGCATTTATTTTTAACATTTGAAATCGGCCGAGACCTTTATGTGCGAGATATGTCAGTAAAAATTGTCTGGATTTTTTTTTTGCAAAATCCTGAATTAAATAAAAATAATGCCTGTTTCACACAGACACATTAATAAACAAGACTTTGAACGGCGCCCAACGTAGGATCAAATATTATGCCATTATATCAGATGGACTATTTGCAATTAATGTCTTAATGTAAAAGTAAGTCCTTTATAATAAAAAATAATGTTCTTTATCAAATGGCGCCCGACGTTAAGTCCTTTTAGTACATACAAATTTCGAAGTACATCAATAAAATAAAAAATGACTATTTAAAAAACACAAACAAATAAATAAACATGTTTATAAATACGAATGGCGCCCAACGTAGCCTTAAATAGTAAGTCATTAGATCACATAATATTCCTTATCAAATGGCGCCCGACATGGAGTTCATGCATATTTCGAAGTACCTCAATAAAGTAAAAATAAATGTCTATTTCAAAAAAAACCTTTTAATAAACAAGTTTATAAACACAAACGGCGCACAACGTATCTTCAAATAGTAAGTCATTAGTTTAGATGCACTATTTTCATTAGAACTGTCAAGTGCATTATTTTCAATTATAGTTTTCCTATTTGGACAATTTATTTGTAAAATTTAAAAAACATTTAGTTTCTAATGTACTTTTAAGTAATTCTTTTATATTAATAATTGTTTGTTTCAAATGGCGCCCAACGTGGAGTAATTAGCAAAATAATACTACAACTTTTGATTCAATATATCTAACTTGTTTCTGTTATGTTCAGACAAAATGGAATCAAAACAATTGGAGTAAATTTTAAACAAAAAACTGACATCTGACGTGGGATGGAGTCTGAAAGTTTTCAAAATATATTTTTTCAAATGTCTTTCTCTAATTTAAGTTATGTTAATGAATGTATGTTTTCCAATGGCGCCCAACGTGGGTCCTTACAATAATGCAAATACTACTAACACTATGCAAATTTCGCATTTAATTCCGTCGAAAAATAATTTCGACTTATGGGGTCCATTTCCTTCAGTAAATTTTTAAGAAGCTTCTCATTTCTTACCACGCGACAGTTTGGCGAGCTGTCCAATAATTTTTAATACTTTTTTTCAAATGTCGTTCCCTAATATAATGTATGTTTTTCAATGGCGTCCAACGTGGGTTCCCTACATAAAATACTACTAACACTACGAAAATCGGGATTCCGGCGAAAAATCATCTTGACGGATAATGTCTATTCTCCTCTAAATTGTTTAGAGGTTTTTCTAGGCTGGTTTGACGTGATATTGGATCAACAATTACGTTGAATGGATTGATATATGAAGAGATAATGATTTTTTTTGAGGTTAAATCTGGATGGGATTGATTTGAACAACGTTAACATTCAACAAGGTGGCTGGTTACGGGAAAATGTCTTTTAAATACCCTTCGACTTCTTCCTTTGGGGTCATGTGAAAGATAATGTCAATAGCCAAACATCAATTTAAAACTTCCTTTGGTTGAATTCGTGAGGTTATCGAGGGCTGTTCATTATTAATGACACAACTTCCTCTATCTTATTTACTCCGATTTTTTTTAATTTTTTCAACAGGTTTAATTCCGCATGTTTGCCCATCGCTGATATCTTGTATTTTATTGCCAATTTGACAGATGTTTATTGTTTTTATTAGTTATTTTTATTATATTCCCATTAAAGTACTCCACAACTTGTTTCATTCTCTTCCTCTCTTTTAGACTCTCTGTAATTAAATATTGCTAGTAAAATGCATTGTGACGTTACTCCACTATCCTTTCATCCCTTTATGTTGTTATTTTCATAACAAAACATTAAAAGAGAGCTTTTATCTCTCAAATACAATAAAAACACTGAGACAACAAGAGACAGGACAATAACAAAATAAAGTGTTCTCAGCTTGCTGTTACTTCAATAACACATAGAAAGAGAGAGAGAGAGAGCGCGAGCGAGCGTGATTTAGTGTGGTTGAACAACATAAAAGGCGGCATTATGTAAACAACAACAAAACGTTACAAGGACATGTCATGCAGTTTGCTCATGTTTTGATAAAATGAAATAATCAATAACAGACGAAGAAAAACAACAGAAACATAAAAGCAACCGTGGCATAGAGGAAATATGTGTAATTGAGTTTAGTGGAGTGCCAGAGAGTGAGTGTTGCGAATGATAGCAGCAGCCAGACAGGCATTTGACATTTCAATGTAAATTAGTTGGGAATATTTTTTCATGGAATGAAAAGGCGTTTTCGCAAAGTGAAATTAAAAAAATGAATGGAAAATAATAAAATATATTAAATTCAAATAAAATATTAAGTAAATATTATTAAAGTGAAGTGAAATAGAGAAACAGCAATTGCAATGAAATTACCACTTCGTTAATTTGTGTATATCCATCCGATGCTAACATAAACCAACAAACAAAAGCAAAATAAAAACGAAAGGAAATCAATTCACTTTTGTCCATATAACATACATATTTACAACAAAAGAAAACGTCCTAGTTTAAGTTCAAAAACATTTTGCTGCGCGACATAAAAATTAAAGTTTCTAATAATCGTTATTAATTCATTATGTAAAGAGCAATTTGAATAGATTTATTTGATTTAAAAAAAACCTCCAAAGGAAAAAAGAGTCAACATGGTGGCCGATGAAACATCGTCTGGCGATGCCAGCAATGCAGTTAAGGAACGCCCAGTTTTTATACCGCCACGTAAACGTCAAACTAACAAAAAATCGAATGGCACACAAAATTATGTGGACCACATAGCCAATGTACAGGTGAGTGGTCAATTTTTGCAAATATATGTAGATTTTTTTTTTTTTTGTTTCGTTGTTTGAAATGAAAAGTGATGTGGGTGAATGTAATAAAACATGTAGATAATTATGAAAATAAATTAAATTTAAAATATTTTAATATTCATATAAATTTATAAAAAATTAATTTTTCAAGAATCACCAAAGCGTGGATTTATAAACAAAAAAACTAAAAATGTGTATTTATTTTTATAAAAATTAAAAACAATATTAAAAAATATTTTTTCAAGGCGTGTATTTATTAAAAAATGTTTTTTCAAGATTCACCAACGCCTGGATTTATTAAAAAATATTTTTTTAAGAATTATTAAGGCGTGGATTTATTAAAAATATTTTTTTTAAGAATTATTAAGGCGTGGATTTATTAAAAATATTTTTTTAAGAATTATTAAGGCGTGGATTTATTAAAAATATTTTTTTAAGAATTATTAAGGCGTGGATTTATTAAAAAATATTTTTTTAAGAATTATTAAGGCCTGGATTTATTAAAAAATATTTTTTTAAGAATTATATAGGCCTGGATTTATTAAAAAATATTTTTTTAAGAATTATATAGGCCTGGATTTATTAAAAATTATTTTTTTGAATTTATTAAAAATTATTTTTTTAAGAATTATTAAGGTTTGAATTTATTAAAAATTATTTTTTTAAGAATTATTAAGGCGTGGATTTATTAAAAAATATTTTTTTAAGAATTATTAAGGTTTGAATTTATTAAAAATTATTTTTTTAAGAATTATTAAGGTTTGAATTTATTAAAAATTATTTTTTTAAGAATTATTAAGGCGTGGATTTATTAAAAAATTTGTTTCAACGATATCCAAGGCATAGATTTATTAAAAAATTTGTTTCAACGATATCCAAGGCATAGATTTATTAAAAAAATATGTTTCAAGGACATCCAAGGCGTGGATTTATTAAAAAAATTTTTTTAAGGCGTGGATTTATTAAAAAATTATTAAGGCGTGGATTTATAAAAAAATATTTTTTTAAGAATTATTAAGGCGTGGATTTATTAAAAAATATTTTTTTAAGAATTATATAGGCGTGGATTTATTAAAAAATATTTTTTTAAGAATTATATAGGCTTGGATTTATTAAAAAATATTTTTTTAAGAATTATATAGGCGTGGATTTATTAAAAAATATTTTTTTAAGAATTATATAGGCGTGGATTTATTAAAAAATATTTTTTTAAGAATTATATAGGCGTGGATTTATTAAAAAATATTTTTTTAAGAATTATTAAGGCGTGGATTTATTAAAAAATATTTTTTTTAAGAATTATTAAGGCGTGGATTAATTAAAAATATTTTTTTTAAGAATTATTAAGGCGTGGATTTATTAAAAAATATTTTTTTAAGAATTATTAAGGCGTGGATTAATTAAAAATATTTTTTTCCAAGCTTGATTTTTTTTAAATATTCTTTCCAAGCTTGATTTTTTTTCAAATATTCTTTCCAAGCTTGAATTTTTTTTAAATCTTTCCAAACATGACCTTTTTAAATATTTTTTCCAAACTTCAACTTTTTTTAAATCTTTCCAAACATGACTTTTTTAAATATTTTTTCCAAGCTTGATTTTTTTTAAATATTTTTTCCAAGCTTGACTTTTTATACCCTACATGGTATTATAGCTTTGTGCAACCCCAAGAGTTTGTAACGCCGCGAAATATTGGTCCTAGACCCATTAAGTATACCGATCGTCATATCTCGACTAGTTTTAAATATTTTTTCCAAACTTGAATTTTTTAAATATTTTTTGAGGCTCGATTTTAATTCCTCCTTTCTAACCTCTTTCTCTTGCTCTCTCTTTTCTAGAACCGTCAAAAACTCTCTCCCTCTAACAATGGCCTAGAAGAAGATCTGCTCAACACGAAGCTGCTGATTAAAAATAAACAGCCACTACCCCAAATACCGGTAAAGAATGGCGATCCAGAAGTCAAATCCGCTGCACAGTCCGTCGACAATATCTATGTCGATGATAATGAGCTGAATAATTTCGAAAGTGTTTCACAGGGGACGAAGTCCACAAATCGTCATGAATCCTCAACGGTTACACCCAGCAGCTATTCGGAGAGTAGTCTCGATGTAAAACTCAGCAAATCTCATGACTGCTTGAGTAATCGTTCATCGTCCAAGAAACGGGTTAATATTCGCACCGATTTACCACAGCTGCGAAGTGAACGTAATTCACCCGATCAGGCTGCGAACTACGAAGATTTAGAATCCGGCGAGACAAGTGTTTTGAACACCTACGATCATTCATTGGAGAGATATCAAACGGCCAGGAAATCTATGGATAGCACAAATTATTTAACAATGACCGGAACCATAAAACGGGGACGCAAGAAAGGTCAAAGTTTTGATTTACAGTTGAATATCAGTCGTGATGAATTGGAAAAAATCAATGCAGTGGCCATAAGTACAGTGCAAAAGAAAAAGGAAAATCTCTGCTGTCGATGTTCCCTCAATACTGGGTTGCATATTTTTCTACTCTCTCTGATTTGTTTGCCGTTTGTATCGATGATCACAGCAATCTATAGTTTCTATATTGGAACAATAACCTGGTACAATGTCTTCAATTATTTGCATGAAGAAAAATCGATAATTGTTCGGCTGCTAATGTCGCCGATTTTGGTTGCGGCATATCCTATTTATATACTGGGATGTAGTATCGGTTTGGCCGTGTATGCCGGATTTGTACAATTAAGTTTTCAATTCTCGAGTTGGTTTAATGAAGTGGCCGATATTGAAAAGGGCTTCTATGGATGGCTTTGTTCATTGCTCAACTTATCCGATTGTAGTCCCTATGAAGTGGTCATTCTCACCGATATACGAGAAGAACCGGTAACGGGTGGGTTGCATGCACCACGCTTGGAAATACAAACATCCAATGAAGAATTAACTCTGTAAGGTAAAATTGAAAGAAAAACTGATGGTAACCCTAGTCTTAAGAGAAGTGAAGGAAAAACTTCAAGCTGATGTAAACAAATGTAAGAGAGCCTAATAAAAGAGAGAAGAAGAGAGTAATCATGCAGATTAGCTACACAGTGAAAAATAATTCAATAACTAAAAACTGCTGCAGACATAACCGTCATAGTAATTAAAAAAAAAACAAGTGATATTCAAAATGTATTTTTAATGTCAAGGAACACAAAAACAAAAAAACTTAAATAAGAAACAATATTACAAACTGAAAACATATTAAGAGCAACCCATTGTGGTTTCCCTTTTTTCCATTTTATGATCCAAGAAGTGTGATATATAAAAAAATAAAATAATGACATATTTATATGTGAAAATTAAAATAAAAAAAAAACGTTACAAAATTCCAGTACTCAACATACAACCGAAAATAATACCAAAAAAAAATAATTTTCCAAAACCAAAAATGTTCGAATTCCTTTAAGGCAAAGAAACTATTTACTATAATTTTAAAAAAAGACATACATATTTAAATTGCAGTATATTTTAAGTAAAAAAATAAGAAAAAAGCCAATAATAAAAATTCCAAAGATAATTAGAATAAGAAAACGCATAAATTTACAAAAACATAAACACACACAAACAAAAATGTATTTAAATTTATTAATAAATAAAAATGCAAGCTTAGCTAACCTAATAATAATAAAAATAGTTATAAAAAGAAAATTTTATAATATTCCAGTATTTAAATTTGATATAACATTTCCAATATACAACTATAAATTTGTTTCATATTTAATTCAATTTTGAATTATAAGATTTTTTTAAGAAAGAGAGTAGCTTTTTTTTAAATAAAACAATTTGTCGTAGCACAATTGTACATTTATTCAAAATATTTTTTTTATGAACCAACATAAATGTGGGTGTATTCAAATTTATTTTTAAAAGAATAAAAAATATTTTTTTTTAAGAACCGTGGATTAATAAAAAATAAAAAAAAAGTTGTTTAAAAAATATTTTCTGAAGACTCAACATAGCGTAGATTTATAAAAAAAATACTTTTGAAAAAAATACCAAAGTGTGGTTTAAAAAAATATTTTTTAAAAAAATAGATGTACTACATAACAATTTTGAAGAATCCATGAGTATATTTATTTAAAAAATTTTATTTCAAGAATAACCAAGATTTATTAACAAAAATATATATCCATATATTTTAAGTTTTGCAGTGCCAACAGAAACTTGAAATTTTGTTAATAAATCTATTCCCGGATATAAAAAATCCTATAAAAAATCATTGTGCATATCTTTGCAAAAGGAAACGAGATAGACAAAGAACCTCTTTCTGAGTCGAGCATGTCCGTCTGTAGATGTTAAATTGTAAACAAAGTGCAGGTCGCATTTATGATCCGATTTGGATAAAAATTGGCACAAGTCACATATTCGTTCCAAGGACGAAACCAAATGATATTGAAGAAAATCGGTTCAGATTTAGATATAGCTCCCGTATATAGTTTCGTCCGATTTAAGGTAAATGGGGCACCAAATTCACTATATATCTTTCGATTTGCACGAAAATTGGCATAGAGTACTGAATTAGGTCCACAATGATGTGTTCTAAGTTTCGTGAAAATCGGTTCAGATTTAGATATAGCTCACATATATAGTTTTGTCCGATTTTATGTAAATGGCGCACCAACGTCCCCATATATATCTTTCGATTTGCACGAAATTCTGCATAGTGTACTGCATTGAGTCTTGAATGACGTGTGTCAAGTTTCGAGAAAATCAGTTCAGATTTAGATATATCTTCCATATATATTTTCGTCCGATTTAAGGTAAATGAGGCTCCAAAGTCCCTAAATATATTTCGATTTGCACGAAATTAGGCATAGGGTACTAAATTAGGTCCAGAATGATGTGTGCTAAGTTTCGTGACAATCGGTTCAGATTTAGATATAGCTTCCATATATAGTTTTGTCCGATTTTATGTAAATTGTGCACTAAAGACCCAAAGTTTGTCCGATCGGCATACAATTTTGTACGATGTACTGAAGTTACTATAACCTTTCGAGTGTCAAATTTTCTAGAAATCGTTTCAGATTTCCATATAGCTCCTATATATACTTTCGTCCGATTTTAAGTAAATGGTGCACTAAAGACCCATAGCTAGGCCGATTGACACAACGTACTAAAATTAGTATAAATTAATCTCTGACAAGTTTCCTTGAAATCGGTTCAGATTTCAATATAGCATAGCTTCCATATATAATTTCATGCTGATTGTACACCAAATAATTAATGGGCGCCTGAGTGATATTACATTTTAAACTGCGAAGCATACCAAACTGCGTGAGTAAAGTTTGTAAATAGATTTATTTACAAAATTTTGAATAGGTTTAATTATAGAAAAATATATCATATTTCAATTCTTTCAATTCCATGTCAATGTTTCTTCGAAAAGCGAAGTCTGTTAAGATACATATGTAGAATATACCCAAAGTGGTGAAGGGTGTCATGTAGTCGGCCCAGTTCGACTTTACTACTTTCCTTAATGGTTAATACTTTCACAAGCTCACGTTTTGGAAAAATTGATAAAAGTGTTGGTTATTTTTTATTTTTTATTTATTTATTTTATTTTATTTTTTTTTTTTTTTGAAAAATCCAGAAACCCATTTTTTATAAAAAATATTTTTTGAAGGTCCAACTAATATTTTTTGAATTACCAACCGAAGCCTGGATTTAATAAAACTAAAGTTATTCGATTTGCTTTGACTCCTTGAAATATTATATACTTGTTCGCCGAAAACATATTTGAGAATTGATACCAGTTTGAAAATATGTGCTCGACGATCATATAGTATGAAACTATTGCAAGTTTTATTAAATCATATTGAATTTCAATCAGCGTGAATTTCTTCAAAACTTAGCTATGACGTCTATGTAAATTTTTTGGTCCAATGGAGCGTATAACTATTGCCGTATATTATACGCAACATTGAACCGTTCAAAATGTAATGAATATTTTTCACATGTTAACATTTAGGTAGCAATTTTTTGCTGAGTTCTCCACCATATTGCAAAATTCATTGAATACAGCTGAATTCATAAATATTTTTTAAAAATTTGCACAATATTGTACATATTTTCAATAATTTATCTGCTAAGTTGAAATGTAATCGAATATTATTTTTATCAAAAAAAGGAATAAACATATATATATATACATATATATATATATATAATTTTTTTTCACATTAAATATTAAAATTGATTTGATGAGAATCTCTATTTTAGTTCGACATGATTTTGTTTCCATATAATGACTATATATCGATATCGATTTCAAATTGTAACTATTAAAAAAATATTTATTTAAAAAGTCTATAACCCAAAAAATAGTTTTATACACAAAATCTCTCTCTAAAAATTCTATAACAACCAATGATCTCAATAAATATAATACAATTATACTCAAATCACAATAATAATAAATTGTTTCTAAAAAAACGACTAAAAACAAACACTTACGAGTACATTACAAAAGAAAAAACAAAAGAAAACATATATTCCTATGACCAATGATACAAAATTACGTTCCAGTTATGCATTTAAGTATTGTTTTTTGTAATAAAGTTTAAATTACAAAAAAATTAATTACGAAACCAAAAATAAGCATTTATTAAAAAACGGCATTTAATAAATTTGTTTAAACACAATAAAGTATATATATAAAAAATAGTATCTTAAGCATTTAATTGACATTAACTTGGACGAATAAAAATAATACACAATAATGTCAAAATAACAAGAACTTATCAAATCAAGCCAAATAAATGAATAAAAAATAAAAACTTTTTTAATCTAAAATAAATGTTGTTTAATTTGTTTATTAAAAACTAAATGGAAATTAATGATGTTCCGTTAATTTGACATCTCCATTTTAAAAGTCATGAACAGCTGATAATGACAGTTTCTTCATTCATTATATGGCACAATAAACAGGTAGTCCATTTAGCTCAGCTGATGTCTCGATTAACTGTCAACGTGCGTAATTTCTACATGAATTCGAAGTGAAATATTATAAGTAAAAATTTTACAGATTGTCGTGACAAAAACAACGGTTTTTGTTATGATACAATCACCTTATTATTGCATCATGATTCATTCCACGGTACAATTAAGAAATACTTCATTTAGCGCAGCTGACTATCCGATTAACTGTCAAAGTGCATTGCAAGATCAGCTGTCAGCTGTTTTTTTCTCAAGTCTTATGTCAAGTATTTGGATTTTGTTTACGTTTTTATAATGGAAGTCAATTCACAATAATGAATTTTGACAGCAAACTTAAGAAAAAGTTGATACTGGTGCATAGTTTCTACCATGGTACAGCTGACTATCCGATTAACTGTCAAAGTCATTGCTCAATAAATAGATAGTCCATTTATAGCAGCTGATGTCTCGATTAACTGTCAAAGGTGCGTAATTTCTACTTGAATTCGACGTGCAATGTTGCCAATCATGAGACATATTACTAGATAAAATTTGACAGATGGCCGAATAAATAACATATGTTTTTGTTTTGATACATCACCTTGTTTTTGAATCATGATTCATTAAAAGATAGATTAACAATATGAAACATTACCGACAGGAATGGAAAGGTTATGATAATAAAGTCGTCCGATAAGGCCAGATGATTTCACCCGAGCTGTCAAAATGCTTTTAAGATTGACTTAATCGTATGAAAACGTAAAAAAAAATAGATAGTATGGGGGATTTTCAACAAAAAATTGCCGACAATGATTGCTTCTGACACGACCTGATTATTAATAAATAATAAGAAAAATTACAAAATCCATTAATAATTGACAATAAAAAAGCTGTCAGTCCAAACTAATCGTGTGTACTCACCCTTAATTCCCACCGAAAATTATGTGAAGAAAGAATGACAAGAAGTTCCTTTCTTGTCATTCTATTTCCCCGCCATTATTTCCCTCTCAACTGTATGACAAATGAATGTCATGAAAGCCTACAAAACTGCTTTAACACCCAATCACTCAACACCATGCTGAGATGATAGATAACCAGCCGGTTATCATCTACATCTTCCTAGTTTGTTTTTTGCTAAAATAACCTTCTTAACATTGGAAATTATTGTTTTTGTTTATTTTTTTTTTTCTAATACCCATACATACACATACGTATGTACATATGTCCACAATCTATATTTATAATGCCAAATACTGTTCTAATAAACTAAAACTAAGTTTATTGTTTATTGCTCAAACAAGCCCACTTTTTTATGGCAGAGTGATACGGAAGACAAAAAAGAAATAAATATAAGAAACAACAATTGCTGATATTACAATTTCACATTTGTGAATAAGAGAAATGGTGAACATTATTTGGGGCTAATATCTCCTTTGAAGATAATAATATTTATAAGGGTGCTTAGTTTGATCCACAAATCTATAAAGACAGTTCAAAAATTATTACTACCCATTCGCCACGACTCGACTAGTTCCTTTTTACACCCCATAAACAATGTGAGTCTCCTTGTCGGGGGCTTTATCGTCTTACATCCTGGCAACCTTCATAATTTTAATGAAAACGACATTCACCATCGAATCTACGCCGTTGGTTGTCAAAATTTTAAAAAGAAAGACTTCTTCACAATCAGTTTCTTGTTTTGGACATTTCAATAACAATCAGCCTGGGGCTTCTGCGTAAGTTTTCAAGGGCCTATTTATATGAGATACTTTATTGAATTCTCAACGATTATTTCTAATGCGGTGTACACACTAGCATTTTTGAATGACACTCTTGCCCAAATTTTGCTTGTTTGATAGTGTGGCCTCACATGTTTGTCATTCATCAGGCAACCACCAAAATATTTATGGTTGTTGGACAGTCAGTAATCGATAAAAAAGTTGACAGTCAAAAATGATAGTGTGTACACTGCTTAAGTCTCCAAAACAAAATACATTTTGTCTCGAACCATCCTAATATCTTACTTTTGGAAATATATTCTCAGAGAATGTATTGTAAAAATACCCTATTGGAAAAACATTAATTCAGCCAGATATTGTGTGGAACCCTTAAACAAGTCGAATTTATTTTCTCAGGAGAGCATTTATATTTTTATACAAAACTCAATGATGATTTCTGTATTGCAAAGAAAACATTTGAATTAATTCACAATTATTACGAAGTCGATTATTTGTGTTAAAAAAATAATTTTATTTATTTACTTTTTTTTTTTTTTGTAAATGCCTTTTTAACCTCGAAGTGATGAGACACCAGCGAAATTCTCATGCAGTTTATTTCATTGGTCAGCTAAGTATTTCGCTTTGTTACAAGAGAATATCCCAACAAAAAAACTAAGGGAACTTTCTGCCTACCCCTCTTCCCTGCCTACCACTCGGCAAACAATGCCATACATTCCCCACTAATAAATAATTGTTTTTTTTTTTAAACAACAAGGTGGGATTCAGCCTGACTATTGGTTCCCGTACTGAAAGAATCGACTATTTTTTACTACGATAACACTTTTTTCCTTTATGATATCGAAAAAATAGTAAAAACTAGTAGATTCTTGCTATACGGGAAAAACCATATTTTTGAAAAAACAAAATACAAGTGGTATCCCAAATAAACCGCCAACACTACTGAATTTTATTTATTTCTAAATTTTTCCTACAGGGTATACTTCTCACCTAACAATTCCATATGTTCTCACTCCGTTGCCACGGTGATTAAGTCACTTTTTAAATAATCCGAAACGGAAGCATGTGTTTTGCAAATAATTTGTTGATGTAGAATATTTTATTCCTTGACACTATGCACGAAAAGTGAAGTCTCTTATTATACTGTATAGAATTATCTACATCCTACTTCAGTTAATAAAAAGGAGTGCATGGCAAGGCAATGAGTTCTAAGATTCATCGCTGAGCGGAAAATCTCCGGGACACTCTGAAGAGAACTGCAGATCCTGATCGTCATCCCATTCTCAAAGCGAACATCAGGAACCTTAGCGTGATAATAAAGCAACTTATTATCAAGCACGAGAAGGACCGCTTTAAATGCTACATGGAGAATATTGAGCTTCGATCTACAAACTTGCCGTATGGAGGCAAGTTTCTTTAATCATCAAGTCTTTCGAGTACGAGACGAGGACAAGCTGTCTGAACAACGTCCAGCCAAGGCAGGGGTACCACAAGGATCCACTCAGGCACGTAAGGAGACACCTACATGATCTAGAGAGAGAGGTCCAACGGTATAAAAGAGAACCCCTAGATCGTGAGGCTTATCGAGTGGAATTACCAGCATTCACACGGAAACAGTGACCCAGGCAATGGACCAATACCGTGTGAATGCAGTACTTGGAGTCCACCCACCACCTATAGCAGCAGAAGAGCGACAGCTGCCTAGACAAACGAGAGTGGTTTTAGCCCAACTAAGATCAGGATGGTGCAACCGCCACAATTCGTATTGAGCCCGAATTGACAGCGCGGTACCAAACACATGCCCTGAATATGGATTTGGACCTCACGATACGCTGCATCTCTTTAACTGCACTGCTAAACCCACTCATCTGTCTCCGGAATCTCTTTGGACGCAGCCGTTACAGATTGCAACCTTCCTGAACCTGGAAACAAAATAATACAAGAAACATGTAGATAGTTGCTACGACAACAACAGACCCGCCCGCCAAATCAGAACGTCTACAATGCCATCGATTTATACCCGATCGATGTCTGCATGATGAGGAATGCGCTCAACTTCCTGGAAAGGAGCCAACTTGTGGAGAATAGGATAGTGGACCAATTCCTGGAGTACAACGAGGAACTCCCCGCCATGCTTAGAAGGAAACACCTGCTGTCTGCAGCATTGCTTAAGTTGCCAGATGAGACTTATAGTAAAACTTTACGGCAAACATTTTTGTAGAATATTCTGAAACCCCTTCAGGGTTAACAAATGGCTCACGTTTATATCAATAAAATTGCCAAAGACATCATATCCCTAGAATGCAAGGGTTTCGAGAAATCCTAATCCAAATATTTTCAAATCTCTTGAAATTTCCCCGCCTTTATAGGCTAGATCTCAAAGTAAATTTTCAAGGTCCCATTAATGTCAAACCAAATGTATGTGTACATTATTGAATAGGTTTGGACCTATTTGCCATAAAGTAACCTCAACGAATAATATTCACATAATATTTATTTTTAAACATTCCACTTAGTCCACTTGTCGTATTAACGGCATCCCCAAATGTTCTCTCACAAGAATATTCATATTTATTGTTGCGAAAATTGCATAATGGGAAAAAAGCAAAACAAACAAAAAATATAACAAATCAAAACAAAAGCCTAAAGAACCAACTACTAGAAAGCGAAACAATTCCAAATATTAATTCAGTTGTTTTTTAACAGACGTCGAATACGGTTCGGTTCGGTGCGCTTAAGTAGTTTCCAAAATTTTATAGTTTTTTTATTAAGAAAGGAACACCAACCAAAAAAATGGCAAAGGATAATTTAACAGCTGTTCTATATGGAATTGAAGATATGCGTTTGGTGAGTATGGTGTCATCAAAGGAAGAGTGTATAAAAAAGAGATAGAGAGAAAGTGAATTTGTTTTTGAAAACACTTGGCTGACACCGGTGGGCGAAATTAAAAAAAGTGCGTCTAAATTTAAGCGACGCAATAAAAATGAAATTGATTTGACAAAATGAATGCTGTTATTTTTATAAATAAAATAAAAAAGTGGAGAAAATATTCCATATTTAATAGGTTGCCGGTCTGAGTGCTTCACCGGGATTTTAGGCGTATTAATAGCTCGTTTGAGATTGAACATTTGGTCACTAGTGACCAGATATTTTCATAAGTTCATCATAATTTCGCAGCTGAGGACCAACCGCCCACGAAGTCTTTTATTATATTTTAATGGATATTCTGTCGCATAGCCGGGATGGGGATATTAGAAGAAAGTAAAAATGTCCGATCGTCGAAAACATCGCTGTAAATTCGTATAAGAATCTGTCGCTTAGACGGTAATGGACTCAGTCCTTAGGTGACCAAAACGTTTTTTTATTGAAGAGACTTAAGACTACTCTAAGGTCTGATCTCGGATTGTTCTAAAATTTGTACTGTAGTTGGCACAATTACCCTGACTACAGCGATTTTTCCCCTACAAAAGTGCACACTTTCTGACATATAAACTTCCCCTACCTTCTAAAATGAACTAACCATATCGAAAAAATCTCAAATTTCCGACGTAACAACATCTATCACAATAATGGGAATTTTTGTATGTATCAGTGTGGAAAACTGACCAAAGAAGATCGATCACATACTCTGAATGCTATAAATCGATACTATTAAAAATGATATTTTGTCTCCTGGTCGGACGAAGGACTTTATAGATATATATTGGTCCCCCATTGAACCATTTGAATTTCTTGGAAGTGAATATTCTCATGAGCGGGACACATTAATAGAATTTCTGTAAAGGGGCTTGGCAAAATATATCTTGTTTATTTTTCTTTCGATTTTCTAACAACAATTACGTCCGACTGACCGGCTTCGCGTACTATATCTAATTAAAAATAATTACATTGGCAAGCGAATTTCACGTGCTTTCACTTGAAGGTGTGTCATCTTAGCGTTGAGAAATAAATTTGCGAAAAAAAATCTGTAAACAAAATTTTTGGCACAACAATTAATACCTTAACCCCATGAAGAACAAATTCGGATATTTTAAAATTTCAATTTCATTATAGAAAGGGAAATTGTTAAAGTTGAAATGGTTCTGAATGGCGTATAAGTGTTGACATGCTTCATACGCACCGCTGCACTGCATTAAATTGGCTGAGAGGATTAAAAGTCGAAGAAGGGCGAGAGAGAAAGAGATTAGATTTGATGATTTTGGTTTAATAAGGATTTTAATAAAAAATATTTTTTGGATTAAAAATCTACGACTTCAAAAAAATATTTTTAAAGATCTACGCCTTAAAAAATATTTTTTAAAAATCTACCCCTTGAAAAAATATTTTTTTTAAAAATCTACGACTTGAAAAAATATTTTTAAAGGTCTACGCCTTAAAAATATATTTTTTAAAGGTCTACGCCTTGAAAAAATATTTTTTTTAAATCTACGCCTTGAAAAAAATATTTTTTTTAAATCTACGCCTTAAAAAAGTATTTTTTTTTTTAAATCTACGACTTAAAAATATTTTTTAAATGTCTACGCCTTAAAAAAATATTTTTTAAAGGTCTACGCTTTGAAAAAATATTTTTTAAAAGTCTACGCCTTGAAAAAATATTTTTTAAAGGTCAACGCCTTGAAAAATATTTTTTTTTAAAAATCTGGGCCTTGAAAAAATATTTTTTTTTTAAATCTACGCCTTAAAAATATATTTTTTAATGTCGACGCCTTGAAAAAATATTAAATCGACGCCTTGAAAAAATATTTTTTTTAAATCTTCGCCTTGAAGAAATATCTTTTAAAATCGACGAATTGAAAAAATATTTTTTAAAATCGTCGCCTTGAAAAAAATATTTTTTTTTTAAATCTACCCATTGAAAAAATATTTTTTAATATCGACGCCTTGAAAAAATATTTTTTAAAATCGACGTCTTGAAATTTTTTTTAATAATCTACGCCTTGAAAAAATATTTTTTTAAAAAATCTAAGCCTTGGATATTTTTTAAAAAATCTTTTTTTTTAAAAATCTACGCCTTGAAAAAATATTTTTTTTTTAAATCTACGCCTTGAAAAAATATTTTTTAAAATCGACGCCTTGAAAAAAATATTTTTTAAAATCGACGCCTTGAAAAAATATTTTTTAAAATCGACGCCTTGAAAAAAATATTTTTTTAAATCGACGCCTTGAAAAAAATATTTTTTAAAATTGACGCCTTGAAAAAATATTTTTATAAAAAATCTACGCCTTGAAAAAATTATTTTTTTTTTAAATCTACGCCTTGAAAAAATATTTTTTTTTTTAATCTACGCCTTGAATATTTTTTAAAAAATCTTTTAGATCTTTTAGATCAACTGTTTTAATAATAATTTTTATTTTTTTTTTTAAACAGGAACAACGTCCAATTCCGGAAATCTCTGACAATGGTGAGTTAGGCATCATATTTTTAAGTAATACAATTTTAACTAATCTAAATTGTATTTTCCTCCGCACGCAGAGGTTCTCTTGGCCATGGATTGTGTCGGTATTTGCGGTTCTGATGTGCATTACCTGGCCAATGGACGCATTGGTGATTTTATACTCACCAAACCAATGATTATTGGCCATGAAGCCGCTGGCGTTGTGGCCAAAGTGGGATCCAAGGTCAAACATCTCAAAGTGGGTGATCGTTGTGCCATCGAACCCGGTGTACCCTGCTACATTTGTAATTTTTGTAAAGGTGGCCAATACAATCTGTGTCCCGATATGAAATTCTGTGCCACCCCACCCTACGATGGCAATTTGACCCGGTACTATAAACATGCCGCCGATTTTTGTTTCAAACTGCCCGATCATGTAACAATGGAAGAGGGTGCCCTACTCGAACCCTTGTCGGTGGGTGTTCATGCCTGTCGTCGTGCTGGTGTGGGTCTAGGATCGAATGTTTTGATTTTGGGTGCTGGACCAATTGGTTTAGTAACCTTGCTGGTGGCACAATCAATGGGCGCATCGAAAATTATGATTACCGATTTGGTACAACAACGTTTAGATGTGGCCAAAGAATTGGGTGCAACACACACTTTGCTAATGAAACGCGACGATGTTGCCGAAGATGTGGCTAAGCAGGTGGAGAAGTTGATGGGTGTGCAACCGGACAAAACAATTGAATGTTGTGGTGCAGAGTCGACAACACGTTTGGGTATTTTTGTAAGTTTTTTTGGAGAGGAAATGATAAGGAGACACTTGGAAGATAGGATTTTCAAAATATTTGTTTTGTTTTTTAGGCAACCCGTTCCGGTGGCTGTTGTGTCATTGTGGGCATGGGTGCCCCAGAAGTGAAAGTGCCTTTGATTAATGCCTTAGCTCGTGAAGTTGATATTCGTGGGGTATTCAGATACTGTAATGAGTAAGTAATCTATCCAATAATTTCTAAAAATCATCTACCAGTATGAACATTTTATCAGTTGTTTGGGTGATCTATAAGTAATCAATTTGAATGACTTCAACGGCATCGTTTTTTTTTTTAATGATTTGGAAGCCATTATTTTGGTTGGCTTATTGGTCATCTCAGATCAGATTATAGACGTTTTTATATTATCCCTAACCTTCATGTGTCCTTCTTAATTATTCCATGTTCTTTTCTTTTTTCAGTTACGCTGCCGCGTTGGCCCTCGTCGCATCCGGTCGTGTCAATGTCAAACGTTTGGTAACTCATCACTTTGATATAACCGAAACGGATAAGGCTTTTGAAACTGCACGCAAAGGTTTGGGCGGAGCCATCAAGGTTATGATCCACGTTCAGCCCAAGGATACTAATAATAAGAAATAGAAATATTCAAATTAAAGATTTATGTACATAAAGCATTTCTACTATTCCAAACCCGAACTGTAAATAAAACTAACTAATCTATTTAACAATTTAATTATTTGTAATCACTTGATATGCAATAACAACAAAAACAAACATATAATAAATTGTTTATTTTTTTATTAACAACTTTTTAGCGAAACTTGTTATCATCAATTGGCTAATGACAGACAATACACTACAACTGACACTTATCTTCTTCCCTGACATTGTTCTGCCAAAGAGAACACACAGAAAAAAAAACAACATTAGGATGGGCAGGCACTTTGAGGTGGGATAGGTTACTTGTTATCAGTAATCGCACAGTTGGAGGTATTTTAAGAATTAGTTCCATAATTGACGTTTCGATTGAATTAAAATTATCATATAACTTGTGATAAGGAGAGCAATATAATCTTTATGGGAACACTGAGATTTATTTACGTACATTTTTATGCCCTGCAGAATGAATACTAGGCTGGGTGACTTTCAAATGCCCCCATTTGGAAACATTTGGAATCTTCTCAAAGTATATACGAAATTTTAGTCTTCTAAAAAAATTAATTTTGATAATTTTTGATTTTAAAAAATATCTTATTTAATATTTTTTATTAAAAAAAAATCATGCCATGCTTTAGAATTGCTTCAAATGTTCCATAACAACACTCTTTGTATTCTAATATAACACTTGAAAAAATATTTTTTTAAAAAAATCAACGCCTTGATGGTGCATGATGAAATATTTTATTAAATCCTCTCCTTAATGATTTTTTTATACCCTTCACCACATTGTGGTACAGGGTATTATGTCTTTGTGCATATGTTTGTAACCGGCAAAAGGAAACGAGATAGACACATGGTTCCTTTTGAGAATATGCATAGAATCACTTTTTAAGTCGATTTATACATGTCCGTCCGTCTGTTAATGTTAAATTGTAAACAAAGTACCGGTCGCAGTTATTATCCAATTTGGATGAAATTTTGCACAGCTCACTTATTTGGCCCAAGGACGAACCCTATTGAAATTAAAGAAATTCGGTTCAGATTTAGATAAAACTCCCATATATTTTTTCGTCCGATTTAAGGTCAATGGTGGATTTATATGCGATGGGGAGAAGACTTATTCTCTATAGTCGGCACATATCGTCTCCCACAGGATGCTGAGGTTCCAATCATTGGACATGCATTCTTCTAGCCAAATTGCACTAATCAGCTGATGCATGCTCCTTACCAGCATCTGACCACCAGTCTTGAATAGTTCGGCTTGTAACCCATCGGAACCTGCTGCTTTATTATTCTTCAGCCGATTGATTGCTATTCTGACTTCATCTTGGCTAGATGGTGTACACTATATACCGTCATCTATTATTGGTTCTGGGGTATCCACTTCACTGCTACTATTTGATACCAGAAGTTTTTCAAAATGCTCCTTCCAGATCATCAGCATGCTGTCTGCTGTTTCCTTCTTTATCTCTCCAGGTGGATGTTCCTGCACCAAAGCCTTCGGTTTGGTGTTTTACCCGTTGGTAGAATTTTCGGATTTCATTCAGACTTCTATACATCTCAATTTGCTCACGTTCACGTTTTTCTTGCTCTTTCTTCTTTTTTCTGAAAATACGTTTCTCCTCTCTCCTTTTCTCCCTATAGTTCACCATCGCATTACGTGTTGCTACGGTCCGCAGGGTTGCCCTATACGCTGTGACAAGGGGTGCTTTCGTTGGGTAAGTTGAGCGGAATAGGCCTCAGCTACCTGTTGTTTTTGCAGCTTTTCGACGTCGAGTTTCCGTGTTGTGTTAAATCGCACCTTTGCTGCTACATTACGACGGGTGCGTACCTTGGTAATGTTCCGTATCGATATTCGCTCCTCGGATCGATCGGACGTCTAAAACACTGGATGAATGCCTTCCGTCTATCACAACATGATCAATTTGATTTCTCGTTGCTTGATCAGGAGAGATCCAGGTGGCATTGTGTATATCGAGATGCTTGAATCTGGTGCTGCTAACTACCAAGTTTTTTGCTGCCGCGAACCTCATGCCGTTGTCGGATGTTTCTTCATGAAGGCTGAATTTTCGGACGGTGGGGTCAAAGATATTTTCTCTTCCGATTTTTGCATTAAAATCTCCTAGCAGAATTTTAATGTCATGGCCAGGGCAGCGATCATATGCTGTTTCTAGGCGCTCATAAAATATGTCTTTGGTCTGCTCATCTTTGTCTTCGGTCGGAGCATGGACGCAAATAAGACTGATGTAGAAGAACTTCGCTTTTATGCGGATTATAGCAATGCGCTCATCTAATGTAGTGAATCTGGAAACGAGGTCTTTTATTCTCCTGTTAACCATAAATCCGCAGCCAAATTCATGGCAGCTATAATACAGTGCGTAATCGTCTGATTTACTTACGCCTGTCCCTTTCCATCGCATTTCCTGTAATGAAATTATATCGGTTTTGTACTTTATGAGTACATCCGCTAAAGCGAGAACTGTGTCTGTTCTGTACAATGTGCGCACATTCCAAGTGCATATTCGCAGATCGTGGTCCTTTATACGTTTGCGGAGGTCGTCAACATTGGGGCGCTTTGGTTTTCTTTTTCTTTGCTTTTTCATAGTAGGAGGGGTTTTCAGAGAGTTGACAACTAACCCGGTGACACCGCGGGAAGGTCAGTGTCCACAATTGAGATGAAAAAGGGACCAAGATAAGACTGGACTTAGCCATGTTAAAGTCTATCATATCCGTTTGCTTGGTATTTATCATCCCCTATGCCACCTAATAATACATGAACAAATATACTTAAAAAATCTGTGCCTATTTTAAACTTTTTTTAAACTTTTTTTTTCGGGTTCTTACAAAAATATTTTTTAAAAAATCCTTGAAAACATTTTTAATTGAAAAAAATGTTCCACGCAAAAATAATCTTTAAAAAATGTACACCATTTAGTTGGGTCCTTTAAATAATTCACACATAGCCTTCTTAAGATTAAAACACACAGTTATCTATTTTAAAATTGCATATATTTTTTATACAAAAAAGGTTTTTTCGACATTTATTTTTTTGTGTGTTTCACTTTTTGAATTGAGTTTTCACACTTTTGTTTAGAAAATATAGTTGTTTTTTTTTTATAAATGATAATAACATAAGAAAAAATATAGTTATATTTTTAATAAAGATAATAATATAGAATTTAAGTGTATATAAATTTACAAAATAACAAATTTATTTATTGCCACTGTAACAGTTGATTTTTTTGTTTGTTTTGTTCTACAAATGGGAAGCTGATTTTGTAGTAGTAATAATTGATTATTTTTTTATTTCGGATTTTGAAAACTGACACCTTTTTAAACACACACACAAATTTATATAAAAGAAAATTGAATTTCCACTTGAACTTTTTAAGCTTTACATAGTTTTTTTGTTATCTTTTTTCTTAGGCACTCTTTTTTGTGTTCTATAATGTTTTTTTTTTTACTTCAATATTTTAAAAAAGCACAGTTTAAAACTTTTTAGGGAGAGATTTTCAAAGGACGGTGTTTTAATATGTTTAAATAAATAAATAAAAAAATTAATAAAATAAAATAAGAATTTGATTACAAAATTAGAGAGTGGCTGGATTTTTTTTATATTACTGGCAGTAGTAAAATATTGAAAATTGAATCTTAAAAATTACAAAGCCAACATTAAATTAGAATAGTTACAGTTCTCCCCCATTTCCATTACATATTTTGTAATCAAATTCGTTTGCTAATTTTGAGACTCTTTCAAAAAAATAATATCATTTGCAAAAAAAAAATAAATAAATAAAGTATACCAAAACAATTGACGATTCTGCAAAATCTTTTGGTTATGAAGAAAATTGTGCGTTTTGCTGATATCCATCCTTCAAGCATTAGCATCTTACAATTTCCATGTAGAGATTTGTTTTCATTAGCTCCGGCAGTAGTTTCCGAATAGCTTGGATTTACATTTTTGGAGGCGCTGTGGGGGTATTAAATTGGAAAGTGGGATAGCGAGGTGCAAAATCACCACCACCAATAACACGAGTGTGTTCCGAGTCATCACGATTTGTAATTGTGGGAGCCTTGAATTGGGTCTCCACAAATTGGGGAGGAGCTGTAATGAAAGAAAAAGGAAAAATCATTAAAATGAAGTTTTTAATTAAAAAACATTTAAGGACCAAGAAATAGTGGATTTTTAGGACTACATTTTCAAAGGCCCCAAATATCCGTGGATTTTTTAAAGAATATTTTTTCAGGGACCCAAAATATTTTTTAAAGGGTCAACAAGGCGTGGATTTTTTAAAGAATATTTTTTCAGGGACTCAAATTATTTTTAAAGGGTCAACAGGGCGTGGATTTTTTAAAGAATACTCCTTCAGGGACTCTAAATATTTTTCAAAGGGTCAACAGGGCGTGAATTTTTTAAAGAATATTTTTTTCAGGGACTCAAAATATTTTTAAAGGGTCAACAGGGCGTGGATTTTTTAAAGAATATTTTTTCAAGCACTCAATATATTTTTTAAAGGGTCAAAAGGGCGTAGATTTTTTAAAAAATATTCTTTCAGGGACTCAAAATATTTTTTAAAGGGTCAACAGGGCGTGGATTTTTTAAAGAATATTTTTTCAAGCACTCAATATATTTTTTAAAGGGTCAAAAGGGCGTAGATTTTTTAAAAAATATTCTTTCAGGGACTCAAAATATTTTTAAAGGGTCAACAGGGTGTGGATTTTTTAAAGAATATTCTTTCAGGGACTCAAAATCTTTTTTAAAGGGTCAAAAGGGCGTGGATTTTTTAAAGAATATTTTTTTCAGGGACTGAAAATATTTTTTAAAGAGCGTGGATTGTTTAAAGAATATTTTTTCAGGGACTCAGAATATGTTTAAAGGGTCAACAAGGCGTGGATTTTTTTAAAATTTAAAAATTTTATATTGTTTTTTCAATACCGACAAAACCCTCGATTTAAAAAAAGTCTTTTAGGAGTCTAGAAAGCCTAGACATATTTTTAAAGGTCCAGAAAATAATAAAATATTTAAATTTAATACTCACGTATATTTGGATAAATCTGCCCGCCAACACTATCGGCCACATTCCAACCCAAAGCACCACCCTGACCATTAGGTGGACTAGCAGGACTAACCGGCTGTGTTGGAGCCATCGATGGATCATCATTTTGTTGCAGTTGTTGTTGAGGTGAAATTTGTGCCGGTACATCAGTATATGGAGCTGGTGGTTGAAACGAGGCTAATGGAATTGTACCCAATGTAATGGGTATATTTCCCGTCAAATTACGATGTGGTCCACCGACATTACATTCAATATGTAAATCATAATCCAATGCAATAATACCACAATTTACCAAATTTGTTGGTGGCAATGGTGGTATTTCCAATTGTTGACTAAATGTACGCGATTCACCACCCTCCACCGGTCCGATACCCAACTCAGCAATTGTTATTTTTGATTCTTTCTTTTCGGCACGCGGTTGTGTGGTATGGAACGTTACCCGTTTACGTAAAACAAATTTGACGGTGTTTATTTTAACATTACTAGCATTATCACATTCACAGGTTATGGGTATAATTTGTCCTGAAACATAACCGGTAACAGGAACTGTTGTAATAACCGACAGCGGTCCAGATTTGCAACAGAAACAACAGAATGATTTTTCCAATTCCAATTTGAAAGGTTCCTTGACGCGAGGATTGAGATTCAAATCGACAGGGGCAATAACTGTAAATGCCATTTTCATATCTTGATCGAATTTCCAGGGTCTATCGAGGGTTACTTTAATTGTATAGCGAACATGACCAAATTCACCCTCAAATGATGAGGGTAGAGTGGGTGGCAAAGCACAGGTGAAGGGGTAAGTGTGAGTGCCGGCTGGTAATTCAATTTCGGGACCTAAAGGAAAGAAATGTAAACTATTTAGAAATTGGTTGCTTTTGTTTGTGTGGTATACTTACTATTCTTGCCACCAACTAGATAATATTTAATTTGGAAATATTCTTCATGTCCCTTGAAGGTGGTGGTCTCATCTTCATCACGTCCCTCACTATTGGTTACTTTACGTGTTTCAGACCATTCTGTATTGGCTTCACCAAGGAATTTTATTATGATACCTGTAAAAAGGAAAGGGAAGTGTTAATATTTTTCATGGACCGATAATGAGTGGATTAAATAAGAATCAAGGGCTATCAGAAAAGTAAATTTGTTAAAGAATATTTTTTTCACGGGCCAAAAAGGCGTATATTTTTTAAAGAATAACTTTTCAAGGGCCAAGAAGACCTTTTTTAAAAAAATATATATATATTTTTATGGACCGAGTAGTAGAATAATTTTTAAATGAACAAGAAGGCATGGATTTTTTAAAGAATAATTTTTCAAGGACTAAGAAGGCCTTTTTTTAAGGAATAGTTTTTCATGGACTAAGAAGGTCTTTTTTTAAAGAATAGTTTTTCAAGGACTAAGAAGGCCTTTTTTAGAGAATAGTTTTTCAAGGACTCAGAAGGCCTTTTTTTAAAGAATAGATTTTCAAGGACTAAGAAGGCCTTTTCAAAAACCCAGAGGGCGTGGATTTAAAAAATCAAGGACCCAGAGAGCGTAGATTTTAAGAATATTTTTTATTTTTTTTATTTTTTAACAATATTTAAAGAGTTAGAGAAAATTGTGTTTCTTTTCCAGTATGACAATAAAGTTTTCGCTCTTTGCATGAATATTATATTTTCATTGTAAATTATGACAAATTACCTTTTTCTAAAAAAAAAAAACAACAACAAACATGACAATTAACTGTGAATTGGTACGAATATATGATCTCATACTTTAACCAAATAAATTCCCCACATCACAATTGCACTTCAATGTGGTTATTAGAGATTATATTGTAATAATATATGAATATAAATTGAATTGAATTCTTTGTGTTCTTTTTATTTAAATTTAGGTTCTAGAAACACTGTATTATCTCAAAAGATGTGAATTTGATATGATATCATCAAGTGTAGAAGTGCATTGCACTTTTTAATATCAGCAGGGGGAAATTGTTCTAATTTGATAAGAGATAAACGAAATCTACAACAACAAGAAAAATGAACATTTAAATATAAAAAGCGATCTGAATTTAAAAATATTTTTTTAAGAAGCTACAAGACGTGGATTTATTAAAACATATTTTTTAAAAACTAAACAAGACGTGGATTTATTAAAAACAATTTTTTCAAGAATCAACCAAGGCGTACGTACATTTATTAAAAAATATTTTTTAGAAATCAAAAAATCGTGGAATTTTTTAACAAATATTTTTTAGAAATAAAAAAAATTGTGGATATTATATCCCCCTCGTAATATTAATAATTCCATCTACTTAACATTCCATTTTAAACCATAATTGAACCTCTGCATATTTTATATTTCCCATCCATTATTACAAAATCTCCTTCTGTTGCATGATGATGGAGTTCACTAACCCTCTACAAATGATGTTTATTATCTGTGGCAAGCAACAGAATGAAAGAGAACTTTGACGACAGACCAAAACATCTTTGGCATTCTTTGGATTATGGGAAATATTTGGCGGTTCATTGTAAACAAACCAAAGCAGCCGACATTCATGCATCCACCCACCCAAACGCACACCGCCAACTTGCAACAACGATGAACGAACTGCAGCAATGTGAATGAGATATTCTCGAAAGAAGAAAAAGGGAACCTGAAATTCATGTAAGAAGAAGCAACAACAATACCAAATAGCTAATACACAAAGCAACAGCAACAACAAAAATGCGGGCTAAAAATAAAATAGAACCGGCTTTGGGAGCACACATAAAGAAATACGAAAAAAATAAAGAACAAAAAAAATCTTTAGAAAAAAGTTTGGCGGGTGCTGGGTGGGGGAGGGAGGTCAATCAGACACACAGAAGTCACAAAGCACTTGCTCCCAAATGGAAATATGTAGTAACAAAATGTTATGCCCGCATATTTTGGTATGTTTTGAGAGTATTTAAAAGTGAGGAGGTACAATTTCGGAAGGGTTAAAATCTCAAAATTTTGTAAGTAAAAAAATTGGAACAATTACTAACGTATAATGGGAGAAATCAAATTTGAAAACAATAGTATTTAAAAAAGCTAATAATCAAAACATGACACAAGTATAGCCAAAACAACAAAAATAAGCGACAAATCAAGGCAAAAAATAAATAATACAACAAAAATTCCAATAATAATGACGTAGTCGCCGTAGTCGTCGTCTTCATTGTTAAACGTTTGGAATACACAATCAAGTATACGGTAAGTCAGTGGATGGTGGGGAGGTGAACCTACGTTATAGTCATCGACGACAACAGCGACAGCAGCAGTAGTAGTAGGGAAGGCCACTTGCTTTTTAGGTGATAGGATGGATGGATGTTGTTGATGGTGATGATGTGATGTGGATACAGTATAAAGAAGATATGACTAATATTTTCTTTATTTCATATTATTTTTTTTAGTTTCTATTACTAACACTGGATACAATTTGAACCCTCAGATTTCACACACACATCCCTTCTCACATCAACGTAATGTGTTTAAAATAAAAAAATTGCAAAATACTTATTTATTTTCTTAAATTTAAAAACACTTTGAAATTTTATGCATACCTCGTATCTTCTTTGCCGAATCGAATGTTAAATTGACTTGTCCATTGACCGTTTGTCCAGCATAATATGTATTCCAGGGATTATCTAAGACAATTTCACAACCTTTTAGACCCATTATTGGTTTATTATTTTTTTATATATTTATTTAAATGCCGTTTATTTTTGTTGTTATTAACTTAAATATAACTAGCCGTCGACACTACCAACAATTCGAAACGCACGCCCAGTCCAATTGATGAAGTCTGAAACAACACACACACACACGAAAAAAATCGGCAATAACAAAAATCACATCACATCTCGTTGACGTTTGAACAGAATCGCCTACGTCTGGCGTCAACGGTTATTTGATCAGCTGTTCAGTATTTGATTGGGAGTGACTTGTGTGTTTGCGTTAAATTTATGGCAATAGAGGTATTGCCGTTAAAAACAAAATGAAATATAAACAAGTTAACCTTTGAGTTTAGGTTACATTTACACAGTACATGTTTTACGGAAATTGTTATTTATTTGATTGCCCATCAGTATACTTTAAAACAAAATGAAATATAAACTAGAAAATCAACGAAATAACACTTAGGGATAAAAGTGTTTCAGTATATTTGGATTTTTATTATTCAAAATGCGTTTTGTATGTTTAAAAATTTTTAATAACAACAGAACAATTGCTATTTTTTTAAAAGAATTAAATATTTGATAATTATCGTAGTATTTAATATCAATATGATTATCTCGGTATATTCTATTGTATAATCTTTATTAGATTTTTGTGACATATACAATTTGTAATTATATATACTTTTAATAATGATTTTAATTTATATTAACAATTTAAACAACCAAAATGTACACACAATTATCACACATTAACGCATTTTGGTTTATATATACAAAGAAATTACAATTTAAACAACGATTATATTATGGTTCACGTCATAATGATTCAAGGAAGTCTCATTTGAGAAATGAATAATGAAAACCCTTTTTAATTTTTAACACATACATAAATTTCAAATAAAATGAAAAATAAATTCAATAAAATTTTATGTATGTCGTTTGGCAAATTTAAAATAAATTAAACAAAATATATTTTCTAAAGTTATAATACGTTTACATTGCACCGGATTTCGTTAACTCAGTGGGTTTAAATTCTCAATTCCATTGTATATGTCAAATAAATCCTCATGAAGTCGGTTAACCCGGTAAAGAGTTCTAATGGTTGTTACAACTTATATTTATACATTTTAGAGACAGGAAATTTTTGCCACTGAACAAATGATATGCCTACATTTCGAAGGAAGATATTTTCATACTGTCCAAGGCAAATTTATGAAAAATTTAAAACATATGACTGCATGAGACTACCTTCTATAGTTATGCCACAATTGTTTAATAATATGACCTATTATTAATAGAATTTGAATTACTAATTAAATATATGGTCTGTTGCCGTACCCAAGCACTGGTAAAAAGTTTCAAATTTTTAATGGAGACTTAAAAATTTGTATTTTCTACAAAGACCTATGGCATTTTTTCTATACAAATATTTATGCTTCTGAGTCCCATGATTTTTTTAGTAATAAAGAGTTAAGACCGCTGAATCCCATGCAACTTTTTATATAAAAATAAATGCTACTAAATCCAATCCATTTTTCTATAAAATATTTTTTTCATAAGCCTCTGATGCATGTGGAATATTTTATATAAAAATTGTAACCCTCGAATACCAAAGGAACATTTTCTAAAAAGGTCCATGCTTCTGATTTCCATGAAGATTTCTACAACATTTTTCTAATTTTTTACTATAACAAATTTAAGGCTTAAATTGCGAATTGAAAAAATAATAATCCACTGAAAACCAAAATTTATTTTTCATATAAAACTCATAATCTGAGTTCCACAAATGTTTATCTAAAAGAAATATTGGCCCACGAAATCCCCGTCGACCATTAAATATTAAAAATATTTTAAATATGTAGGCAGATTGTTATATGTATTTATTAATATTTCCCATTGATGTCCATTAATTTGTTTGGGGGGTTTTACACTGTTGGTGATTGGAATTGGTCATGAGAAATATTGACCAATATTTATATCAGTTATTTACTATTTATGCATATATAATTTATGCGTAAATGTATTAATTAAAAAATCGAATAATTAAAAAATCTACTTTTTGTTTTGGTACGTTTATGTAAATTCGTACCTTTTGTGAACAAAAAGTACCCCTGTTACAAAATTAAAAATAGCGCAACTCTAATTACTCTCAATTTACCAGTGAGAGGGAAAAAACTCTCATGACCAATACCAATCACCAACAGTGTAAAACCCCGCTTTCTCTTAACAAATTGCCACTATTTGGCATACGCTAACATTAAAGAAGCACCCTTTACTGCATTTCTAATGACAGCAAAGTCACCCCATTCCCATTTTCATGCAATTAGAAAAAGAAGAAGCATTTCTATAGACGGGAAGAATTTTCCCCAGAGTGGTGTTTTGCAAAAACCGGAAAGAAAAACTAAATAATTAATTGCAATTTAAAGTGTCTGTGAGCCGCTTCCAAGGAAAAGAACGAAACAAATAAAAATGTCACTTTTTCGTAAACCGAAAAAAATACAAAGACGAGTTTTTTCAAGTGCCCTAGATGATGATGAAGATGATTGTGCTACGGCAGCAGCAGCAACATCAACAAGGGAAAACAATGATGGTGGCTATGGTAAAAAGAGAAACGATGCATCGGATGATATGGATCAGGATGGTGATGAACTTATAGCTCCACCACCGCCTCACATATCGAGTAAAAAGAAACACCGTGATGGAAAATCGAAATCTTCCAGTGGTAAAAGTAGTAGTGGCGGTGGTGGTGGTGCAGCTGCTGGAGCCTCAGATGCTTACAAAACGAAGGCACTGTTAAGTTTCGCAGACGAAGGTAATTAGAAATGCATCGAGTGCCTAAATAATTAAGTGGGTTATTGGGTCGTTGGGATGGGGAGGCAGAGTCAAGGGGTTGTTTTTCGGACTATCGCGAGATAAGTTTGCATGTTAGTAATTATGATGATGGAAAGTGTTATTTTTTGGAAAATTTCCAAAAAAAAAGACATGATTTGTTGTGTTATAAAAAGGAGATAACAACAGATAAAAGTGGATGTAATATATTGGCAGCTTGAACTTGATTATTTCTATAATGAATATGTACACATGATAGAATTTCTTACGTATAAGGAACCTCTACAAAACCAGTTGGGAAAGGTCATGATCCACACAAATTTATTTTTTTGGGAATTGAAATGAAAGCCTTTACTATGCCAAAAAATCTATCCAAAAAATCTAAAAATTATGTTTGTTATCCCTTAATTGTTTAATACACTTCAATAATCTTTTATCTTCAATTCTTTTCTTCCAGAGGACGATGGTGAAGTTTTCCAAGTACGCAAATCATCACATAGCAAAAAAGTTATGCGTATGATGGACAAAGAGAGACGTCGCAAGAAGCGCGAGGAACGTAGTGCTGAGCATAATACAGCAACCAGCAGCAGCAGCAGCGGTTATGGTGGTCATCAAACAACAAACAACGATAGTGCTTCTATGAATCGTGAAAACGGTTCATCACGTCTTAATAATGATTCTCATAATTTAGGTTCATCTGCATCCTCGGCATCAGCAACAAGTTCTTCGGAACAAAATAAGAAAAGTAATAAAAGTGATAGTATCCAAACAGAAATACGCACAGACGACTTTGTGGTAAGGTTATTATTATCATTTTTTAAAAGCTCACCTTACAAAAAAACATATACCAAAGACAATTTTTTTGGTATTTCAATCGAAAAAAATCAGGAAATTATATTTTTCATGTTTGCTACACATGTGGTAAATGATTGGAAAAATATGATTTCTTACTCGTAAAGCTGGAAATTAATTGGAGTATCTAAAAATATTTGGATTTTACTAGATTTCAAAACAAAATTAAATCTAGTAGTTATATTTAATTTTGTAGATACAATTTTAAACTAGTATTTTATTTAAATTATAATTTGTTTTTAAATCGCATTGGAATTCAATCTAATATATTCCAAACGCAAATTGATAGTTTTGAGAGTTTATAAAAGGATTGACCTCATTACAACCCACATGCATTTTTCTGCAAAATGTTGTAGGACCCTGATGCAAACCATAGTGCTTTCAGAAGTGTCTTAGGACTACGATTCTTTTGCATTTCCACAATGTTTGACATCTGAATCCAATGACTTTTTTCGATAAATGATAGATCCCTCAGTTGTTTTCCAATATGTTTAAAAGGCCCTTGAAATCAAACGAATGTAAAAAAATTAATAAATTAGAGGCATCTTAGGACTGCGGAATTGTTTCTATAAATAAATTACAGTCCCCGGTCATTGAATTTTTTTCTATATAAAATTATAAGGCTCTGAGTTCTAAGGATTTTTTATAACGAAATGTTGGAAATTCGGATCAAGTTTTAGTCCACTGATTATTCTGGTATTTTCGAAATGTTAGGTTTCTGAGGTGAATTGGTCTCTTGTTCCAATGTAATTTTTTTTATGTAAACATCCATAGAAAAATATTCTTTAAAAAATCTCCGACTTTGATGAGCCTTGAAAAATATTCTTTAAAAAATCTACCCCTTTGATGAGCCTTGAAAAATATTCTATAAAAAATCTACGCCTTTGATGAGCCTTGAAAAATATTCTATAAAAAATCTACGCCTTTGATGAGCCTTGAAAAATATTCTTTAAAAAATCTACGCCTTTGATGAGCCTTGAAAAATGTTCTTTAAAAAATCTACGCCTTTGATGAGCCTTGAAAAATATTCTATAAAAAATCTACGCCTTTGATGAGCCTTAAAAAATATTCTTTAAATAATCATTCCATTAAAAAATAATATTTAAAAAGATCTAGTTCTATGAATTTTTTATGAAAAATTTCGACCTCTAGGGACCCCGAAATTTGTCTATGATTTTTTAATGGACCTCAGAGTCCGCTGAATTTTTTGTAATTATTGCACTACTAAAATGTTTTACTTTAAACAAATATTGTTGTTAGAAGTCTATACAATTTTTTATATAAAAAATAGATGCAATCTTTGGAGCCTTATATTTTTAGGATCTCTAGGTCGGCTTATTAGGTCCTTAAAAGTCGTTCAATACTTTATTATTTTATATGTATTTTCCTAAGAAGTTCTCTTGTTACCATATTAGGTTTTTTTTATAAAAATCCGAGTCACTTTCTGATATAACTAATCTATATTTTCCCTTCAAATTGATTCACAGCTGGTAGTTAAAAAAACTGAACCAAATATTATACTCAATGGACGGGCAGCATTATGTGCTGGTCGTGATGATATGTCCGATGAGGATTCCGACCATAGTGACAATGAACGGAATGGTGATAGCAGTAAACATCGTTTTGCCAAACCGGATCATTTAAAGCAAATGCTGGAAAGTGGATCTATACCCGATGCGGCAATGATACATGCGGCACGCAAACGCAGACAAAAGGCTCGGGAACAAGGTAAGTGGATTTTGAAATACTCCAGTGAGTAGATATTTTAATTTGTGATTCTTTAGGTGACTTCATTGCCGTTGAGGAACCAAAAGTTGAAACGAAAAAAGGCAGCCGTTTGGCTCGCGAAGATATGGAAGGCGATAATTCCGATGATGAAGAACGTATGGATATGAATGCCATAACAGGCATTAAGGAACGCGAAGAAAGGCGTGAAAAATTCTATGCCGTGGAAAAAGATTGTATGTAATTCGATTAAACAATGACATACGGTTTGTAAGGTTTTATGTGTGTGTGGGTGTGATGATGAGGAAGACCCCGCAAATTATAAATCTACATGTTTTGTAGCATGAACCATAAAAGAAACAATTTCGTCTAAAACATTTCTTTAATTCTTAGTTTTCTCCATTTCTCTAGGTTCCGACGAAGATTCCGATTGTGAAACCCACGAATGGGAAAATCAACAAATACGTAAAGGCGTCACAGGTGCCCAATTGGTAAATGCTCAAAATGAATCGGTACTATCAAGATTTATGATTAAATCGAGTGCTGATAAGGCCATCGAAGCCCCGCCGGAAGTTAAATCCACATCGACATTGTTGGAGCAGGCATATGCCAAGTGTACCTTGGAACGACCACAACAATTGTTAAGTGTTACCAAACCCAAGAAAGATAAAACAAAACCGGCCGCCTTACGATCGCCGCAAGAGATTCGTGAAGCCATCAATGAACGGCTGAATAAGTTGAAGGAACTCAATGCCCGCCACATGGGTGATATCGAAAGGCTTCAGCAGGAAATGAAGGCTATGCAATTGGAAGAAATGGATGCTAAGCAAAAGGCCCCAGCGGCTGCTGCGAAATATCGTTTCTATCAGGAAATTAAATGTTATGTTACTGATTTGGTGGATTGTCTCAATGAGAAGGTATTTAGTTCAATATCAATTATTTATTTTTAAAATTCCTCTCATGATTGATTTTGAAAGTATTTTCTTAATGCATTCTTCTTTATATGTTTTCAGATCTCTGCCATTAATGACTTGGAAAAAAGGTGCATTGTATTTTTTGGGAAACATCAACATTTCCTTATTGAACGCCGTCGTCAGGATGTACGAGACCAGGCAAGGGAAATGGCCGAAGCAGCAAGTAAGTAATTAAATTTTGTTAGACTCGGAGAACATATTCCATTAGAAGTCTAAGTCTTGTTGATCCTTAAATATATAGTCCTTTAAAAGCCTACGCCCTGTTCGACCCTAAAAAATATTGTTTTAATAATCTACGCCTTGTTTGACCCTAGAAAAATATTGTTTTAATAATCTACGCCTTGTTTGATCCTAGAAAAATATTCCTTAATAATCTACACCTTGTTTGACCCTAGAAAAATATTCCTTTAATAATCTACGCCTTGTTGACCCTAGAAAAATATTCCTTTAATAATCTACGCCTTGTTTGACCCTAGAAAAATATTCCTTTAATAATCTACGCCTTGTTTGACCCCAGAAAAATATTCCTTTAATAATCTACGCCTTGTTGGAGCTCGAAAAAATATTTCTTAAAAAATCTACACCCTGTTGGAGCTCGAAAAAATATTCCTTTAAAAATCTTGTTGAAGCTCGAAAAAATATTCTTTTAATAATCTACGCCTTGTTGGAGCTCGAAAAAATATTCCTTTAAAAATCTACGCCTTGTTGGAGCTCGAAAAAATATCCCTTTAAAAATCTACGCCGGTCCCTAAAATATATTCCTTACACAATCTACGCCTTGTTCGAATCTTAAATAATAGTCCTTACACAATCTACGCCTTGTTCGAATCTTAAATAATAGTCCTTTAAAAATCTACGCCATTTCCAGGCCGTTCAAAGTCTAATGTATTTAAATTCTTTTCTAGAACCCACAACGGTACGCAAGGGCCCAGAATATGATGAACAAATTCGGCGTGCGGCTGAGCGAGAGGGTCGTCGCACCCGTAGACGTTGTGAAAGGGAACGGCAAAATACTTTAGCTTCCCATTTGGATGGTATGTCTTCGGATGAGGAGACATCGGATCGTTATCAAGAGCAATTTCAAAATGAATTGGGTTTGTATAGCTAGTCAATATTTATATAAAAAAAGGAATTTATCTTAAATTTCAATTCTGTTTTTGTTCTGCAGAGGAACTCATCAAAGAAGGCCTTGAAGTTATGGAAGATGTTACAGATGATTTTTGTAAACCTGATATAATTTTATCCAAGTTTCATGCTTGGCGACAAACCGATATGAGCTCATATAAAGATGCCTTTGTTAGTTTGTGTTTGCCTAAGGTGCGTATTTAAAAGGGTTCCTAAATTACGATTTAAAAAAAAAAAAATTCAATTGTTACAGATTTTGGGACCTCTCATACGTTTAGAAATGCTAACATGGTCTCCCCTGTTGGCTGACTATAAAGATATTGAAAAATTAAGCTGGTATCCTGCCTGTATTTTGTATGCCTGGCATGAAAATGAAACTGAGGAATCACTGAGACAAGATCCCGATGTAAATTTGGTGCCAACTCTAATTGAGAAAATTATTTTACCCAAAATAACCGGTAAGAAAATATTTCTATTTTTAGTGGATTATACTAATTTTCAATTTTATTTTTAGATATTGTCACGCATTGCTGGGATCCATTGTCAACCACCCAAACATTACGTTTAATTGGTTTTATAAATCGTTTGGGTCGTGATTACCCGCTGAAGGAGACATCCAAATCTTTACAGCAATTATTTAAGGCAATATTGGATAAAATGAAAAATGCCCTAGAGAATGATGTTTTTATACCCATATTTCCAAAACAGTAAGATTTTGCGGCAAATATTGAAAATTAAGAAATGCTAATGAAAAGTTTTTTTCTTTTGCAGAGTTTCAGAAAACAAGACCTCCTTTTTTCAACGGCAATTTTGCAGTGGCCTAAAATTGTTTCGTAACTTCTTATCATGGCAGGGTATTATTGCCGATACACCTCTAAGAGAAATGGCAATTGGTTGCCTATTAAATCGTTATTTACTTATGGCCATGAGGGTAAGTAATTTCCGTTTTTTTTTCTAAATAATACAAAGATCTAACTTAAATCTCTCCCCACTTCTAGGTCTGTACACCAATTGATGCTATAAGCAAAGCTTATACAATTGTTAACACATTACCCACTGCCTGGCTACAACCCGATTCAGAATGTTTGAAAAATTTACAGCTATTCATATTGTACATTAAACAGACAATGGAATCTTGTGATGCTAACAATCCTGTATTTATGTAAGTTTATAAAATCCCCTATCGAATTTCCATTATTCTTATTTTTTTCTTCATTTTTTCAGGCAAACTAGTGATAAGGCTAAACAAATCATACAAAGACTACATAGCAATTAAAAATAATGTATTTTATCGAGTCTTTTTCCATGAATGAATAAAAATTAGATTTTTTTAATCTTTAATACAACATATTGTTGCATTTCAAATCCAGAAAATACACACTCATAACAAAACTATAAATAAAAAAAAAAATGTTTTAGCCGATTTTGTATATTCTGAAAGAATAGTTTTCCAAATTTTCCAAAATATATATATACATAAAAATTTTGTTTCAAAAAATACTAAATACAAAATGGATTATTATTATTCTTGGTGGGATGGGTACATGAACAAATAAATATTCCTTAAAAAATCTACGCCTTGTGGGGCCTGGAAAAATTTATTATTTTAATAATTTACGCCTTGTTCGACCCTAGAAAAATATTCCTTTAATAACCTACGCCTTGTTCGACCTTAGAAAAATATTCCTTTAATAATCTCGACTTGTTGGAGTTCGAAAAAATATTCCTTTAATAACCTACGCCTTGTTCGACCCTAAAAAAATATTCCTTTAATAACCTACGCCTTGTTGGACCCTAGAAAAATATTCCTGTAATAATCTACGCCTTGTTCGAACCTTGAAAAATATTCCTTTAATAACCTACGCCTTGTTCGACCTTAGAAAAATATTCCTTTAATGATCTACGCCTTGTTGGAGCTCGAAAAAATATTCCTTTAATAACCTACGCCTTGTTCGACCCTAGAAAAATATTCCTTTAATAGCCTACGCCTTGTTCGACCCTAGAAAAATATTCCTTTAATAACCTACGCCTTGTTCGACCCTAGAAAAATATTCCTTTAATAACCTACGCCTTGTTCGACCCCAGAAATATATTCCTTTAATAACCTACGCCTTGTTCGACCCTAGAAAAATATTCCTTTAATAATCTACGCTTTGTTGGGGCACGAAAAAATACTCCTTCAAAAATCTAAGCTTTGTTGGAGCTCGAAAAAATATTCCTTCAAAAATCTAAGCTTTGTTGGAGCTCGAAAAAATATCCCTTAAAAAATTTACGCTTTGTTGGAGCTCGAAAAAATATCCCTTAAAAAATTTACGCTTTGTTGGAGCTCCAAAAAATATCCCTTTAAAAATCTACGCCTTGTTGGTGTTCGGAAAAATATTCTTTTAAAAACCTACGCCTTGTTGGTGTTCGGAAAAATATTCTTTTAAAAATCTACGCCTTGTTGGTGTTCGGAAAATTATTCTTTTAAAAATCTACGCCTTGTTGGTGTTCGGAAAAATATTCTTTTAAAAACCTACGCCTTGTTGGTGTTCGGTAAAAAATATTCTTTTAAAAATCTACGCCATGTTGGTGTTCGGAAAAATATTCTTTTAAAAATCTACGCCTTCTTGGAGCTCAAAAAATATTGTTGAAAATATCTACGTTTTTTTGGATTCCAAAAATGTTTCTTTAAAAAAATCTTATACTTGTTGGCCTTGAAAAATATGCAATAACAAATTACGTGTTATTGGATCTGGAAAAAATATTATTTTAAAAATCTACGTCTTGTTGGGCCTCAAAAAAAAGTTTTGTTTACAAAATATTTAAGACTTGAGTAAATATTACTTACCAAAATCAAAGCTTCGGATAGTGTTTGAATAATATTTTAAATTCACGCTGATGTAAAATTCGCTTTCCATCGTTCAACAAAATAACTTTAAATGCAAATATGTCAAAATTTCTTGGTGTTCCGACTCGGATAAGCAATCCTCCGATCCTCTCAAGTTCATAACCTTTACTAATAAAAATAATTAATATAAAAATCTCAAACTTTACAAAAAGTTTTTGAAAGAAATAAAAAACAGTGGAAGAAAAACAAATATTGCAATGGAATTATATATACGCAAATATAACCAACAAACCACAATTTATTCTGACTTCGATAGACCCGGCTTTTCAAATGTGGCAGCCAATTGTTTAATTTGGGGTTCCAATTCAGACAATTCATTATTTGCCGTGGCATATTCTTCTGAATCGGCTGATAGACGTAAAACGCTAATAACCAAATCTGTAAAAGAAAGTAGAGAAAGATTTGTAATTGAATTTGGTTTTAAATTTCCTAGAAGAAACTCACCATGATATTTGGTTAGCAATTTATTTTGCTCATCAGCCATTGAGGGATTAATAAATGCCAAAATTTGTGATACAAATTTACCGCTGGCATGCAGAATACAACCGGTAATGGTGGTAAACAAAATCAACGAAGTTAAATGCAATATCAATGCAGGTTCAGAACATTGTTGCAATTGTTCCAATAGCTTTTCACGATGTTGTATTATTAATTGACGATCTTTTTTCTTATCCACCTTCTTGACAATCATACTGCAGATTTTCAAAACATTTTCAGTGGCCAAAACAAATTCATCAATTGTTTTATTTATGGCTTTATTGAGTTCCAAAAGGACAGTTTTATAATCACCACCTAAACAAGAGAGAAGGACAGGATAAATAAAATCTTCAAAGGATATAAATTTATTTGTGAAAAAAAAACACCCACCACACTCTTGGGCCAATTTGTTACGTTGATCCACATTCAAATTTGGATTTTTCACCTCAATTTGACATTCGTTGGCAATGTAGAGTATCAGTTCATTGCTGATATCATTGCCCAAGGATTTGAGTAAATATTTCATTAAATCTTGTTGGGCTTGGGCGGGGAAGAGCTAAAAAAAATATATTTATAATTCAAATTTATTTAAATTATTTTTTTTTTTTTTTTTGTTATAAAATACCTTGAGACCCTTTTCATATAGTCTGAGATCAACCAATAAAGTATTGATTTTCTCTTGCACACCTGCGTGAGTTTGTCCACTACCAGCCGCACTTTTTTGCAGGGTGATTTCATATAATTCCTGGGCCTTTGTTAAGGCCAATTGGTTAAGTTGTCTATAAAGAAAAATATCAAAATAAATTAAAAAAAGAAAGTAAAGAAAGATTTTCTTGAATCGATTACTTACTCATGATACAGGCTGGCAATATCCTCATTCAAATCATCAATGCCCAGTGACGAAGTTTCCTTTTCCAAGATTTTGACAATGTCATTAATGGTGACCAATTCCAATTGTTTTTTGGCACCACTGTTACCACCACTACCTCGGGTATTGGTGCCAACATCTTCATCATCATCACTGTCGAAATCATTTTTACCACCCTTCTTACCGCCACGTGGGTGTTTCTTGGTAGATTTTGTTTTAGTTTCACGGCCCTGGGAACCACCACCAGCCTTACCAGAAGCGGCCTTTTTACGTCGTTCATCACGTTTATCCAATTTATCATCGTCATCATCATCACCACCACGACGTTGGGCAGATTTTGCAGCCAATGCCTTGGTCGCAATATATTGCTGATAACTGCCATTGTCCACCGAAGTCTTGGCCTTGGTGCAGGCCAATTCACGACATGGCTGTGTTAATTCTTCCAAATATTGTGGGGTAAATACAACTGATGATCCCGAATTGGCACCAATCAGCACAAAATTAGGTAACGCCGAACTATTTTTAGCCATAATGGCCTCGAAGAGCTCTTCCCTATCCGAAGATGTCATATTGGAAGGCAACAATGTGGATAAATCAACAAATTGTTTAGCAGCCGAAAGGGCAGGCATAACAGTCAATTCAATCAGCTTCGAACTGACAGCGCAACGTTTCAAATATACCAATTCCTCATCGGGAAATTGTTTTGTAATAAATTGTTTGGCATTTGTGATGCCCAGCTTGTTGATGGCATCATATTCCAAGAAACCATTTTGACGATAGAAATTATTAACCCAATCCGACTGCATTTTAGCATAAACATTGGGAACATATTGAGCATTAGCCAATTTCGATGTAACATGGCCTGCGGGGTTTATTTCATCCACAAGAGTATGGAATATCTTTTGTTGTATATTAATTTGCTGCAATATAACCGATACATTTGTGGGTCTGGTCAAGGCAGCCAAGGCGCCACGTATTTTGGCTTTACATCTTTGCAGATAGGCTTGGGTAAAGAATACACGAGGATTTGAGGGATCTTGTCGTCCCTTGATTATTTTACCCAAATGTTTTTCCAAAACATCTCTTTGCAAGAAATCTGAGGGGAGATCAAATTGTTCTGTCAAATCATTGACAGATATTTCACCTTTTTGGGCCAATTTTTCATTAATTTCCTGTGCAATATAGGTGATGTAATCCTCGTCTATCAATTGGCCCAATATGTGATGTATACTTGGATTTTCCAAGGCAATCTTCTTGGCCACCTCCTCAATCTGTAAATAAATTATATTTTAATACCTATGAAACAATACTGACGGTCTTAGGTACTTACCCTACTCAAATCCACATTTAAATTTTTGCTAACTTCCACCAAATTTACACGACCACCATTGGCATACAGCTCATCCTGTACCTCACGTTCCAAATGCTCGGGTGTAATATACTCTTTACCGTCATTTGTAAATACCACTTCAATTAATTTCTTTTCCAGCAACAAGGTTACAATTTCAACACAATTGTGTTCGGATAATCTAGATTCCGAGAAGTGGTTAAAAAATAAATTATAAATACACTGTTCCTTATTGAGTTGGCACTTTGAAACACGGTAGCCGACCGTCGTATGTCAACTTACTTTTGCAGCGTCGACGTTAGCTGAGCCTTTTGGAAATCGGCTGCCAATCGTTTAACTTCATCCCAATCTGTTGACATTTTGTTTATTTTTATTTATTGAACGCGATTTTAATAAAATTATAGTATAATTTATATAAATTTAAAGGAATTTTAATGTTTTTTTAACCGAAATGAAACCAACAGAGCCAACAGAGAGCTAAAACTGTAACGTCAACACTCTCGAACAGCTGTTGTTTAGAGTTGTGTAGTTCATAAATGGAATAGTTCAATTGAATGCTTCACTGAAGAGAACTACTGAATTAGTATTTTATTTGCATGGAATGTATTTGTGGTATTCTTTTATGGTCTGTTCCCGTACTGCAAGAATGTACTCGATTTTACTATTTTCTTCGATATTATAAAGGAAAAAAGTGTTATCGGAGTAAAAAATAGTAGATTCTTGCAATACGGGAACAGGCCATTAATAATTTAAGGGGACCTCCCCCATTCTCGATTTTAAATTTTCAAGATTTTCATTGTCTTCGCTCCAAAATTAAGAAAATGGTGGACCTTTGAAATTTTATTTGGAAATTGGCATATTTTTGACCACACAGTAAGTTAAAAAATAAGGAAGTTCTTCACCGATTAACTTTATCCTAGTTCATACGATAGCTATACACCAGAGAAACGTGTCAAAATTTGGAACTGATAGAATTATTATTTTTTGAGTTATTGTGCCCGCCATTCGTAAAACACTGCTTCGCGGAAAAATGCGTTTAAAGTTTGAGAATCACTCTTGCCGTCACTTGATGCTGACACAATAAATCGACTTGAAGAGTTCTTGAGATTTTTACTTGAAATTTTGTAAAAAATTTCGCTTAATTTGCCAAGTGTTTTATCTAACGAACTGGACGAGATTATAGTTTATCATCGAATACAAATTCGAGCGAAAATTGGTTTAAAGATTTCGTTTTTATACAACAGCCAGCCAAAAATGATTTATAGATATTTTTAGACGGTGTCTACATATGGGTGCATGGTCCTATACCTTCTATTTTAAATAGAAAGTGGAGTAGTTGGAGGAGGAGTTAAATAATAAAAAAAAAATAATAAATTAAATGAGTTAAAAATATTTCTCCAATGATTTTAATTTGTTTAAAAAATTGATCGATTCCAAAACATAAAGTCCAATAAAATTTAAACGTGAGCACTCACAGTATTGAGTTAGAGTATAGAAGGAAATTGCAGAATACCTATGAAATTGGCGCCCAACATAACCAATGAAGTGCTTTATTGAAATTTCAATTACCTCTTTAGACTCGGACAGTCATGGCATTGCCTAGGGTCTAGGAGGAAATTGCAGAATGCCTATGAATCCAAGACAGCCGAATCGAAATTGGCGAACAACATAACCAATAAAGTGCTTCTTGAAATTTTTGGATTCTTGGAAAAATATTCTTTAAAAAATTCATTCCTCGCCAATTCTTGGTGCTTGAAAAAATATGTTTTAAAAAATACATGCCTCTTTGGATATTCAGGTCTATTTTGGGTTCTTGAAAAATCCACGCCTATTTTGGGTTTTTGAAAAAATATTGTTTGAAAATTTCAATATTTTTATTATATATTTATACCTCAATAATCCAAAATCTTTCGGAAGGCATTCTTCCAATTAAATTAATCTAATAGGGTTACCGAGATCGACTTTTTTGGGTGCTTGCAAAAAATAGTCTTTAAAAAAACCACGCTTATTTTGGGTGATTAAAAAAATATTCTCTAAAAATTCCACGACTATTTTCGGTGCTTGAAAAATATTCTTAAAAAATTAACATATTTGATGATGTTTTCTAAAAATCAACGTCTATCCATGGTTTATTAAAAATATATTATTAAAAAAAATTAACTAATTATATCGAATTATATTCAATTTCAATATTTTTATTATATTTATTATTTTTAATAACTCAAATAATCCAAAATCTTTCTGAAGGCATTCCTCCCAATAAATTAATCTATTAGGGTTAACTAGATCGACTTTTAAACTAATCGAAGAACAACATTTGTTATCGATAGTGCTGCCATTATCGCCGACCTGTGGTATCCCTAAACGTCAAATCTCCCTATGTCCCTTTCTCAACAAAACGCTCTACTTCTTCATCCCATTCGTAAATTTTCTATTTCTCCACTATGTGTTTCTTCTTTATCGGGCATTTTTTCTTCTCTCTCCCATTTGTAGCAGAACGTTGGAACGTTTTTAATTTGCGAAAGGCATCATTCACAATACATTCAGTTATTGGGAAGAATCCTTGCTGTGCAGTACATTTGGCCGTAGTGGAAAAAAATTCATTTTCTTTTATATATTTTTTTATTTGAATATATGTATATACATATATTCGAATATTTTTTGTACAAAATTTCAACAATAATTAATAAGAAATTTAAAAAAAATCTAATTGGAATGACGGAAGTGGTGCGAAAACAGATAATTTAAATAATTCCCTTTGGCATGAATAAAAAATTTTAAATTTTGCAATAACAACAACAACGAGGAGACGGAAGAAAGAATAAAACGGAAATAATGTCTATTGCAAAATTATTTGTTAAAGTTTTTGGTGAAGATATTTTTAAAACTCAAAATCAGCAAGATGTAAATGGAGATGGCGAGGATGAGGAGGGTAAACGGAGTTCAACAGGAGCAGCTGGTCCCGGTGGCAGTGGTGGCGGCATTAGTTCATGTGATAATGGTGGCCTTACATTACCCGAGTAAGTGTTTACTCAATGTGCTGTAATTTATCCTTGTCATCCTTTCTAAATTTAGCCAATTATCTTATTGCAGACAAATGGTCTTGGTGAAGTCATGGCTAAAGGGAAAGCTAGACGACATCGATGCCAGCTGTCAAGATGCCATCGCACAGCAACAATTGGAAATGCGGTCAAGGCTGGGACCGGAATTCGTAATATTCGATATTGATTTTTCATCAACGGTGCGCATAGCCAACGACCGTTTAACGGTTCGGTCACAGGGTAGCTTCAATACCATTAAGGCAAATGTTTGCGTTTTCGGCGGTCGTTGGATGTATGAGGTAATTGTCCTAGTTCTCGGTTCAGTTCGGTTCTAGTCTAGTAGTGTTATTGTTATGATTGTTTATTGATGCCGTCGTCGTGTCGTTTGGGCCCGAGACGCACAGACACACACACACACGACAAGAATCAATGACCTTTCCTACTCTGCTTTGATTTGAGTGGGGAGGTAGGCTTTTTCGTACGAACAAACGAACACATGCCGCATGCTTCCTCCTCACTGCACTGCAGTGCTGGCTGGTGTGAGATGTAAACAAAACAAAAACTAATCAAAAACTACTTTCACTTTCTTTGTTATTTTTATTTATGATTTCCTTTTTCACATTTTTCTGCTTTCCTTTTGCAGGTCCAACTACACACCAAAGGAGTGATGCAAGCGGGTTGGTGTTCCAAAAAATGTGTCTTCAATGAAAACAGCGGTGTGGGAGATTCAAAACTTAGCTATGGCTATGATGGCAGCAAACAACAAAGTTGGCATATATCAACGGCAAAGTAAGTGTGAGGATGTGGAGACTAGGAAAATGATGATGGGTTCAAAGAAAACATTAATTTTGGGGTCACGTAAATTTGTAGTAGTTTCCGGGTATCTCCAACTACTGATTAATGGGGGAGAAATTTTTTTTGGTGGAATTGCTGATTAAGCAGATAAGAATTTGCGAAAAAAAGTTTTCCAATTAATTTAAAAATTGTTGGGGTAGGGAAAGAAGCCAGGAAAGTTTTCGATATTTTAATAGGAGAACATGGAAGCATTTAATTGATTTTCGCATATTTTTTTAAATATTTCCTGGGAGCGCCAATTGTAAAATTATGAATTTCAAACAAAAACCGTAGCATACTTTCAGGCGGAAAAAAAATTCTGCTTGGATTTTAAAATAACATTCCAATTGGAAAAGCTAAAAACAGAAGTTAGCCGTTTTCCTTATAGAAGATCAAAACTCCTTGTGAAGGTCCTTGAAAAATATTCTTCAAAAAACCCACGCCTTGCGTAGGTCCTTGAAAATATCCTTTAAAAAATCCACGCCTTTGTTTGTTGGTTTTAAAAATCCATTTTTTTTTACTTGCTGCAAAAAATAGTTTTTTACAAGATCCTAATCTTTTTAATTTATTTTTCAAACCCATTTTCATTTCCTTTTTTCCAGATATGGTGAAAAGTGGCAAGTTGGTGATATTATCGGCATTACCTTGGATATTGAAAATGAAGAGATCACCTATTATCGTAATGGCATTTCAATGGGTGTGGCATTTTCGAAATTGGAAAAAGGTCCGGGCATTACATTTTTCCCAGCCATCTCATTGGGCTACAATCAAAGTGTACAGGCAAATTTTGGCAATAATCCTTTTAAATATCCAGTGGCCAATTATATGCCCCTAATGGCGGAGCCAATTGTGCAATTAAAAAAATCGGAATTGTTATTAAATTATTTAGTGAATATGTCAACCATAGTGGCGAGATATAATTGTGAAAAGGCCAAGAAGATGAAAGAAGATAAATTGTCAACTAAGAAGACCGTCTATGTGGTCTTTTGCACATTGATTATAGAATATTTATCGCCATTGCTATTCAATAGCTATATTATTGAGAGTAAACTATTGCAGACCATAAGGCAGTTGGGGCAAAGGAGGTAGGTTGATTTTGTTTTATTTATTTTTTTAATTTGAAATAATTTCTTTTTTTGTTTTCCTTTTAGATGTGAAAGCGATAGTGTGCAACCTGGCCACTCGGAAAGTCCCTTGGGTGCTTTATTGGATATTTTGTGGAATTATTTGGAGGTGGAGGAAATGAAATTTATTTTGAAAAAATTGGCAAATTCATTGCTTTGTGAATACACACAAACCAATAAGGGTTTGGATTATGGCCAACAATGTGAGGCCTTGCAGACACTCATTGGTCTATGCAATCACAAGCGCTGCCGTAAAATATATTTGGAATTTAAGTTTTTCAAGAAGCATTTGTAAGTATTCAATTTTTTACAATATAAATTCCTTTTTTAACGCCTACTTTTCCCCTCCTTACAGCTTAGCCTTATTAATGTATATTCGCCCACCGGAATTCACATTCATGCAGTTCCTTATACCCGATCACTTGGCCTGGACGGAGGGTATTGGTGGTCCCAAACATAAATATATGTCTATGGTGGAGAAAATTGCCAAATCTACAGAATTGGTTTATGTCCTACAAAAGACCCTATTGTTGACTTTACTTATAAATGATGATGGTGATGCCGTGACAGCCTCAAGTCGTAAAATTTTCCTGGCCAAACTGCGTCGATATGTTATGGATTTGAGTATGGAACAAAGGGTATGAGACACGTTAATTACAAAAATTAAAATAAAATGTTAATAATTTTATTTCTTTTGAAGCCCTTCCACTCCATATTTTTTATGCAATCCAGCATTTTACATCCCATTGAGAGTACGGTGGCTTTGGCCTTTATTTGCATACTCATCGATGTCACAAAAACGGCCTTTGAAAAAGAAATGATCGGCATGCCAGTGGAAATATTACCGCGCTATTTTTATGATGGTAGTTTTGAATATCAACATTTTGATCGTGTCGGTGGGGTGTTGTCACATTTGCGCAAGGTGCATCGCAATGATATTCAACAGCATTTGGGTATGGAGAGAACATTGGAATTGTTGGAAGATGATCGTATGATAGCGGATTTAAGTGAGTAGAGAAAATGAAGCAAGAGAATATTTTTTTTAATTCAGTGAAAGAGGCCAAGAAGACCTCTAAAAGAAGACTAGAAGTTATACATTCTTGAAGACCAGAATTCCTTTCTATCGCAAACCAGATGATCTTCTTATAGCATACGTAAATGTCTTCTCAAAGAAAACGGGAAAGGTTTACAAGACGATCTTCTTTTAGCAGACCAGAAAGTTATCCTTTAGAATACCTGAAGATGTATAGGAGATCAAAAGGTCTTCTTATATGGAATCAGAAGGTCTTCTTATAGGAGATCAGATGGTGTTCTAATAGGAGATCAGAAGGTGTTCTTATAGGATATCAGAAGGTGTTATTTTATGAGACCAGAAGGTCTTCTTATAGAAGACTAAAAGCTCCCCTCATAGAAGACCAATTGGTCTTCTTATAGAATATCAAAATGTCTTGCTTTAGAAGACCTGTAGGTCTTTTCACAGAAGACAAGAAGATATTTTCATAGAAGTCCAGAAAGTTTTCTCGTAGAATACTAGGATGTATTCTCGTAGAAGACTAGTATGTCTTTCGATAGAGGTCCAGAAGGTATTTTTAAAGAAGACCGATAGGCCCAAACGACTGGAATATCTTCCAATAGAAGGTTTCCTTATAGAAGACCTGAAGGTCGTCTCATAGAAGACTTAAAGATCTTCTCATAGATGAACACCAGGTTTTTTTATAGAAGGTCATGAGAATAGAATCCCACTAGGTCCTCTCATAGAAGAAGAGACCAACAGGTTTTCCTTTAGAAGACCTCTAGCTGTTCTCAAGAATGTCTAGAAAGTCTTCTCACCAAAAAATATTACTAAAAAATAAGTGGCTCTTGGGCTTCGAAAAAATACTCCTAAGAAATTAGCGGTTCTGGGACTTCAAAAAAATATCTTCCAATAGAAGGTTTCCTTATAGAAGACCTGAAAGTCGTCTCATAGAAGACTTAAAGGTCTTCTCATAGAAAATATCCTTTTAAAAGATTCGTGATTTTTTGGGCTTCAATTTTTTTTAAAATCCGCTCTTTCTTGAACTTCGAAAAATAATTTTGCAAAAATCCACTCTTAGACTTTGAAAAAATATTCCTTAAAAATTCACGTTTGCTTGGGCTTAAAAAAAATATTCATTTAAAAAATTCACGCCTAGGGTTATCTGAACAAAAATTCATTTCAAAAATTCACGCCTAGGGGTTCCTAAAAAAATATCCATTTCAAAAATCTACGCCTAGGAATTCTTAAAAAATATTCATTTCAAAAATCCACGCCTACGGGTTCTGGAAAAAACATCCATTTCAAAAATCCCTAGGGGTTATTGAAAAAATATTAATTTAAAAAATCCTCGGCCAGGGTTCTTGAGAAAATAAAGAATCCACATCATGGGGATCTTGAAAAATATTGAAAAATCCAGACCTAAGGATTCTTGAAAAAATATTCATTTAAAAAATCCAGGCCAATGGCTGAAAGAGTCTCTTGAAAAATAAATTCATTAAAAAATCTACGCCTATGACTCAAGGTGTTCTTGAAAAAAAAAAAATAATTTTTGTTGTCTCTTTCCAGCTGGTGAATCATTAAATTCCGTCTCCATTGTTAGCCGTCCAATTGGGTATGTACTATTGGAATATCTTTGGAATCCATGCACAAAATGTTCAATATGTGCAAATCAATTTTTTATAATCGACAGAAATTCAACAGCATTTACAACCTTCCTGAATCCGCGAATAAATCAGGTGTTTGAAGTCAAACCTGGTAATAGCAGAACTGATGCTTCCCTATATGATTTATTGGATCTATGTGTCTTATATTATTATTGTGTGGGCCATAAATATATTGTTAAAGTGAGTTAGCATCAGAAAATTTCCAATATTTGAAAAAAAAAAAATCAAATTTTTAATTTTCTCCTTCCTTAGATCGCCTCTGTACGCGATGAAATAGCTGCCTTAAATGATGTCCTTCTAGAAACTAAATATTATCGTGAAGATGTTGAAAAGAAGTTACAGGTGTTGGAAGATCATGCCAGTGTTTGCATGGATGAACAGCATACGCATGTGGTATCGGAATTGAGAACCAAATTTAGTCAAAGGGAAAATGTTTTTGCGGTAAGTCGTGAAAAGAGTTAAAAAAAAGAAGAAATTAAGAGAAAAAAATAATTTTTCTTTTGTTTATTAAAGAAACGTTCTATTGAATTGGCACGCAAGCAGGCTTGGTATCGTGCAGTGGCATTGGGCCCCAAAAGACGTTCGCTGTTGATATGGCTGCTGGATAAGGCCCTAAAGACTTTAAATGTAAGTTCGGAAAAAAATTCTTCTTGAGAATTTAATATTTTTATTTTCTTTTCCAGGCCTCCTCCCATGAGGGTCCCCTATTTGCATTTGTTCCTGAGGTTTATATTAACATTCTACCCATCCTTTTGGATACCGTTATGGATTTCAGTAATCATGATTTAGTTGTGCAATTTGAAATGCAAGATTCCGAGGGAGTTATAAATGCAGTTGCGAATTTTTTGAGTTTACATTCCGCGGATCCTCGAATTGTATTGGCTTCGTGTAAGGATTCTTTGTTACAGGCTTTGGGTACCTTGACATGTCACAAGGCGGGTATTCAAGCCCTTGAGAGGGCACCAATGAAAAGGTAAAGTAAAAAATTTGAATTAAGAATATTTCAAAATTTATTTATTTTCAGTCAAATGGCCCTGGTCAATGCCCTGCTGCGACCCTATGAAAGTCGTGCCTGGGGCCAAAGTAATTGGTTAATATTACGTTTCTGGTTGGGTCAAGGTTTTGCCTATCGTGATGCCCGTCAACCCTGTGTTTGGCAGGGCGGCAATTCTCCCATGCATTTTGGCCTGTGTCGTTCACGTTCCAAAAATGAAACACATACCGGTCTGCTGCACAACATTGCACCGGCAAATCCGTCCAAACATTATCAAGATTTGATTGGATCGAAATTAAGTGAAGATGAGCCCTTTGCTACGGCATTTTTAAACTCCGTACTAAGTCAATTGAATTGGGCATTTTCGGAATTTATATTATTACTGCAGGAGGTAAGTGGAATTTTTCGATCTATAAATTCGTTGATTATTTTCTGTTTTTTTCTCCAGATCCAAAACACCGCCCACCGTCAGGAGAATACCAAATTCGAGCCAAAACAATTGAAAATCTGTTCCATGTGTTTTGAGTTGACCGTCTCGTTGATGCGTTGTTTGGAAATGATAATAACCGTGGCGCCAGATATATTCCATGATCCCTGTCGGGCCAATAGTGATTTGGTTTTAAATCGTGTCTGCCAGTTGATAAGTCAGGTGTTGTCACGCGTCACAGTCCCACCGGGCTGCTTTCAATTTGTTGTCGACATGTGTTCATCCTCGTTGAATGCAGTAACCCATTTTCCCATTATCACTGCAGCATTGGGTATTCTTTTGGCCCTGTTCAAGGATGAAATAGATAATGATAAAAATCCATCCAAGGTAAGTACGAGAATACTTTTAAAGGGTCCAAAGAGTTGTAGAGATTCTGAAGAATATTTTTTTAAGAATCCGAAGAAGCCACAGGCGTGGATTTTTTAAATGAATATTTTTTAAGAAGCCATAGGCGTGGATTTTTTAAATTAATATTTTTTAAGAAACCATAGGCGTGGATTTTTTAAATGAATATTTTTTTAAGAAGCCATAGGCGTGGATTTTTTAAATGAATATTTTTTCCAAGAAGCCATAGGCGTGGATTTTTTAAATGAATATTTTTTCCAAGAAGCCATAGGCGTGGATTTTTTAACCGAATCCTTTTTTTAAGGAGCCATAGGCGTGGATTTTTTAAATGAACATTTTTTCAAGAAACCATGGGAGTGGATTTTTTTAATGAAAATTTTTTCAAGAAGCCATAGGCGTGGATTTTTTAAATGAACATTTTTGGATTTTTTAACCGAATATTTTTCAAGAAGCCATAGGCGTGGATTTTTTAAATGAACATTTTTTCAAGAAGCCATAGGCGTGGATTTTTTAAATGAACATTTTTCAAGAAGCCATAGGCGTGGATTTTTTAAATGAACATTTTTTCAAGAAGCCATAGGCGTGGATTTTTAATTGAACATTTTTTTCAAGAAGCCATAGGGCTGGATTTTTATATGAACATTTTTTCAAGAAGCCATAGGCGTGGATTTTTTAAATGAACATTTTTTCAAGAAGCCATAGGCGTGGATTTTTTAAATGAACATTTTTTTTCAAGAAGCCATAGGCGTGGATTTTTTAAATGAACATTTTTTCAAGAAGCCATAGGCGTGGATTTTTTAAATGAACATTTTTTCAAGAAGCCATAGGCGTGGATTTTTTAAATGAACATTTTTTCAAGAAGCCATAGGCGTGGATTTTTTAAATGAACATTTTTTCAAGAAGCCATAGGCGTGGATTTTTTAAATGAATATTTTTTCAAGAAGCCATAGGCGTGGATTTTTTTAATGAAAATTTTTTCAATAAGCCATAGGCGTGGATTTTTTTAATGAAAATTTTTTCAAGAAGCCATAGGCGTGGATTTTTTAAATGAACATTTTTGGATTTTTTAACCGAATATTTTTCAAGAAGCCATAGGCGTGGATTTTTTAAATGAACATTTTTTCAAGAAGCCATAGGCGTGGATTTTTTAAATGAACATTTTTTCAAGAAGCCATAGGCGTGGATTTTTTAAATGAACATTTTTTCAAGAAGCCATAGGCGTGGATTTTTAAATGAACATTTTTTTCAAGAAGCCATAGGCGTGGATTTTTTAAATGAACATTTTTTCAAGAAGCCATAGGCGTGGATTTTTTAAATGAACATTTTTTCAAGAAGCCATAGGCGTGGATTTTTTAAATGAACATTTTTTCAAGAAGCCATAGGCGTGGATTTTTTAAATGAACATTTTTTCAAGAAGCCATAGGCGTGGATTTTTTAAATGAACATTTTTTCAAGAAGCCATAGGCGTGGATTTTTTAAATGAACATTTTTTCAAGAAGCCATAGGCGTGGATTTTTTAAATGAACATTTTTTCAAGAAGCCATAGGCGTGGATTTTTTAAATGAACATTTTTTCAAGAAGCCATAGGCGTGGATTTTTTAAATGAACATTTTTTCAAGAAGCCATAGGCGTGGATTTTTTAAATGAACATTTTTTCAAGAAGCCATAGGCGTGGATTTTTTAAATGAACATTTTTTCAAGAAGCCATAGGCGTGGATTTTTTAAATGAACATTTTTTCAAGAAGCCATAGGCGTGGATTTTTTAAATGAACATTTTTTCAAGAAGCCATAGGCGTGGATTTTTTAAATGAACATTTTTTCAAGAAGCCATAGGCGTGGATTTTTTAAATGAACATTTTTTCAAGAAGCCATAGGCGTGGATTTTTTAAATGAACATTTTTTCAAGAAGCCATAGGCGTGGATTTTTTAAATGAACATTTTTTCAAGAAGCCATAGGCGTGGATTTTTTAAATGAACATTTTTTCAAGAAGCCATAGGCGTGGATTTTTTAAATGAACATTTTTTCAAGAAGCCATAGGCGTGGATTTTTTAAATGAACATTTTTTCAAGAAGCCATAGGCGTGGATTTTTTAAATGAACATTTTTTCAAGAAGCCATAGGCGTGGATTTTTTAAATGAACATTTTTTCAAGAAGCCATAGGCGTGAATTTTTTACATGAAAATTTTTTCAAGAAGCCATAGGCGTGAATTTTTTAAAAGAACATTTTTTCAAGAAGCCATAGGCGTGGATTTTTTAAATGAACATTTTTTCAAGAAGCCATAGGCGTGGATTTTTTAAATGAAGAAGTTTTTTCAGAGACCCAGAAAACTTTTTTTTTTTTCAGGGACTCAGAAAACTTTATTTTTTGGAGAACCTTGAGGGACCTGAAAGCTTAATTTTTTGTGAACAGCTTTTCAGGAACAAAGAGCTCCGATTTTTATCAATGGTACTTTAAGCTTTATTTTTTTAGAAACTATTTTTTCCAGGAACCTACAAATCTTTATTTTTTTAGAGAATATTTTTTGAAAGACCTAAAAAGATTTGGTTTTTATAGAATATTTTCATGGACCTAGAAAGCTTTCGTTTTTTTAATATTTTTGCAGGGACCACGTAATCGTTTAGTTTTTAAAGAATATTTTTCAGGGACTTTGAAAGCTTTAATTTCCTAGAGAATATTTTTTAGCTTAAAAGCTCAATTTTTTGGGAGTAGTAGATTTTTTCAGGGACGGAAAGCTTTGATTTTGGAGTAGTTCATGTATTGTTGTTTATGATATGATTAAGTGATATTCTGTTAATTTTAAGCTTTTGGAGTGGTCCATGTAATGAAGTTTTTGGAATCGCTCATGGCCCTTTGTGCTAGGTTCTCGTTTATGAAATAAAATTGAATTGAAAATTGATTTTTCATTCTTGGACATATAAAGCTATCTACTTGGAGAGAATAATTTTGCGTAACCTAGAAAGCTTTTCCAACAATTTTCCTTTTTCAGGTCACCCGAGTCTGTCGTGCCCTTCTGACTGATCCCAGCTTCCAGTTTGCCAATTTGGAATTTGCTTTGGGCGAAATTAAGACACCCATTTTACAACAAAGTGAAATTCCCCGAGGCAATTTTGATCCATCTACTCGGGCCCATATTGATCCACTGACTAACGATGTGCGAATACCACAGCCAACTACCTCCAGCCTTAAGAAGATAAGGGCCGATCCTCCAATACTGAAATTTAGTCTGAATGATTGTGAGTACTTTCGAATACAATATTTTGGATTATTTTATAATTTTTTTTATTCAAAAGTTCCCAGTCATGTCACCAGCGAAGAAATTGAAAAAGTCAAAACGCTTATTGATTTGCTAAAAGCCAAACAATCACTGCTGTCGGATATAACATTACCCTCAGAAGATTCATTGTGTCCAATTTGTTGTGCCAAACCGATAGCGGTGCTATTCACGCCCTGCAAACATCAATCGTGTAGCAATTGTATTCTGCAACATCTAATGAATTCGAAAGTTTGTTTCTATTGTAAGACACCGATACAGACCATAGAGGCCTCAGATGGTTCAATTATTTATCACAATGCGGAATATTTACAAACGCCGGCGGCCATATTTTAGGAACTTGAATTTGAAAAGATTTTTTTTCGAAGGAGTAAAGGAAAATACAGAATCATGCAAATGACCCACCCTTTTTAAAAAGAAAAAAAAAAAAAATAATAATAGATTACAATCTCATAAATTTATTCTAGTCATTTATTTATTTCTAAATTAAAATAATTGTTCATTATTATTAATAGTATTAGAATTTTTTTATTATTATTATTATAATTAGTGCTGCTGAATATGAAGCAAAAAACAAACAAACATACATACCTTTCAACACTGCCTAAAATTTTTGTTACAAATTGGATATTTTATCCATTATTTATTTTTTATTGAAATTTGATTATTGTTAAGCATTTATTATTATTTTTTGAAACAAAAATAGCATGATTATAGTTTTGAAAACTTGAATACAACAAATTATTGCATTTATTATTACTGACTGTAAATAAGTATTTTTTATTATATAAACTAAACAGAAAAACGGATCTTTTACACAAATTTATCAAATTCTAAACAAAGAATCGAAAAAATGAAAAGCAACCGCCACATATTATAATTATACATTAAAAAGAAAATATACAATATTTTGCTTGCAAAGCTTTTTTAAAAATAAATTAATAATTATTTTCCCATACAAAAACAAAAAATCAATAAAACTGCCATTGGTAAAAAAAAGCTATTGAAATTTATCATATACATCGAATATCACTTTATTTTTATTTTATCTTTCAGAAGATTGCAGACCTGATGTCGGTGAGCGGTGCCTAAAAGTCCTGAACAATTTTGACGTATTTGCATTTAAAGTTGTTTTGAAATTGAACATAATTTGGAGAATGATTTATTCACACGATTGCTGATCTAATGGCAGTGAGGAGTGCCAAAAAGTCTTGAACTTTGGAAGAATTGGGTAAAAAAATTCTTTAATTTAATATAACTTTATTTTGATTTGTTTTCTTTTTTTGAAGGTTGCAAATCAGATGAAAATGAAGGCTGCCGTAAATTTTTGACATATTTGCATTTAAAGTTGTTTGGAAAATCTTCTGATTTGAACGGAAGTTCGTAGATTATTTAAAGAATATTTTTTGAAGGCTCTCCGTAAAGCGTAGATTCCACTTCCCTTTCTGCTTGAACCATCAGCTGGTTCGCTTTTTTATGCCTTCTGGTCTGGGGCATCTTCATCCATTCTCACAACATGACCTAGCCAACGTAGTTGCTGCAGCTCAATACGTCTAACAATGTCAATGTCCGAGAATATATGGTGCAACTCATGGTTCATTCGACGCCGATATTCACCGTCAACGCAGATCGGCCCGTAGATCTTTCGGAGAATTTTTCTCTCAAACACTCCAAGAGCTGCCTCATCTGCTTGCGTAGGTACCCATGCTTCGGATCCATATAACAGCACGGGTAGTATCAGCGTCTTGAGAGTTAGTTTGGTCTGGCGGGAGGTGGCCTTGCTTTTGAGTTGTTTGCTCAGACCATAGTAGCATCTGTTGGCCAACTCTATCCTTCTCCGAATTTTAAAAGTGATGTCATTCGTTTTATTTATGGCGGTACCAAGGTATATAAAATCTTTAACTACCTCGAAGCTGTAGCTCTCAAGTTTCACAGTTGATCCCAGTCTACTGGACGTCTTGTGCGTCGATACCATCAGCTTGGTCTTCTCGCCGTTTACTGCCAGACCTATTTTGGCAGACTCCTTCTCAATTTGTTCAAAGGTGGCTGTTACCGCTCCCAATGTTCGACCCATTATGTCGATGTCATCGGCGTAGGCGAGTAACATGTGTTGTTTGGTGTACAGGGTGAAATTTCTGTTCACTTTTGCCTTCCGTATGACCTTTTCCAGCAGGATGTTGAAAAGGTCACACGACAAACTGTCATCTTGTCTGAATCCTCGTTCGGTATTGAAGGGCTCCGAGACTTCCTTTCCTACTTTAACTGCTGACCTTGTACCACTTAAAGTTATCCTGCATAGCCGTATTAATTTTGCAGGAATGCCGTACGTAGACATGGCTTTAAACACCTTTGAACGGATAGGGCTTTATAGTCGACAAATAGGTGGTATGTGTCGATGTGTTTTTCGTGGGTATTTTCCAGGATTTGGCGCAGAGTGAAAATCTGGTCAATGGTGGATTTGCCAGGGCTGAAGCCGCAGTGGTATGGTCCAATGATGTCATTGACCATTGGCTTCAGTCGTTCACACAGCACACTGTATAGCACTTTATATGCGATGGGAAGGAGACTTATTCCTCTATAGTTGGCACATATCGTCTTGTCTTCTTTCTTGTGCACGGGACACAGAATGCTGAGGTTCCAATCATTGGGCATGCATTCCTATAGCCAAATTGTATTAATCAGATGGTGCATGCTCCTGACCAGCATCTGACAACCAGTCTTGAATAGTTCGGCTGGTAACCCATCGGCACCTGCTGCTTTATTATTCTTCAGTCGATTGATTGATATTCTGACTTCATCTTGGCTAGGTGGTATACACTCTATACCGTCATCTCTTTTGATACCAGAAGCTTTTCAAAATGCTCTTTCCAGCTGTCTTATCTGTCACCAGGTTTGCTTCTTCATCTCTACAGGAGGATGTGCCTGCACCAAAGCCTTCGGTTTGCTGTTTTACTCGTTGGTAAAATTTCCGGACTTTATTCTGACTCCTGTACATCTCGATTTGCTCACGCTTACGTTTTTCTTGTTCTTCCTTCCTTTTTTTCCTGAAAACACGTTTCTCCTCTATACCCTATGCCCTATACGCTGGGGTTTTCACATCAGTAGCATTACGACCCTCCGGGGGGGTTACCATGGGTCTCTTGGTACCTATTGCTGCAGTGATTTCTAGGCTCTTCAAGGCGTAGATTATTTAAAGAATATATTTTCAAGGCTCTTCAAGGCGTAGATTATTTAAAGAATATATTTTCAAGGCTCTTCAAGGCGTAGATTATTTAAAGAATATTTTTTCAACGCTCTTCAAGGCGTAGATTTTTAAAAGATTATTTTTTCAACGCTCTCCAAAGCGTGGATTTTTAAAAGCAGATTTTTCCAAAGACCTCCAAGTCGTGGATTTTTAAAAGCAGATTTTTTCAAAGACCTGCAGGGCGTGGATTTTTAAAAGTAGACTTTTAAGGCTCTTCAAGGCGTGGATTTTTAAAAGAATATTTTTTCAAGGCTCTCCAAGGCGTAGATTTTTAAAAGTAGATTTTTCCAAAGACCTCCAAGGCGTGGATTTTTAAAAGTAGATTTTTCCAAAGACTTCCAATGAGTCGATTTTTAAAAGTAGATAGATTTTTCCAAAGAATTCCAATGAGTCGATTTTTAAAAGTAGATTTTTCCAAAGACCTCCAAGGCGTGGATTTTTAAAAGTAGATTTTTCCAAAGACTTCCAATGAGTCGATTTTTAAAAGTAGATTTTTCCAAAGAATTCCAATGAGTCGATTTTTAAAATTAGATTTTTCCAAAGACCTGGATTTTAAAAGAATTTTTTTCTAATGTTGTCCAAGGCGTGGATTTTTAGAAGTATATTTTTCCAAAGATCTCTAAGGCGTGGATTTTTAAAAGTAGATTTTTCCAAAGACCTCTAAGGCGTGGATTTTAAGAAAAATAATTTTTCTAATGTTGTCCAAGGCGTGGATTTTTAGAAGTATATTTTTCCAAATATCTCTAAGGCATGGAATTTTAAAAGCAGATTTTTCCAAAGACCTCCCAAAGACTTCTAAGGCGTGGATTTTTAAAAGAATAATTTTCCAAAGACCTCCAAGGCCGGGGATTTTTAAAAGCAGATTTTTCCAAAGACCTCCAAGTCGTGGATTTTTAAAAGCAGATTTTTCCAAAGACCTCCAAGGCGTGGATTTTTAAAAGCAGATTTTTTTCAAAGTCCTCCAAGGCGTGGATTTTTAAAAGCAGATTTTTCCAATGTCTTCCAAGGCGTGGATTTTTAAATGCAGATTTTTCCAAAGACCCCCAAGGCCGTGGATTTTTAAAAGCAGAATTTTTTCAAAGACCTCCAAGACGTGGATTTTTAAATGCACATATTTTTTAAAGACCTCCAAGGCGTGGATTATTAAATGCAGATTTTTCCAAAGACCTCAAAGGCCGGGGATTTTCAAAAGCAGGTTTTTCCAAAGACCTCCAAGGCCGGGATTTTTTAAAAAATATTTTTCTACAAATAAAACACATTAATTTAATTTGTTTATAATTATTTTCTTTTTTATTTCCATTAAACAATTGGCAAGCCACTTTTATTTATTTTTTATTTGAATCCTTAAATTATTATTTTTTTTTTGCTTTATTTGTTTCCTTTTTTGACTATTGATTAAAAACATTTACACATCAACAATAATATTTGTGTTTAATTTAATAATAATAATAAATAAATAAAAACTTAATAATATCAATTATTAACATTATATAAAATATATATAAATTAGTCTCTGATTATATTAATTATTAATTTTTATTATTATTAATTAATAATTATAATTTAATAACAAGCAATATTTTTATTTTACGGGGTAAAATATATTTTTCAATTCGGATTTTATCACCTTAGATATGTGGGTATATGGGTTGAGAACTAAATTTTGAGGAGAGTAGAATGAGGGCTGCTGTAATTCATATTCAAGATTCCATTGCAGTTTCAGGCAACTCATCCTGTAACTATAAACAATAATATTGAAAATTTGTCCTATGAAAAAGTGACTAAGGAATTTTTGCATTACTATATATTATTTGAGACCAGATTTGAATTTCAATACCTAACATAAAAGTAAAGATTTATAATTATTCTAATAAATAACTCTATAGGCTTGGAGTCCAAAAAAGGCTTTGGTACTAACATTGGTGATGGCTGAATTTTTCTGAATCGAATTTCTTTGGTACTAAAATTGTTCTAATTTTTAATTCAAATTTTGAGATTTGGATTCAAAACACTGTATAGGTTTACATATATCCGTTATGCTCTTGAATCCAACTAGATTTATATATGGAATGCTCTAACTAATCAAGTCACATATCTGAGGCTTTGTTTTTATTTTGTGTCTAGTCAAACAACATGACCATGCCAGGATGGGGATATGTTAATAGGTGGGTCCTAACTATAACTACTTTACACAGTTTATTATTTAATTATTTTTTTATATAGAGAGCATGGATTATTAGGCTTACAGGGTGTACATAAATATTTGTCTTAATTTTTTTAAGTTTTTTTTTTTTTAATATTTTAAGTTCGTTTCAAAATTTTATTTAAATAAATTATTTATTTATATATTTTTTTGTTGTTATTATTGTAAATTGTTTATTTTTTATATATGAATATATATTGTCCTTTTGAGAGGTATACTAAAATAAGTTGTTTAGCTTAATTCCATAATTAGTTTGTATTCGAATTTAACTTTTTTGAAGGAGGAGTATAGATGTGTGTGCATATGAAATAAAAATTGAAGTTCTTTTAGGACACCGTCATTTTTCCAAAAGAAAAATAATATTTTTTCCTAAAAGAATAAAGACCTAAGGTTCCAAGGCGTGGATTTTTAAAAGAATATTTTTTCAAGGCGTGGATTTTTAAAAGAATATTTTTCCAAAGACCTTCAAGGCGTGAATTTTTAAAAGGATTTTTCCAAAGAAAGCAGGATTTTGAAAAAAAAAATTTTATTCCAAAGACCTCGAAGACAAAGACCTCGAAGGCGTGGATTTTTAAAAGCAGATTTTTCCAAAGACCTCGAAGGCGTGGATTTTTAAAAGCAGATTTTTCCAAAGACCTCGAAGGCGTGAATTTTTAAAAGCAGATTTTTCCAAAGACCTCGAAGGAGTGGATTTTTAAAAGAATATTTTTCCAAAGATCTCCAAGTCCTGTATTTTAAAAAGAATATTTTTCTAAAGACCTCCAAGGCGTGGATTTTTAAAATATTATTTTTTTAAAGACCTCCAAGGCGTGAATTTTTTAACGGAATATTTTTCCAAAGATCTCCAAGGCGTGGATTTTTAAAATATTATTTTTTCAAAGACCTCCAAGGCGTGAATTTTTTAACGGAATATTTTTCCAAAGATGTCCAAGGCGTGGATTTTTAAAAGCAGATTTTTCCAAAGACCTCCAAGACGTGGATTTTTAAAAACAGATTATTCCAAAGACCTCCAAGGCGTGAATTTTTTACCGGAATATTTTTCCAAAGATCTCCAAGGCGTGGATTTTTAAAAACAGATTTTTCCAAAGTACTCCAAGAATCTTTTTTCCAAAGACCTCCAAGGCGTGGATTTTTAAAAGAATATTTTTCCAAAGACCTCCAAGGCTTGGATTTTTAAAAGAATATTTTTCCAAAGACCTCCAAGGCGTGGATTTTTAAAAGAATATTTTTCCAAAGACCTCCAAGGCTTGGATTTTTAAAAGAATATTTTTCCAAAGACCTCGAAGGCGTGAATTTTTAAAAGCAGATTTTTCCAAAGACCTCGAAGGAGTGGATATTCCAAAGATCTCCAAGTCCTGTATTTTAAAAAGAATATTTTTCCAAAGATCTCCAAGGCGTGGATTTTTAAAATATTATTTTTTCAAAGACCTCCAAGGCGTGAATTTTTAAACGGAATATTTTTCTATAGATCTCCAAGGCGTGGATTTTTAAAAACAGATTTTCCAAAGACCTCCAAGAATATTTTTTTTTAAAGACCTCCAAGGCGTGGATTTTTGAAAGCATATTTTTCCAAAGACCTCCAAGGCGTGGATTTTTGAAAGAATATTTTTCCAAAGACCTCCAAGGCGTGGATTTTTGAAAGAATATTTTTCCAAAAAAACCCACGAAAAACACATCGACACATTCCACCTATTTGTCGACTATAAAGCCGCATTCGACAGACCTATTCGTTCAGAGGTGTTTAAAGCCATGTCTGCGTTTGGCATTCCTGCAAAATTAATTTGGCTATGCAGGATAACTTTAACTGGCACAAGATCAGCAGTTCAAGTCGGAAAGGACCTCTCGGATCCTTTTAATCCCGAACGAGGATTCAGACAAGGTGACAGTTTGTCGTGTGTGATCTTTTTAACATCCTACTGGAAAAGGTCATACGAAAGGCAAAAGTGAGCAAAAATGACACTCTGTACACCAAACAACACATGCTACTCGCCTACGCCGATGACATCGATATAATGGGTCGAACACTGAGAGAGGTAACAGCCACCTTTGAACAAATTGAGAAGGAGTCTGCCAAAGTGGGTCTGGCAGTAAACGGCGAGAAGACCAAGCTGATGGCATCAACGCGCAAGGCGTCCAGTAGACTCGGACCAACTCTGGAACCTAAGAACTACAGCTTCGAGGTAGTCAAAGATTTTATATACCTTGGTACCGCCATAAACAAAACGAATGACATCAGTTCAGAGAAGGATAGTGATGCCCAACAGATGCTACTATGGTCTGAGCAAACAACTCAAAAGCAAGACCACCTCCCGCCAGACCAAACTCCTACTCTACAAGACGCTGATACTACCCGTCCTGTTGTATGGATCTGAAGCATGGGTTGACGGTGAATAACGCCGTCGATTGAACCATGAGTTGTACCAGCTATTTTCGGACATCGGCATTGTTAGACGTATTGAGCTGCAGCGACTACGTTGGCTAGGTCATGTTGTGGGAATGGATGAAGATGCCCCAGCCCAGAAGGAATATAAAAGCGAACCAGCTGATGGTTCACGCAGAAGGAGAAGGCCAAGAATACGTTGGAAAGATCAAGTCGAAGACAACATTGCCGAAAATGGTCTTTCAAATTGGAAAAACTGCGCAAAAGACCGACGCGCCTGGTAATCTTTTCTAATCTCGACTTATGGAACGAAAGTTCTGTCACAAGCCAGCCAAGCACGTAAATTTTTAAAAAGAATATTTTTAGCAAATAGTCAGTGGGATCTAGTCCTTATTTCCTATATATACACACATATATGTTATCCTCCTTCGTTACACCCTAATATATGTAGGTACATAATTCAGTTGCCTACCATCTTCTCCCTTCTTCCCTTCCTCTATAATTTGACTTTGAGCTTAGCCTATAATTAAATATTTTTGTATTATAATAATAGATACATACATACAGACAAATATATATATCCTAGAAAATACTTAAAGCGTTCGCATATTACATAATATCCTTAAAAAATATCCTTGTGTGTTTTTTTATTCTTGTCCTCGTTAAATTTGTTCTTTCGAAGATAGAGAGTGAGTTTTCTTCAAATTTTCCTTAAAGCCACATTTTTTTGTATGTCTAGTGAAAACCATTGCTTTTCTTTTGTGTGGGTGTGTGTTGTGGGTGGGTTGGTGTGTGGGAGAGTATATATGTGAATAGGATTATGTGGTTATCTCCACATTCTCGCATTTCCCATTATTGATCTACAGTATCTGACAGGCATTCGAGTGCATGCGATGTGAATGACGACCATTTCCGGAATGTCCGGCATATGCGGCTCCCGTACAGCATGGATGGATGGCGGCCGAATGGCGAGCATGACTAAAACTATGACTGGTTGACAATTTACTGGAGGAAGGCTCGTGGACATGGTGACACGGTGCATGATGTATGGTGGGGGCATGGCCATGACTGTGACTACAAAAGAGGGGGGTGGGGAGGAAAAGAGGATAAAATGAAAAACTGATTTTTTCAAAAGAAAATTCGCAACACATACCCATGACTGCAAATATTCGAATCGGAAATTGAATTGCCCATATGCCGTGGAGGTGGTGGCAAGAACAGTGGACAACCGCCACTCATATCCATCACGGACGCATTACCACCCTGGGGAGTCATGCGATCACCGAACACCTCATTCAGCCGTGCACTCTGCGATGCCTTCAGCTGAGCATCATTTTCCTGTACCTCTTCAATCATTTTATCCAATTTCTCAATGGCCTTGGTCTGTTTGGCTGCCAGAAATGCCTTGCGAGCTGCCTTTGACATTGGCAGCGGGGCGGACATGGAGCGCATTGGTGGTGGGGAGTTCATGGAAATTGACTCTTTGGATGTGGTGCGACTGAAAACATTCGTTTTGGGTGTGGCTCCAGATGCCGCAGCTGTTGTGGTGGCCTGAGGACACGTTGTGGGCTTATTTACAGGTTTCACTTCCTTGACACGCGGTGTTGTCGTCGTCGTCATGGTCGTTGTTTGTGATGGTAACCTAAGAGAAAAGGAGATGACAGTTTTTTTTAGTTGGGAATATTTTAAAAAGAATTTTGAGAGTAGAAAATAATTAAACATTACAAAAAATTTTAGTTCAGTTTTATTTATTTTAATTCGAAAATTAATTGAAAATTTAATCGATATATTAAGTAGAGGGTTATTAAAATGTTACTGTACAATTTTAGAATTTAATGGAATGAGATTATTTTTCAGGACTCGAAATTCTTTAAAGAGTATTGTTCTAAGTTTCTCCAAGGCGTGGATTTATTGAAGCATATTTTTCTAAGGTGGGGTGGGTGGCATAGGGGATGATAGATACCAAGCAACGGCTCTGATTGGCTTTAATATGGCGAAGTCCAGGCTTATCTTGGTCCCTCTTTCATCGCAATTGTGTGACCTTCCCGTGGTGGCACCTGGGGTAGCTATTTTCACCATTCGATGAAATAGTGAGCTAATATGTGCCGCGAGTTCACCCATAAGATCTATAAAAAATTGGGTGAGGCGTCGGGTTAGTTGCCCACACTCGGAAAACCCCTCCTACTATGAAAAAGCAAAGAAAAAGAAAACCAAACCCACATAATATTGACGACCCCCGCAAACGTATAAAGGACCACGATCTGCGAATCTGCACTTGGAATGTGCGCACGTTGTACAGAACAGGCACAGTGTTCACTTTGGCGGATGTACTCAAGAAGTACAAAGCCGATATTATTGCCTTACAGGAAATGCAATGGAAAGGGACTGGCGTAAGTAAATCAGATGATTACGCCCTGTATTATAGCTGCCATGAAACGAGACGTGAATTTGGCTGCGGATTCATGGTTAACAGGAGAATAAAAGACCTCGTCTCCAGTTTCACTCCAGTAGATGAGTGAATTGTTTTAATCCGTATAAAAGCGAAGTTCTTCTACATCAGTCTCATTTGCGCCCATGCTCCGACCGAAGAAAAAGATGAACAGACCAAAGACATATTTTACGAGCGCCTAGAAACAGCATATTATCGTTGCCCTGGCCATGACATTAAAATTCTGATTTCAATGCAAAATCGGAAGGGAAAATATTTTTGGCCCCAGCGTCGGAAAATTCAGCCTTCATGAAGAAACATCCGACAACGGCATGAGGTTGATTGACTTCGCGGCAGCAAAAAAAGGTATGTAATTAGCAGCACCATCCCTATATATCGAGATGCTTGAATTTGGTGCTTGTTGATCAAGCAACGAGAAATCAAATTGATCATGTTGTGATAGACGGAAGGCATTCATCCAGTGTGTTAGACTTTCGATCGATCCGAGGAGCGAATATCGATTCGGACCACTCACTACCTTGTAGCAGCCAAGGTTCGCACATGTCTTAATGTTGCAGCAAAGGTGCGATCTAACACAAGACGGAAACTCGTCGAGAAGAGAAAAGGAGAGAGGAGAAACGTGTTTTCAGAAAAAAGAAGAAAGAGCAAGAAAAACGTGAGCGTGAGCAACTCGAGATGTACAGAAGTCAGAATGAAGTCCGGAAAGTTTACCAACGAAGGCTTTGGTGCAGGCACATCCTCCTGTAGAGTTAAAGAAGGGAACCTGGTGACAGATACAGACAGCGTGTTGAGGATCTGTATACACCATACGTGAGGCGGTATTTACCGAATCTCCAAAGAGACAATAGCGTGGCATTTTCAGGCCAACAATGCCGGCCACCACGGCGCCCGAATGTACACCCACACGTATACGTAAATGTTGACCGGTTGAGGGATCTTTCAGATCTTTTATGGCATCGACCATATCTAAGGCCGTGTCGCATACTTTCTCCGCATGATTTGGATCTTTTTCTGGAGCTCCCGCCACAACCATATAAGCATCACCAATTGTTTCCACCTTATAGACATGATTGCGTTCCGTCAGGGTATCAAATATGGAATACATGGCATTCAGCATAGACACGACTTCCATGGGTGTAATGCGACTACATATTTCCGTAAAGGTTACCACATCCGAAAATAATATCGAAACACATCGAACATCTATACCGTCATCTATTATTGGTTCTGAGGTATCCTCTTCACCGCTACTATTTCATACCAGAAGCTTTTCAAAATGCTCCTTTCAGATCCCCAATACCCTGTCTGTATCTGTCACCAGGTTTCCTTCTTTATCACTACAGGAGGATGTGCCTGCACCAAAGCCTTCGCCAAGATGAAGTCAGGATAGCAATCAATCGGCTCAAGAACAATAAAGCAGCAGAGACTATACCAGCGGAACTAGGGGTACGTAGTCGAGCGCAAAAGTCGACTTTTAGACTTTTCGATTTTGGCCTCTGACCAAAAAGTCGATTTTTAGACTTTTCGATTTTTGTCTTTGACCAAAAAGTCGACTTTTCGATCTTTCGATTTTGTCAAAACTGTTCAAAATCGATTTTCGACTTTTACAGACTTCTACAAAATCGACTAAAATTTTGATTTTTATATGAATTATTGTGAAAAGATAAAGTAAAGTTCCGCAAAGTGAAATTTTTGGGCAATTTGAGCTTTGTTATAATAAACCAAGTATTTATGAAAAAATCGAAAATCGATCTTGAAAAGTCGACTTTACGATTTTCTCATAGATCAAAAGTCGACTTCGACTTTTAGACTTTTCAATACAAAAAGTCGATTAATCGATTAGTCGAAAGTCGATTTACTTATCCCTAAGCCGAACTTTTCAAGGCTGATGGTCAGATGCTGGTCAGGAGCATGCACCATCTGATTAATACAATTTGGCTAGAGGAATGCATGCCCAATGATTGGAACCTCAGCATCCTTTGTCCCGTGCACAAAAAAGGAGACAAGACGATATGTGTCAACTTTAGAGGAATTAGTCTTCTTCCCATCGCATATAAAGTGCTATCCAGTGTGCTGTGTGAACGACTGAAGCCAATGGTCAATGACATTATTGGACCATAACAATGCGGCTTTAGACCTGGCAAATCCACCATTGACCACATTTTTACTCTGCGCCCAATCCTGAAAAAGACCCACAAAAACTCATCGGCACATACTACCTATTCGTCGACTATAAAACCGCATTCGTCACCCCAGAGATTCAGAGATGTTTAAAGCCATGTTTACGTTCGGCATTCCTGCAAAATTAATACGGCGGCTATGCAGGATAACTTTAAGTGGCACAAGGTCAGCAGTTAAAGTCGGAAAAAACATATCGGCGCCCTTCAATACCGAACGAGGATTCAGACAAGGTGACAGTTTGTCGTGTGATATTTTTAACATCCTACTGGAAAAGGCCACACGAGACGCAAAGGTGAACAGAAATGTCACTCGGTACACCAAACAGCACATGTTACTCGCCTACTCCGATGACATCGATATAATGGGTCGAACATTGCGGGCGGTAACAGCCACCTTTGAACAAATTGAGAAGGAGTCTGCCAAAATGGGTCTGGCAGTAAACGGCGAGAAGACCAAACTGATAGTATCAAGACGCGCAAGACGTCCAGTAGACTCGGACCAACTGTGGAACTGTGAGAACTACAGCTTCTAGGTAGTTAAAGATTTTATATACCTTGATACCGCCATAAATAAAACGAATGACATCAGTTTTTAAATTCGGAGAAGGATTGTGATGGCCAACAGATGCTACTATGGTCTGAGTAAGCGTTTAGAAGCAAGGCCACCTCCTGCTAGACCAAACTCACACTTTACAAGACGCTGAAACTACCCGTGCTGTTATATGGATCTGTAGCATGGGTTTTTAAATTCGGAGAAGGATTGTGATGGCCAATAGATGCTACTATGGCCTGAGCAAACAACTCAAAAGGCCACCTCCCGCCAGACCAAACTCACACTCTATTAGATGTTTATATGGATCTGAAGCATGGGTACTTGCGCAAGCAGATGAGGCAGTTCTTGGAGTGTTTGAGAGAAAAATTCTCCGAAAGATCTATGGACCGATCTGCGTTGACGGTGAATATCGCCGTCGAATGAACCATGAGTTGTACCAGCTATTCTCTGACATTGACATTGTTAGAGGTATTGAGCTGCAGCGACTACGTTGGCTAGGTCATGTTGTGAGAATGGATGAAGATGCCCCAGCCCAGAAGGCATATAAAAGCGAACCAGCTGATGGCTCACGCAGAAGGGGAAGGCCAAGAATAAGATGGAAAGACCAATTGGAAGAAAACATTGCCGAATATGGTCTTTCAAATTGAAAAAAACTGCTGAAAAGACCGATGCGCCTGGAAATCTTTTTTAAGCTCGGCTTATGGAAGGAAAGTTCTGTCACAAGCCAGCTAAGTAAGTAAGCAATTTTCCTAAGGTTCTTCAAGGGGTGGATTTTTTAAAGAATATTTTTCTAAGGACCAAATGAGGATTTTTTTTCAAAAGACCTGAATTTTCAGAATTTCTTATTCTGGCGTTTTTTCATTTAAAATTAAAAATTAAATCTAGAAGATGAAAGCTTGATGAGGTTAGTGATTAATAGAAGTTTAAAAACTGGTTAAATATTTTACATTTTTATAAATCGGTTATAATCGGTAGATTAGTCACAAAATTACAAAAATCTTAATTCGGGATTTTAATAGGAAAAAAAGTTATCAAAAAGTATGATTATCATGAACCAACATGCATTTAAGAATTAAATTTTATATAACGGAAAAAAGCGAATACCTTTTATACACAACGGATTGATTTGGATCAATCCTCGCCGAACCACATTTTCATATTTCAAACCTACACATTACAATATGTACAATATTTTCAATTCCCCAGGAAATAAAAAATCGAAAAATAATATCTCCAAATTTACCCCTCAGTGTATCGTGAACTTACCTAACTTTTGTCGCTGGCTTATCCATACTCAAACTTGTCGTAGACGTGGAGCTCTTCATGTGATACGTGGAGGTTTCACGAGCCGGTGCTGTTGAGGGTGGTGTTATCTGTTCCATTGCTGCCAATTCTTCGGGCGTAAATTGATCTGGATTGCTGGGTCGTGGTTTCGGTGGTGCACTACCAATACGAAATGGTGGTATCGGACTACACGGACATTGGGCATTATTTGCCAGTGAACTTCGAGACATTTGTAGATCTTCAAGGAATTCTTCAGTGTCCAAGATTAAACTACCAAAGACATCACTGGGTGAGCGCATAAAGACATGACCCGTTGAATTGGAACGAGATTCTCGACCTTTTTCTCCTAGCCCGGCAGAGGCACTGCCATAGAGGCTACGTACGGGGGAGTTGGCAATACTGCGACGTGCCACATCCTTGAATGTTACTGGGGAATAGATACGGCTACGATCCTCCACGGTTGCCGAGGTTGCGTTGTTCGCTTCAGTTTCCGCATTGCTGGAAACTTTGGCTGCTGAGGTAGCCACCGTAACGGAACCTGAGGCAGTTGTCGTGGTCGCCGCTGCTGCCGCTGAGGGTACCTGTATCATGGTACGTTCCTTGGGTAATACTGTTGGAGCCGGCATAATAGCCCTTGCTGGTGGCTTGGCCATAATCACCGCAGGTGTTGTCGGTGGTGGTACAAATGTCGAAACAGGCAGCAGTTGAGCCGGTGACAACTGCAACGGCTTACGATTCTCCCGTTCATCCAACCAATAGGTTTTCATGGTACCCTTCCCCTTCACATCAATTTCCCCACGCTCTGTTACCCGATAATTGGGTCCCAAAAACTCTTTAGTCGATTCGGAAATATGTACCTTCATGGCGGCACTTGTCGATTCCATACGTGAGGCGGTATTTACCGAATCTCCAAAGAGACAATAGCGTGGCATTTTCAGGCCAACAATGCCGGCCACCACGGCGCCCGAATGTACACCTACACGTATACGTAAATGTTGACCGGTTGAGGGATCTTTCAGATCTTTTATGGCATCCACCATATCTAAGGCCATGTCGCATACTTTCTCCGCATGATTTGGATCTTTTTCAGGAGCTCCCGCCACAACCATATAAGCATCACCAATTGTTTCCACCTTATAGACATGATTGCGTTCCGTCAGCGTGTCAAATATCGAGTACATGGCATTTAACATGGACACCACTTCCATGGGTGTAATGCGACTACAGATTTCCGTAAATGTTACCACATCCGAAAATAATATCGAAACACAATCGAACATCTGAAAAGTGGAGAAAAAATTTTAAATATAAAAATTTTGGAAATAATGGAAATTGGACTATAGATCCCTATTTTTTCTTTTCTTGCAATACTAACCTCACATGTGTCAATGGGATTTTCGCCACGTCTCAAACGATCTGCCACCTGTTTCGGTATCATCTGATACAGTAGCTCATCGGTGCGACGCATTTCCTCGTCCAGTTTACGCATTGACTCCTCTAGTTTCTTTGACTTTTGTTGTTCCTGATCCAGGGCTAATTTTAATTCGACCGATTGTTGAGTACCGGCCAACATGAGATCTCTGTTAAAGATGGACGTAATAAATTGAAATTGGTAATATTTACCATATAAAGTGAAGTGTGGTGGAAATAGTACTTACCTACTGAAGTCATGCATAGACAAATCATTAATATATAGACCTGTTGTTATCAGAGCATTCAGATCGGGCATAACTGGGGTGCCCAAAAACATAATCATACGCCAATTGTCCATATAAACCATTTGACCTAAAGTAGATGGAGGTGGAAGAGAAAAATAAATGAAAGTTATGAAGACACATTTTTCGGAACCAGATATCCTTGAATTCGGTCGGCCCAAAACAGCAAATAAGTAGAAATTCCGACTGAAATTACAGAAGTCTGATTTTGACGTATTTGCCTTTAAAGTTATTCGACTGAAGAGACAAACTGTAGAAGATTTAAACGATTCTAAGAATGACCAATTGGTCTCACGAAATTGAAACATTTAATCAATAAAATGAGTTCACTTCGAAACACGGAACGAAGAACATCAGCACCGTCGATGCTCATAAGATGATTATAGCATAGAATTCTTCCAAGTCTATGTAAAGTTAGCATTGGATCTGAGAGACTTATGTAGTTTTACTCCAACAGTGATTCCATTTGTGTCGACATCTAGGTAATTCATTTAGTTCCATAGTTCCTTTGAGAGAAAAAAAAGAACGACTAGAGCAAAAAGGAATTAGTTGAATGAAATAACCGTAGCTGGTGCCAATCGTTCCTTTAGATTTTTAGAACTAGCCTCAAATGTTGAAGAAAACCAATAATTCCATTGTAGAGCAATAATTGTTCCAAGTCCAATGATTCCATTTGTGTTGGCATCTAGGCAATTCATTTAGTTCCATAGTTCCTTGTAGTTCAATAATCGTTCACAGCTAAACGTCACTTAATTCGGTCAATGAACGATTGAATCAAAAGAAACTAGGAGAAAGAGAGAAGAAATGAAGGACTAGAGTAAAATGAACTAGATGAACGAAATAATCGTAACTAGAACAGATCATTCCTTTTGCAGAATAGATCATTAGAACTACACTCAACACTAACATCATACATATGTTGAAGAAAACAAAAATTTTTCCAAATCCAGTTCGAGGTAGAATTCAATACGATGGTGATAGACAAATTCATTTTCAAAGCGGCTCGACCTGCTCGCTCCACAAAAAGGTAACTGGGTCATTAATTTCTGTTCATAGATTCCTTTAGTTCAATTCATTCAATGAACGAGAAGATCTAGATGAACAATTGCTTCAAAAGTAACAGGGTGAACGAACAAAAATATTGAACGAATAGACTAGATGGTCGATAAAGTCGCATGTAGTACCGATCGTTCCATTTGCGGAATAGTTCCATTTGAACTAGTTCGTTCTGAAATAATGACACTCTAGAATCTGAATTGAAGAAAATAAGTCGTTCTTTTGCAGTGCAAGTTCCAGGTCGAGGTAAAAGTAGAATTGAAACTTGTAGACTTTGACAAACTCATCCTAAAACGGTCCGAACGATTCGATCATGCAAAAATGTCTGAGAATATCAAATTTTTAATCAGCGATTAGAAAATGTATATGGGTCGATAATTAAACCGAGCCCGAAGTAGTGACTTTGAGAGCTGCTAGACAGTCCAGAAAAGTGGTTTTATATTCTTATTTAAACTTTGCTCAGGTTCAACAATAAGTTTGTTTTTGGTTACAGAATTGGTCACGCGGATCTTCACACATTGCAAAGATCTCTGGATTCAGGCTGATGTTATAAATTCCGCTGCCTTCCAAATCGCAAAGATTGCAGCTATGAATCCACTACAGGGTTCGTTCGAAGATCTCTGGATCGCGGGTTCAAAGATCTCTGGATCCAGGCTGCTTTTAGGCATTCCGCTGACTTCCAAATTGCAAAGATTTCAGCCTTTAATCCACTACAGTCGCTATCTAACCTGTAAGTTTTCCCAAGTCCTAACATTTCAATGTAGACGCCAGCCTTAGTACCTTGTTCCGTCTTGGAATCGTCTGCATAAAAAAAAAACTGACCGTCCAGAGGAGTGTTACTACAGTTACTAAAGTCGTCTCTACTAGGATTAGAGAAGAACTCTCTTCACTATCACCAAACAAATTGAAGGTTAAACTCAAAAAAATAACGAAGTTCACAGTAAATGAGAATTATGCGTCGAAGCAAAAAGTACAGGGTGCACTGAAGTTAACATAAGACAAAGAAAGAACAAAAAAAAAAAAGAAACCTGCAACAAAATTTCTTAAGAATCTGGCAGATTTAGATTAAGCGATCAAGAAAATGGTCTAAACTCTTTTTAGGAAACTAAGAAGGCAAAAAAAAAAAAAAAACCAGTAAGGAAAGTAGTAAAGTCGGACGGGGCCGACTATATGATACCCTTCACCACTTTGAGCATATTCAACAGATGAAATAGAAGCTATATCTAAATCTGAACCGATTTCAACGATTTCAGGAAACTTAACACACATCATTCCAGACCTCATCCATAACGCAGTGCCAAATTTCGTGCAAATCGAAAGATATATAGGGACTTTGGTAGACCATTTACATTAAATCGGACGAAAATATATATAGGAGCTATATCTAAATCTGAACCGATTTTCAGGAAACTTAACACACACCATTCTATAACTAATTCATTACGCTGTGCCAACATTGGTGCAAATCGAAAGATATATAGGGACATTGGTGCACCATTCAGATTAAATCGGATGAAAATATATATGGGAGCTATATCTAAATCTGGACCGATTTTCAGGAAACTTAACACACACCATTATATTCCTAATTGATTACGATGTGCCAACTTTCGTGCAAATCGAAAGATATATAGGGACTTTGGTGCACCATTTAAATTAAATCGGACGAAAATATATATGGGAGCTATATCTAAATCTGAACCGATTTTCAGGAAACTTAACACACATCATTCTATACCTAATTCAGTACGCTATGCCAAATTTCGTGGAAATCGAAAGATATATAGGTACTTTGGTGCCACGTTTACCTTAAATCGGACGAAAATATATATGGGAGCTATATCTAAATCTGAACCGATTTTCAAACCGAAACTCAGCACATACCATTATGGACCTAATTCAGTACACTATGCCAAATTTCGTGCAAATCGAATGATATATAGGTACTTTGGTGCCTATATCGGGCGAAAATATATATGGGAGCTATATCTAAATCTGACCCGATTTTCACGAAACTCAGCACACATCATTTTGGACCTCATTCAGTACGCTATGCCAAATTTCGTGCAAATCGAATGATATATAGGTACTTTGGTGCCTATATCGGGTGAAAATATATATGGGAGCTATATCTAAATCTGAACCGATTTTTCCCAATTTCAATAGGGTTCGTCCTTGGGCCAAATAAGTGACCTATGCCAAATTTCATCCAAATCACAAAAATACATGGACGGACAGACGGACATGCGTAAATCGACACAGAAAGTGATTCTATGCATATTCTCAAAAGGAACCATGTGCCTATCTCGTTTCCTTTTGCCTGTTACAAACATATGCACAAAGACATAATACCCTGTACCACAGTGTGCTGAAGGGTATAAACAGCGAAGACGTGGCGCCCAACGAAAATTCTTTTAAACAATCGAACAACGTTAATGAGTCCTTTGTACAAAGGAAAAAGGAATCTTCAACGAACTACTTTAAAAATGTTGCACATGTGGATCGAGCGGAAGAAAATTCCGTTAAAATCTTTATAGGAAAATTTGAAGGTTGGAAACCAAGAAACATGTTATGTGGCGCCAACACTGGAATATCTACTCCTTTAAAAGGAACCAGGCGCTTAGTGGTCCACGTTGGTCCACTTTGATATCTGACTCGTTCAGGTTTATTGGTAACGTAAGTAAATGTATTAACCACCAACGAAGGAAGCTAGAAGATAACCTGAAAATATCTGATGATGCCGTGATCAAACTGGCTTGAACCGGGGGTTATCAAGGAGATATGAGAAAAAAGGGCTGGAGTTGCTATTGCAAAGATACTAAAGTCCAGAGAAAAGCGGATGAAAAAAGAGTTGTGTAGTGAACTCGTTTAAAGCAAGCGACTTTCTTATAATTATGAAAGTCGTGGGGGTCAATAAAATATTTAAGGGTCCTTATGTTTTGAGCAATGTGCTGCTAAATGATCGATACGTAGTTATGGATATGGAAAACTTGACAGATAACCCAAATTCCTAACGATGGAGTGATCGAAGTTTGTAACATGAGATTGTGGAAGTCGAATGACCCTGGTGAAAATCCATTTAAGGGTCATTATGTTGTGAGCAAGGTGCTGCCAATGATAGATACGTACGTTAAGGATATTGAAAACTGTCAGATCAACCAAATTCCTTACGATGGAGTGATCGAAGCATGTAACATGAAATTGTGGAAGACGGATGACCCAGATGAAAAGAGCCAGGGCTGCTCGGGTTCTCTTTCCAGGGCACTGGGCCGCTCTGCCCCATAATGTATATAGTTTAACATACATAGGTTAAATATGTAGCATAATTATTCACTTAGTCACTATTGTCAGGTTGACCGAACTGTAGTAGAATAGAATAAGGAACCAGCCTATTATAAATAATAACGAATAAGTAAATACCAAATACCCATGATAACTAAAATACAACCATGTACACAACTTAGATTTAAGCGCAAAATATGATGAAATAAAAGAAGATGCCGCAGTTCGTCTTCGGACGGCTCACAAGAAGGATGTTCATAAAATATGAACATGTGATTTGGTTGTATTAGTTTAGGATATTTTAGACATTTACATATGTCGTAAATAATAGATAAACAGTCCTAAAATCTATTTGTGTGTGCATGTATGCACATAAGGGATGACAACACGTCACGCTGCTGAAGACGCATAACTAATAAAGGTTATCTCCATAAACATGCGCTCAGCGGGTGAGTAAATAGAGATCACTACAATGTGGTTTTATGAGTATGTGAGCTGATAATGAAGAATTAGTAGCAGCCCACACACAAGGATGTTGTTGGGCTCATTTGGGTAATGTAAGCAAATGAGCACACTTATCTCAATTGTTATCTCTTATGTGTATTAGGCTAAGTTAGATTAGGTTATGTAGTTCTTAAGGAATAATATTAAATAATAAAATTAGAATTGAAATGACATTCGACCTTACAAGTCCTTTGTATTTTCCTTTCTCCCGCTCTTAACAAAGGACGCAAATAAAAAAAGTATAATACAATTTTACAAAATGGCGATTCGTTAAGACTTCGCTTAACTAACACGTTGTTATCAAATTAGACGAAATTCTCAAGTCACAAATTATCAACTTAGTGAAGCTGAACTCGTTTTTTAAAGAATTTTTAGATGTTGTCTACGCATAATATATGGTCCTATACTAAATAGGAAGTGAACTAGTTGGCAGGAGGAGTAACGACGAGAAAAAGAAGATTCCATTCAGTATTCGGTACAAAAAATCAAACCTCCGTTTCATCATTGGCAGTTTCTATAAAAGAGAAAAATATATATTTGTAGCTCAGATTCCGTGGTATTTTTCTATTAAAATAATCTCTCCTCTTATATAATCTCTTCTCGTATTATAAATAATTACCGAATATGGCGATTGTAAATACCAAATACCTATGAACACTAAAATACAACCATGTCTGTAACTTAGATTTAAAAACAAAAGAAGGCGCTATTCAGTATTCGGCAGTTGGAAAGACAACAGGCGTAGATCAATCCTTCAGTTTCAGGAACAATTTCTATAAAAAATATTACTATCTCAGATTCGGTGGGATATTTCTAGTCTGTCCTCTGGAGTATAGAATTTACTTTCAATAAAAAACCACTTCCTAGGACAGAAGTTATCAACTTTTTATGATATGAAATCTGATGCCTTGAAATTATATTTTTTGTAGACCTCGAAATCGATTATTTCCTTTATAGATTTTTGTAAAAATGAATCTGCCAATATTTAACTTAAATATGTTTCTTCCGTTCCTTATTAATTTTCTTGTATATATTTCGTTCTACTTACCCTTTAGCCTCAGCGATTTCTCCGGTTCCGAACCATCATCGTGCAATAACATTTCATTGGATTTTTGATTTTCCGGGCGGTCTGTTACCGGTTCAACTGTTACCAATTCAAAGATATTGTTGGTGCGATTTAAAATCTAAATGCCATAACAAACAGGCAGATGAAGAAGGAAAAATGGGAAAAGAAGAAGCGAAGAAAAATAAATAAAAATTAATGATACTTGTGAGGTTAGGTTTAAAGAGGTTTTCTTGTGAACTGCACTTCACAAGGCATTTAAGTGCCTTGGATAATGATGACCGCACTCAAATAAATGTGGAGAGATGGAGTACAGCAGTTTGTAATTATGTGTTGAATGCATCGGGTTGAGGGTTACACTGTTTCCTAGTAAGAAAAACAACTTAAAAACCTTAACAAGATTCCCTTTACGGATCTCTGGTCTGCAAGATTTATCTGTTATCAATGATTTGATTCGTACGAATTCTTCCCATTCTTGGAAAGAGTTTCAACCCCTTTAATCATCTCCATTCGACTGAGTTGGTTTGTTCCAATTTCTCTCCTTTCTTGGAAACAGTGTACAATCTCCAACCTCTTCAATCATGTCCATTCCACCCTGCAGCAGTCTACTTACCGTTTGAAATTTAAAGGCAATCAATGGACGCACTAAATCGAACCATGCTGTGATTTTTTTACCCAGTAAATCTGGCAATATGACCATCAAGGAATTTCCAATGCTGCGTACCACCATATCGGCACTAAAGAGCAGTCAGCCATGAAACAGCAACAGGACACATGCACGAAAAAAATCAATGAGAGGGATAGAGGAAGAGAGAAAAAGAAAGGCAAACCATTAGAGAAAATAAATGCCAGGCAGTAAGTAATCAACAATGAGGACAGGTGGTGGTGGTGGCGTCCGAGCTGGGAAAGTAGTAATTGTCAATGACAGACACTTGTTACAGGCCAACACCACCACCATATGTCCTTGTAATTGAATGAGTTGACACCGAACAACCACCCTCACCCCTTCTCGGTACTCACCCAAAAACAATACAGAATGGAAATATCTCAAATAACACATGGGCACTAATTGGCAAATGTTTCTCCTCGCGTGTCATGGCCAAGGAGGCCAATGTAAAGGCTCGATTATCGAATGTCAACTGAAACGTGACATGGACAGTGTCGAAAAGGATTTCCTCACGCACCAGCTCAATATGCATTTCCTTGTGATAGAAATAGCGGGCAACTTCTCGTATCTGACCCATGGTATAATACACGAAGCCACGTCTCTTCGAACGATAGTGCAGAGTGAGACCCTGCTTCGTTTCATTTTCACATATGAAGGAGGGTGCTCGCATCCGTGGATAGGAAAATTTCAAATATTCATGTAAATTATCGAGGCCATTGAGAAAATCACGCATGTGGCGCCCAAGCACAGAGAGAACACGATCATAGCCATATTGACCAACGAAACCGACAAAATACACACCCATTTGATCCATAAATTCACGTTCCGATACACCAAGGACCTGAAATGAAGAAGAAAGGATAAACAAATATATTGAGTTTAGAAAAATAATTGCGGAGTACCAATTAGATCTTAGATCGATATTTGAAAAGGTTGATCTGGTATTTTCTATATATTGACGTATTTGCATTTAAAGTTAAACACATTTTTAAGAACTAATGGTTCAAAAGGCAGAAGCAAGGAGCATTTAAAGTTAAAACAATTTAAAAGTTTGGGGCCCCAGAGAATGGCAAAAATGAACGTGGAACTAATGGATGAAGGTTTTTATAAAGTATTTCAAAGTTCGAAAGAATTTAGATTTAATAGAAGCGAGGATTTTTTGAAGAATATTTTTCTAAGGGAGGACTCTAAGGACCTGTTATATTTTGACGTATTTGCATTTAAAGTTAAACATTTTAAGTTATATTTTTCGAAGGGCCAAATGAGCCGTGGATTTTTTAAAGAATATTTTTCAGTTTATAAAAGTAGATTTTTTAAAGAATATTGTTCCAAGGCTCATCAGGGCGTAGATTTTTTAAAGAATATTGTTCCAAGGCTCATCAGGGCGTAGATTTTTTAAAGAATATTGTTCCAAGGCTCATCAAGGCGTGGATTTTTTAAAGAAAAATTTTCCAAGGCTCATCAAGGCGTGGATTTTTTAAAGAATATTTTTCCAAGGCTCATCAAGGCGTGGATTTTTTAAAGAATATTTTTCCAAGGCTCATCAAGGCGTGGATTTTTTAAAGAATATTTTTCCAAGGCTCATCAAGGCGTGGATTTTTTAAAGAATATTTTTCAAAGGCTCATCAAGGCGTGGATTTTTTAAAGAAAATTTTTCCAAGGCTCATCAAGGCGTAGATTTTTTAAAGAAAAATTTTCCAAGGCTCATCAAGGCGTAGATTTTTTAAAGATAATTTTTTCCAAGGCTCATCAAGGCGTGGATTTTTTTAAAGAAATTTTTTTCAAGGCTCATCAAGGCGTGGATTTTTTTAAAGAAATTTTTTCCAAGGCTCATCAAGGCGTGGATTTTTTTAAAGAAATTTTTTCCAAGGCTCATTAAGGCGTGGATTTTTTTTAAAGAAAATTTTTCCAAAGCTCATCAAGGCGTGGATTTTTTAAAGAAAATTTTTCCAATGCTCATCAAGGCGTGGATTTTTTAAAGAAAATTTTTCCAAGGCTCATCAAGGCGTGGATTTTTTAAAGAATATTTTTCCAAGGCTCATCAAGGCGTGGATTTTTTAAAGAAAATTTTTCCAAGGCTCATCAAGGACTGGATTTTTTTAAAGACAATTTTTCCAAGGCTCATCAAGGCGTGGATTTTTTTAAAGACAATTTTTCCAAGGCTCATCAAAGTGTGGATTTTTTTAAAGAAAAATTTTCCAAGGCTCATCAAGGCGTGGATTTTTTAAAGAATATTTTTCCAAGGCTCATCAAGGCGTGGATTTTTTAAAGAATATTTTTCCAAGGCTCATCAAGGCGTGGATTTTTTAAAGAATATTTTTCCAAGGCTCATCAAGGCGTGGATTTTTTAAAGAATATTTTTCCAAGGCTCATCAAGGCGTGGATTTTTTAAAGAATATTTTTCCAAGGCTCATCAAGGCGTGGATTTTTTAAAGAATATTTTTCCAAGGCTCATCAAGGCGTGGATTTTTTAAAGGCCAACTGAGGCATAGATTTTTTAAAGAATATTTTTCTAAGCCAAACTGAGGCGTGGATTTTTTAAGGGCCAACTGAGGCATAGATTTTTAAATAATATTTTTCTAAGGCCAACTGAGGCATAAGAGATCTGTTTAAAGATTAAAGGGCCTGATATTGTATTTCTTATTATTAAGAATAAAGTTTTTTAAGGGCCAACTGAGGCTTATAGAGGAGAACCAGTTTTAATTTTTTAAATAAAATATTTTCCTAAGGGCCAACTGAGGCAATTTATTTATAGAAGGCCGTACATGATGACGATGGCGATGAAGATGAATGGCGTTTGTCGTTCTGTCACACAAATGAAAAGGGGAAGTCGTTGGTTTGTTGTTTCTCTAGGTTTTTGAAAGCGGGATCTCTTAGATGGCAGACAGGCAGGCAGGCAGGCCAAAATGTACTGTAGCAAAACTTAACTGGAGGCGTTTACTGTTCCATGGTGAAACATAATCAAGTAAATGACCGTAACGTTTGGTAACATATTTCGCTCGTTTTGGTGTATGTTTCGGAGTTTTTTTCGGTTTCTTTTTTGCCGCCTTTGGTTTAAAGTCAGGAAATGTCTGCCTTAAGGATGTACAAGGATTTCGGTGGTATGTTGAGTATGTTGGTTTTATTGGAGTAGGGTTTTGCGTATGTATGTGTGTGCCTTAATTAATTTCCCTTTTTATCACACATCACTCTTATCGCTGTAAACGGGTAGTCGATGCTGGTTACTCCAACTTCTGATACGACGACTGCTGAGACTGAGGCTGATGATGATGATACTGCTGTCATCTGTAATAAATGTTTGGCCCAGCCAAGGAGAGGAAAACTGTTAGTAAATTATTTCGGCATAACAAAGATAATGAAAGGAAAATATTTTCTTGACTATTTGGAGGGGAAACCAGTGTTTAGGGTTTCAAGAGTGCGGGTTCGCAAGTTCGCAACGCTAAGTAAACAAATGGTTCATTATGTCTGTGTGTCAGTGATTGTCTCGGTGTCATAGAAGTTAATGTTACACTGCAATTTCATATGTAAATGTTTGGAAATATTTCAGAAAAGTTGCAAACACACACACATAGAACCCCACACACATACATGCGTGTATCTCTACACATGTATGTGTGTGTGGGGTTTTATGGTTTATAAACTGATTTTGTGGTTATATTAAAGGATTTATGTTGAGGCCTGTTGGATTAAAGGGATGAGTGCGAGGATTTCTAAAATAATATTTTTCTGAGAAGTATTAAAGCGGAGGACCTTTAGGTCCTTTTATATTTTGACGTATTTGCATTTAAAGTTATACATTTTAAAGAATATTTTTCTAAGGACCAAAAGTGGGAGGAGGATTTTTTAAGGAATAGTTTTCCTATCCTCAACCGAGGCATGGATTTTTTAAGAATAGTTTACTAAGGCCCAACAAAGGCATGGATTTTTGGAGAATATTTTTCTAAGGGGCAACAGAGGCATGGATATTTAAAGAATATTTACCTATGGCTAAAAATAGGCAGGGATTTGTTAAGGAATATTTTTCTAAACCAGGCGAGATTTTTTTTAAAGAATATTTTTCTCAGTCAACCGAGGCGTAGAGAATTTTTTTCTTGGGTTCAACCGAGGCGTGGAATTCTTAAAGAATATTTTTTTAAAGGCCATCCATATGTGTGGATGGCTATTCATAGGCGTGGATTTTTTAAAGAATATTTTTCTAAGGGTCATCCATAGGCGTGGATTTTTTAAAGAATATTTTTCTAAGGGTCATCCATTGGCGTGGATTTTTTAAAGAATATTTTTCTAAGGGTCATCCATAGGCGTGGATTTTTTAACACTAGATTGCCGAGAGCAGTCATTTTGACGGTTTTTAAATTTCAAGTACAAAAACAATTGTGTATATTATGACTCAGCTTTTTAAAATTTGGTGACTTTTTCTACCACATAAAACTACGTTTATTAATCATAGTAGCTGCTTCCTCCCCTCTTTCATTCCCCGTATTCACATGTGCTATACCTAAATAGCCTAAAAGCGGTCATTTTGACCTTTTTGAAATATTAAGTAATCAAACTACTTTTATTACTGTATAAAGTAAATTTCTTATATGACCAGATCGGTACAACAACATCGAAACCCGTTTGCTACTCTAGAAACACATACGAACACACAAATCGGGAAAAATTAATTTTATATTTCCAGTCGATTTCACTCTTAGAGTAAAGTCTTCCTCTTTTTTCGAACGTTTTGTCCGCGCTCTTATTTTTCAAAAGGGGAAACCCGAGAGCCCTACCACCGAAAACAAATAATAACAACGTTTTGTATGATTGTAAATAATGTAACAAATATTAAAAAAATAGTTTAAAAAAATTTCTTTACACAATAAAAAATTTTTCAGAATGAAGTCATTTTGACCGATTTTAGGCAATATAGGTATATACAAAATTCCCGTCTTTCTAGTGTTAAAGAATATTTTTCTAAGGGTCATCCATAGGCGTGGATTTTTTAAAGAATATTTTTCTAAGGGTCATCCATAGGCGTGGATTTTTTAAAGAATATTTTTCTAAGGGTCATCCATAGGCGTGGATTTTTTAAAGAATATTTTTCTAAGGGTCATCCATAGGCGTGGATTTTTTAAAGAATATTTTTCTAAGGGTCATCCATAGGCGTGGATTTTTTAAAGAATATTTTTCTAAGGGTCATCCATAGGCGTGGATTTTTTAAAGAATATTTTTCTAAGGGTCATCCATAGGCGTGGATTTTTTAAAGAATATTTTTCTAAGGGTCATCCATAGGTGTGGATTTTTTAAAGAATATTTTTCTAAGGGTCACCCATAGGCGTGGATTTTTTAAGGATGTTTTTCTAAAGGCCTGTTGAGGCGTGGATTTTTTAAAGAATATTTTTCTAAGGGCCTGTTGAGGCGTGGATTTTTAAAGAATATTTTTCTAAGGGTCACCCATAGGCGTGGATTTTTAAGGAATACTTTTCTAAGGGCCATCCATAGGTGTGGATTTTTAAGGAATACTTTTCTAAGGGCTAGCGGAGGCGTGGATTTTTTAAAGAATATTTTTCTGAGGCCTAACCGAGGCGTGGATTTTTAAAGAATATTTTTCTAAGGCCTAACAGAGGCGTGGATTTTTTAAAGAATATTTTTCTAAGGCCTAACAGAGGCGTGGATTTTTTAAAGAATATTTTTCTAAGGCCTAACAGAGGCGTGGATTTTTTAAATAATATTTTTCTAAGGCCTAACAGAGGCGTGGATTTTTTAAAGAATATTTTTCTAAGGCCTAACAGAGGCGTGGATTTTTTAAAGAATATTTTTCTAAGGCCTAACAGAGGCGTGGATTTTTTAAAGAATATT